AATAATTATAGTCTAATTATAATATGATTTTTTTACTATATTTGTTCTTGTATAATTTCACACACACATGTGTGATTAATTTCTTTTGTTTTCATATTTAATTCAAAACAAGATATTTCTAGTTTTTAGATTTCATAATTTAGCTTTGTTAAGAACTCTTATTAATATTACTACTATTATATGGAATAAATAAATTACATTAAAACTACTCAGGTTATTTCACATCATTAATTGTATTTAGCCTTCAACTTTATAATTATATTATTACATGTGATTTTTAATGGAATTAGAATTTAAAATTTATTATATAAAAATTATATATAGTAACTTCAAGTTAAAAATTCACATATACCAGTGTCACTTATGTAATAATTCATAGTAATATTTTTATGTTCGATTAATTCAATACATTATTAATTTTAATATAATACATTATTGATTTTAATATGTATCTAACTTTATACGTTATATTCTCGATTCAAAAGCCTTATTATCAATTCAGTTATACATCAGTCTTAATGAATTTTATTGTTTTAATAATAATCATACTTAACTATAAAATTTTAAAAATATTATTAAATAAGATTTCACAACTAAATTATTTACTTGATTTCATATAAATTTATATTTATTATTTTAAATATATTATTATCTTATTATATAAAATATTTAATTCATAATATTTTTTTATTAAAATAAATTTATGATAAAAAGTAAAGACTTGTTATATAGATGTTTATTTCAAAAAGTAAGCGAACTTTCACATGAAAAACTATAAATACAATTTGAAGATGAGAATACGGACATGAGTTTCCATTTTATAATAATTTTGACAGTTGAGGACATATTAACCGAATTTATTAGGTTTTCCACGTAAGTTTGGGAACTTGCTCTTGGTTCCAAAGCATTCATTAATGAAAAGTTTTACATATTCTAGGGTAAACAATAAGACGACAATTCCCATCACCAACCTGAAACCTTCTGCTCTTCATGCAAAGACCAGTAATTTTCCTCTTTATTAGTGAATCTTTCAGCCTCGTAAAATTCTTTCAATATATCCTCCAAGTGATCTTTCCAATTAATATGGCCATCCGACTTCCTCGCACCACTCCCATTTCTGCCAGCAATCACAGCCCCATTCTTGGAGAAGCTGCTAAACTGCTTGAACACATGAAAATGAGGTAGTAAAAACTGCAGCGTCATCTTCATGTAATCATTCCATCCCAAGCTGGTATTGTCATCACCACTCTTATTATCAGCCGCAAACCAGCCATAGGAATCCCTATGCATGTGATTGGAACCAACCAATAGCTAGCTAAACAGTCCATTTGGATGAACAAGTGCCGCGAGGGTTCATGATTTGGAGATAGACAGAGGTGTAACCTGGAGGAGCCTGTGAGTCACCCTTAGGATATATTAGCAACTGATAATCGTAACCTCCTACCTCGAAGTACTTGCTGCACAGTGCCCTAACCTTTATTCTCGGAAAACTGTGCACCGTCTATCGGCACACCGCCGAGAACTCGCCTCACCGATCCACCACCACCGTCTCCGTCCCTCGACCCCACGGCCAGGTCCTCCGCCGCTGCCCGCCTTCTCCTTTCATTGCTTCGTACCTCCGTGGCGGACGATAGTAATATTGGGCCTTTTTTTTTATTCATTCCGTTGTTGTTTCATTTTATCGGTTAGGTTCTGATGCATGCGAGAGTAGGTTTCTAATTTAATGCTGACCTTTTGTGGCCGTTGGATTAGTGAAGATTTAAGAAAATTTATATCAATTGTGATAATTATTAGAATATTTAGTAAAAATATTTATTTTATATAATATTTTTTTATAATAAACTTGTAGTCTAATAAAATTTTTTAAAAAATAAAATAAAATAAATAAAAATAATGATTATTATATAATTTTAACAATTTTTTTATATAATTTTATAAATAAATTTTACAATATTATTTAAGTATTAACTATAAATTTTTTATATTATAAAATATTTATATTATTATGTTTTTGAGGATTATATTTTATTTATATAAAAATATCTTATATTCAATAAAAAAAAGTTAAACTAAATATATAAAATTAATAACAAAAAATAGTACTAACCAAAATATCTTAGAGCCAATGTAAAATTATTAACTATAAAGCTTTAAAAAAATTATAATTATATAAGAGGTTAACAGAGTAGGACTCAAGACTTTAATTTATTTTAACAGTTCTTTAAAAAACTTGTAATTTATTTATTATTTAAAAAAATATTTATTGTCTGTCGAACAAGTTAAAAATAAAGAGATTTGTAAGGAATGATACGAAATATTTCCATATTACTTAGTGCTACCCTAATTGATAGGGCTCCAGTTGAATTGTGTAACAAAAATAAGATAGTTTGAGAGTATTTAATTTTTTTTTGTCCTTACTAAAGTGTTCTGCATTTTAATGGTTGATTTGATTGAAATTGTTGATTAAGATAGATGTGTCAGATCTTATACAACGTTGTGCCAATATAATTTGACACTTAAATTGCATGCTCATTTAAATTGTATGTTGTGAATGTTATAATAAAAAACACCGACTGCTATTAAGATTTAAATGGGCTAGTTTAAATGTTGAAGGCTAATTTCATCAATATTTTTTACAAAGTAACACATTATTTAATATACTATTTATTCTTAATTAAAAATTTAAAAAATATGAGAAAAAAGCATTAAATTAAAGATGAGAAAGAATAAAATTTACATAACTTTTATAATTTTTAATAAATTTTAGCTAATAATAAAGAGTGCATAAAAAAATATGTTGTTAATATCACTTTTTTAAGGTAAGTATTTTCTGAAGTAACATTTCTATGATGCAGTTTCTGATATACCAGAAAAATTTATCCAAGTTAGGGTTCACTTTTGTTTTGTTGGATTTTCTCAGCCCGGGGTAGAATCGGTTAAGAACAGACTCCAACTCAAGAGGCTAAAAGTTGGGCCAATTTGTAGGGTTTTATCTTCCCGTTTTGTGCTAAGTCAATAGTGTTTTCTCCTACGTTTTCAAAACGTACACAACTTGTATAAGGCCCATTGATGAATCATGTTTTTAGGCCCATAGAGTCTTTATCAGCTGAAGCCTAAGTCCACTAGCTGGACCAAAACAATTATACCGTTGAGTCTAGGTCGCCCAGGCTAGGTGTAAAACCAACCCCCATCAAGATAATAATACTTACAAAAGTTGGTTACTTATTAAAAAATATTAATATTGATTTTAAGACTTAGTTTAAAAAATTTAAAATAATATAAATTTATAAAATATGTATTATATTTTTATTTACGATATAAAAAATATTTCTTTAAAATAATTTATTTGTTTATATGGTTAAAGTTAATTTAACAAATAATATTTACAGGAACAAAAAAAAACACCATATATATATATATATATATATTTGTGTTGATTAAGACAAAATAAAGAAAAAGAAAGTTTGATTAGGGGTTAATGTTTGCTGAGAAAAGAGATGAACAAAGAAAATCAAAATTTCCATTCCAATTCGGGACCAAAGAATGTACGTCAAGAAGGTGACCTCGTTATCCTAATGCTTTTTAGAGTTAGTTGTTACCTGCGACGTGTAACACGAAGGCAACGAAGAACGTGCTTATGTTGTTCACACTTCACTTCACACGATGACTTTTTGTATATAATTTAAATTGTTCGATAAACAGGACAAAATGTCTGAAACAAGAAGTTTTTTAAATTTTGCCCCACAAACAAGATGAGCCATCATGGTCTTGCACTGAATGTAAGTGACTCTTCTAGTGAATATCAATAATTTGATTTGAAGCCATTTGCAGGCGGGAAATCGATATTAAAATAGGGAATGCCCCACTGCAACTTGTCCATAGTTTTCCATTTTCATCTTTTCTGTTTGGAATTTGACAAATTTCTCATGTAAGATCAAAATTACTTCAAATGATAGAATAAGAATAGGATTGATAATTCTCTTATTTTATGTTTGATACATATTAATGCAATAAACTAAATGCTCTTTAGTTAATTTCGTTGCAGTGCAACTCACTTTGCAAAATGTTAGAGAGAAATAAATCAGCAAATTTATGTGAGGAAAATGGTATATTGATGAAACATTTTTTGTCTGTGTAAAGGTGGTGTTTGTGAACGTCGAGGCATGCATTAGTCTAAATACACTATTCTACTCTATGGTATGTGGTTCTCCCGGGGATCACTATTACAAGGACTTGATTTGAGCCATTGAGTGTTATAGAAAGCTGCACTTGATGTAATGTGCAAAGTAGGGTGTGTAGGAGAATGGAGAGTGAGGGAGGAAAATGACCTGGGCATGGTGTGTGCAGAATGAATGATAGTAATGTACAGATATAAACTATAGAGTAAGTAGAGTGAAGAGTTGCAGCATGGTGATGGTGCAAATGCAACAACCAACGAGTGGAACACATTTTTTCATTTTTTCCCCAGTGGAATGCAAGAATAAATGGAGTAATTTTTTGTCTTGTTTTAAAAAAGTAACTTTTACTCTTGCCACATTGCTCACACAAGCCAAAGCTGGCGTTTTCAGGGCCGAACCAACAATTAAATGTGAAATTGACTCTGGCATTCTCATGATAAGCCTTGGAAATGTTATCACTTCCCGCGGAATAAGGGCCTGTAGTGTGTTACAAAGTAAACCTAGTCCACATACAATTATTTTTACTTACCCAAACACTTTGGAAGAAACTCACCTTCCTAATTATTTTTTTAATTTATCACAATTTGGGTAATATGACCCCCAAGAGAGATAATAGCTAACAAGAAAGCTAAGGCTAGTTAGAAGTCCCATAATCAACCAAAACACTGCAACCCACTCGTTCAGAAGCTTACAAAAGATCCAACTAGAAACGTTATCACACCCTCCATTCCTTTCCACTCAATCAGATTTCAATTTCAACGTCCACCTTACAAATTTTGTCTATAAATTAGTCCACGTCCCTCCCTTGCTTTTCCCACTCAACTAGCAATGGCTTCCATCAAACTCCTTGCCACAATTTTGGTGCTTTCACTCATTTCTTACTCAACACTCACCCACGCCAATGGTTGCGCACCCACACCAAAACCATCTCCATCCCCATCCCCACCCACACCAAAACCAACCCCACCCACCCCAAAACCTACACCACCCACTCCAAAACCAACACCACCACCCTCTCCCAAGCCATCACCACCACCCTCACCCAAGGCAACCCCAACACCCCCACCTGAACGCAAGGCTTGTCCTCCACCATCATCACCATCATCACAAGGTCAATGCCCCAAAGACACCTTAAAGCTAGGGGCTTGTGCTGATCTTTTAGGACTTGTTAACATTATTGTTGGAACTCCTCCTTCAAGCAAGTGTTGCGCATTGATTAAGGATTTGGCAGATTTGGAGGCCGCACTTTGCCTTTGCACCGCCATTAAAGCCAACGTGCTTGGAATCAACTTGAATGTACCGGTCACACTCAGCTTGATTCTAAGTGCTTGTCAAAAAACTGTTCCTCCTGGCTTCCAATGTCCCTAGAATTCGCATTATTATATGAAGTTTTATTATATATATATATATCGTCTCTGTCGTCGGAGAAATGTTTAAACATGCACTTACATATAGAGTGCCTATCTAAGCATTTCCCTCGCAATAGTTGTTTTTCTATTCATTTGTTTTCATTTATTATTGTTGTTATTTCGATTTTGTATCGTGCTTCGCCAAATTACTAGTTAGGCAAGCTTGTTTGCCTTGATTGGTCTCCTTGTTCATTTGTAATATATAATGAAATATTATATTATTTGATCATTAAGTGCATGTGTTATGCAAGTATATGTTTATTTCAAAACATGAAGCACCACTTCTTATAAAAAATTATAAATTCAATTTCAACCATCAGAATCTACAATATTATCAACGAAATTTGATTTGGGTAACAAGAGTAACAAGAGGCTCGATATCGATTAAATAAAATTTTAAGTTCAAATTCTTATATATATAAAAAAAATTTCAGACTTACCCACTTTATGCGTGATGAATACAGATTAAATTGAATGAGAAACAAAAAGAACATGAACCACCACTTCGTATAAAACTATAAATCCAATTTCAACCATGGGAATCCAAACATGACTTTCCATTTTGCAGAAGAAATTTGCCAACTCGCTTTTGGCGGTTCCACAGTATTCACTAATGCGAAGTTTTGTATATTCGTGCACATTAGCATTTCTAAATCAGAGTATTTCTAAATGCAGCACTGTTTTTCGGTATAAAAAAAAGAAAAAAAAAGGTGAAATCAATTACATTTTTTAAATAATAAAATTAAATTATATGCATTATAATTTTTGTATAAGTTAATGAAATATTTGTTAAAAATATATATCAGTTTAACTTAAAAATACTGTGTACTTTATTTTTTCCTTCAATAAAACTTATCGGTAATTTTATATGAGCCTTAATAGATTAAAGAGAGAAAATTATTATTATAATTATATATAATTACTGTCATTTAGAATCGCACTTTAATTTCTAGAAATTTTTTTTTTTTAGAATCAGTATAGAAAATCGACATATTAGTCATAGAATATCATAGACTATTTATAAAATATATCAAACAATTAAAATAAATTATAATGTTTATACAAATATTTTTTATTAGAAAGAAATTATGAAAATAATAAATTTCTAACACTTAATAATTTTTAATTGGTATATTACATTTTTTTTTTAAAATGCCAAGAGAATATCGTTAGTTATTGTAGTGGTGTGTGCGAGAGAATAGAAATAATCTTTTTGGCCTAATTGTATTTTATTTTTTAAAATTGTGTACATTTTTAAAGTTAAATGATTTTATTCTCCTTGTTAATCTTAGTACTTTATTTTAAATTTTAATAATTTTTATTGAATTTTTTTATAAATTGAATTCATTAAATTATTTTAAAGTTTTTTTGGCTCAATTTTAATGATTAAAATGAGTCTGTGTCTCGTTCTTCATGTGAGGGAGAAAAATTTGTGAAGGAGGATACATGTGAAAACCTACATAAAGTTTAATATCAAATCAAATTTATATAATAATAATATTTTTGTCTTGGTCGTGTTACAACTTGCAATAGAAATGGCTGGTTTAAAACTATATAGTAACATGCAGTAAATTAAGCAGCGCAGTAAAATGTTTCCATCACCGTCTATATATACTGAACCATCCACAATCTATCTCCATCCGTATCAATCCCACTCCTCATTTTCTCTCTCTATGGGAATCTTACGATAGTGACATTAATTCTACTATAGGATGTTTATTCTCAATGGTTTTCTTCGTGATCTTCCACGGCTTTCTTGAACTGTGTTACGTTGTAAACTTTCTCCCATGCAACAGGATTTCCATTACCACAATTCAAGAAAGCCGTGGAAAATCAATGAGATTATCTGCTCCATCTTTCAACCCTCTACACATCAGGTTTCGTAATTGTACTTCTTGATCACATGAATTAGCTAGGCTTGATCAATTGTTCCAATTTATTATTCTTTTTCTTCATAAAATTTCCATTTTTATAATACATATATAGCCCATAGAACTAAGAAATGTGTGGCGCGATTTTGGTTTCTTTGTAATTCTTAATGGTAATTCAGATATCTTTCTCTCGCTTCAACCAAGAAAATGATAAACTCGATGCCCAGAATTATACGAGGGCTTAAATCTCCGTGATCTTGATCCGTTCCCTTTTTGTGCTTTTCTCTCTGTCGGTGTTTTTTTGGTTCTTTCTGAAGCATCGTTGGATGGCCCATTTTGCATGACGCACACAAGTGAAAACCATTCACGATGAAGGCGCAAATGTAGGCTTTGTTAAGTAAAGTAAAAGAAAAACAGTGCAAGTACAAGCAAGCTTGGGAGTCATCACTCACACGAGTCACAAAGGCATAATAATCAATAAATTTCTCACCTCTTAACCTTTGATTTTCTTCTTTCTTTAATAAGCAATTTTAAAAATTGTATTATCAAAAGACATTAAATTCAATAATATTATATTATTTTCAATAAAAACTTACTGTCCCGCTAAACATATGTTAAAAAATAATTGTTCTTATTATCGGGCAAGAATCATACTAAATTATTCAAATGAATGAGAACGGGTGTATTTTTCTTTCTCTTGTTTAGCAGGTTTTCATGTGAGACGAAGGTGTTATTGACATAATGTAGAATTACTGCAGAGAAATAGTGTTATGGCAGCACTGTGGCGTGGGGTACTTTGGCTTAATTGGAGGAGACATGATCTTTGGCGATGTTGTGAAGATTTAGATATTCAAAATCAAACCTTTGTCTGGCTTTTCCGGAAAAAGGAAAACCTATGTATGTTTGTTTTGTTTCTGGAGGTTGTGGGAGATGGACCTATTGCAAACAAAGCAAGACACAGTGAGTCAATGTTTGCGACTCTCTGTAACACGTTGAAACCGTAAAGCAAGCGTGAAATATGAAGCACATCGTTAAAAGCTGTGTGGTATTTGATTTTTTCCTTTTAGTTTATGTGAAAATTTGAATCTAAACCCGATGAGACATTTTGTAAAATACTTTATCAATTATTTACACTCAATAAAAAATAGGAGTGGGAGGAAATGCATTCTCATATAAATTTTTTTAATACATTATTGGATAAAATCATTAGAAATTATAAAAAATATTAAAAATATTATTAAATTAAGAGTGAAACCTATATAATATTCAGTAAATTTTAGTTAATAACTAAATATATTTTAAAAAATATATTAAAAATGGTACTAATATATATATATATATATATATATTAAATTTTAGTTAATAACTAAATATATTTTAAAAAATATATTAAAAATGGTACTAATATATATATATATATTATCATATGATTTAATGTATTTATAATATTAAATATATTGTAATTTTTAATAAATTTGTTTTATTGATGTCGACCATATATCCTTAATTACATGTTTCAAACACTGATACTTACATTTCTTTCTGCCACTAAATGGTTTTTTCTTGCAAAACGAAGTTAAGCACCGACTTCTAGCAAAGGAGCTTTACGTGTTAAACTGGTGCTCTGGGAGTGCCATAGTGGACAATGGATGGTGAATGTGAAAGTGGATGTGACTCCAAAGCAAACTAGCACTAGGCAAACCAATCACTTTTCATATTCTTCTGTTTTTTTGGGTCCAACCAAATGCATTATTCTTGAATTTAACCCAGTTCATTTTTTTTCATTTGCGCCCTTTCCATACTGATATCTTTTTTCTTTTAGGGAAAAAAGAAATATTTTATAAAAGGGAAAGCTTTAGATATAATATTAAGGCCCAAATCAACAAGGGGAGGTTGCCCAGTATGGTCCAGCCCAGCCCAGCCCAGCCCAGCCCAGCCCAGCCCAGCCCATTTCATTTTCCAAATAAAACGAACCCAAAATAAAAGAGAAATGTTTTTTACATTTTTAAGAGCGTTTGGTTTTTCCTGATGCTGCGTGCAATTTTACAGAAGAAGACAGTTAGGTGTGGCTGTTTCTTTTCCTTACTTATTCCTTTTTTATCTTTATTTTTATGTTAATTTGAGCTCCAAAGCAAGCGCACTCCAGTATAGAGAGCACAACACCAGAGTATTGTGTTGTTCGGTTTTCATTGGAGCAGACACGTGTGCAGAATTACATAAGCACCCACTGCGCTTGCGGCTTTTCTTAGCCACGTTGCCGCTCTACTCTTAACGTGCGCCCCTCCGCCGTACCCGCGACGGCACAGATACCAACTTTTCCGATCCGATCGGCCAAACCCTAGGTCTCGGTGCTTCCGACACCCTCACTTCGCATTCCAATCCCAATTCAAATTCAGATGATAATATCATGATCTTCAAATTGTAGAAAGAGAGAGCGAATTCTAGGCTGTGACGACGACGACGAAGATGCAGAGACGAAGTCCTCCCAAGCATCGCCACGATGGGACTTCGCCGCTGCCTCTCGGCATGGATTGGAGTCCTGCACCTAGAAAATGGGTTAGTTTTTTTTTTCCTTATGTAATTGTTGTAATATTCGGGCGATTGAATGAAATATCTCTATATTCTTCGATCGACCTCCTTGTTCTATGGGTATCTATTGTCGTGATTTTATTGATGTGCGTGATCGTTATGAACTGTGTTTTTATGAGAATCGATAGTGTGGATTTGATTCAGCGGGTAGGGTGTGTCATTTTCCGTGTTTAAATGAGAAGGAGACCCATGTTATAATTGCTTTCAACTTTTAAGCCGTGGAGATCATTGCTTCTCTGTTGCTTCGAAGTTTCTTAATTACTGGAAGGGAGGATGAGTCTTATCTTGTAGAAAACTATGTAATTTGATAGTGGTTTATATAGTTTTGTAGCATCAAATGCAAGTTATGGAATGTTTTCAAAGATGGAAGTTTCTTGAGAACTTTTGACCAATCTTGTCAAAATTTTGCTCCAACGTGTAAGATCATATGATCCATTTTTTCTGGTCTCCCCTCTGAGTTGTGCGCCATGGTTGAAACCTACCTTTTGGTGCTGGATGCGTTAAATGCTGCTGTGGAACCCTCAATCTAGTTATCCCCGACACATCTACCTCATCTCTCGTGGTACCCCATTACCATGCTCTGGTTACTCTTTGGCCCTCACTGGTTCTCTTCTGTGTTTCTGCCTGAAGGCTAAAGCTAAGTTCGAGCCTTTCTTTCCTTGCTGAAGGCTGATGCTTGCTGCGAGCTCTGTTGTTGGGTTGCAGAGTGCTCGATTTCCTTTTATGTCTTTATTATAGTGTAGTCTAAAACTTAGTAACTTAGGAGGCGTGTATTAAGTTACAAACCTTCAATATAAGGTTAATTAAATATTTTTTATGTTTTAGAGTTTTTTTCTCATTTATAATTTTTTAATTTGTGTGTAATTTTTTATTTTAGTTGACACTTACGATTCATGTAGGGATCCGATGATCCTACCATCCAAAACCCCTCTCTGTTCTAACATTGAAAATCAATTTTCACAACCTTGCTTTTGACATCATTTTTTAAGTGGATTAGGGGTGTGTGGAAAAACCAAGATGTAGATTTTATGCTGTTCATCTCATAAGGACGATATGAATTCATTTGTTATAAAAATCTAAGTTAAGTGGTGGCTTGTTAGGATCCAAATTGTAAGGTGTGAAACTTGAGTTTTGCATTGGAAGTATTAGATTTTAATGTGGTGATTTATAAGACTTGGGACTTTCAAATTACAACGGCTAGTTTTTGAGGTTTGATGACTTTTCCCAAGTTTCTTATAAATTAGTATCAAAACCTTTCATCATGTTTCTCAGCTATAAATGAGTGACACGAGCAGTGATGCTAGTATTGCAATGTTCACCTGGTATTAGTGAAAGAGCTAGTGCACAGCTAACTCACATTCGCATTAGGACTTCGGAGCATTAAGTGATGTTAGGATCTAATTGTAAGATATGGGGACTTGAGTCCCACATTGAAAGTATGGAATTTAAAATACCTTTGGGTCTCCAACTTGAACAATTAGCTTTAGTGGTGAAATTCTCTCAAGATTCTTGTTATAGCTCTATAGTACAATTTTTTTTAGGCTTTCAATTTTGTAAAGCATTCACTTCAATCTTCATTTGCAAGTAGAACTAGAAACATATATTTCAAGAAATATTGTATTTCGGGTATCCTAAGCTAATTTATCCCCTCTTTTCCATTTTCAGGAATTGTTTGATAACTCATATTTCTGTGACTTTTACACATTTATTCATAAAAAAATGCTTTTTCCTTTGTGCAGTTATTATTATTATAATTATTATTTTGCATTTATTTATGTTCTAATTCTGAAGTCCCTATTTTACAGAATGGACGGGACACAGTATGGCCACACAATCATCGTACTGGTTGGAGTTATTGTGTCACTATACCTTCGTGGGTTTTCATTCCAAAATCAAGGAATTCAGATCCTATAGTGGTAAAGTTTATTGATATCCAAATTTTCTTTCATGGCTGGATTTAGAAGTAATATTGTACCACCTCTCTTGTTTGGATTTATTATTATTAGAAGTATATACTTAGTTTGAAGCAAGTAGAAATTATCATATAGTCAGTTTAAAAGTTTTGTTTAAATTGTGTGATTTGTAAAGTCAGACTATAAAATTGAAATGGTGAGGAAAATAGTGTGGAAATTCATCCTATCTTTTAAGAGACATAGTGAGAGAAATGCATTAGAATGAAGGGTATTTGCATTATTTTTAAACTTAAAATGTATTTATAATGTTTGACCAGTTGGGAGTTTCCTTTATAATACACATTCATGATACTATGATGCTGAATTTGAAATATGCTACTAGAGTTATTTTTGTTCGATTTGTAATTTTTGTGCACAGTCTAACTACTTTTTCAATATCCAGCTATAATTGACTATTCTTATCAACCACAAAACTTTCTAACAATAATGGGATTCTTGCATCATTGTCGCTCTTACTGGGCCAATAGTTAAAATTGTCTAATTTTGCATCATTGTTTATAGAATATTACATGCATTCTAACTTCGCAACATTTGTTGTTTGGTCATTGGTGTACCATCTTGTGTTGTGCTTGTTGCTTTGTCACCCTTAACATGTTATTGCCAGTCAATTTGTTTCCCGATTGTCACATTTTTTCTTTCTATTAGTATAGTTAATAGTATTTAATTTGTGTTAAAATTAATTAGATCAAGGGGTATAATGTTGGTGGCTGACAGAAATCACTAGCAGGAGAGCTTGAACTAATTATGTGTGTTGAAGTCCCACATTGACTATAAACATGGCTAAAGAAGAGTTTATAAAGGATAAAGCAATCCTCGACTTATGGCCTAACTTTTGGGATTGAGTTAGGCTTATAAGCCCAAAAATTCAACAATGAGAACTACTAAAGTGGATAATGCATAAATTTAACAAATGTTTTTAAAGTCGAACCAAGATGTGTCTGTGAATGAGCAAATTTTGTCTTACAGAAAAGACTATCCGAGGCAACTTGGCATTAATTACTTACAGATTTTCCATAATTCATTTATTGTGTGTCATTAAATAGTAACTTCTTTGTCAGTGTTCATTTTTAACATCATTAAGGGACAGTTCTACAGGCTTCAAGTTGGCGTACAGTCACCAGAAGGGATTACAAAACTCCATGGAGTATTAAGAAGGTTCAATGATTTTCTAAAGTTGTTTGCTGATGTAAGTTTATCCTTTTTAATTGCATCTTTTTGGTTTGGTTTTTCATGTTTTTGTGCCTAAACCTTGATTCTAATAACTCATTTTCCATTTAATCATTGTTACCTACATGCAGTTGATACTTGCTTTAGTGATAGTGTTTAACACTTCCTGCAATTTTAGCCATTGATACAATTTATTGTAGTAATTGAAGAAATAGCTTAACTCATCTGAAACTCTCTCTCAAGGGGACCTCTCTTCATTAATTGAAGACCGGCTAGAAAATGTCAACATTGGTGAAAGAGTCCAGCAATCATATCCATTTCTACTGCCTCCCTTTCTAATTTACTTCTTAGACTATAAGAATGCTAATTGAAAGATTGAGTACAAATGTCATGATTCAAGAACAGTATGTTGTGATTAAAAAGAGAGTATAAGATGTAGTGTAGAAGTTTCAAAACCGGAAATCTTGCCATTAGAAAACTAATGTCTAAGTTCAAAGTTTGGAACTTAGCCAGATCTAAAAGAAAATCAACATTAACTTTTCATGGGGAAAACAAACATGGACGGGTGGTGTCAGAATATATGAAAATATCTCAGAATATCTTAAATTATCCTCTCTAAATTTAGTTTTCCTAATTACCCAATATCTCTTAGAATTAATTATGATATTTCCTTATCTTATCATGATTTGTATCCCTACTTAGTTAGGATTATGGTTAATATAAACAAGGGTTAGTGCTTTAGATTTTAGGAGAATATAAAAGATGACACTATATTATGGTACATCTTAGTCAATATCTGCTGTTTCATTCTCTTTTATCTCTTTCCTCCCTCTGTGCCTTAAATTCCATAATTTCATTGTGGTATCAAAGTGGTACCATCCTCTTGTTGAGCTCCCAAAAGAATTGTAGGTCTATTTTATTTCCATGATTTTTCTTTCTAAATATTTGTGTATTGTGGTGCCGTATTCTCTCCTCAGTCATTACCATTGTTTTTTGCAACTTTGCCATCAACTATCTGCCGCTGGCTGATGTCTTTTCAGGACAGTCGCAATATGATATGACTCACCACCTCCTTTACAGCCCATCTTATAAGTCTCATGATTATCAGATTCTTCATGTGCCTGCACACTGTTCATCTGTGGCTGCCCTAGCCAGCATATTTCACGCACTGCCTTTGTAGCTTCTGTTCTAGTTGCAACCGGCACATTGAGTTCATCAGCTTCCCCTCCCATCAGCATATATCTTAGAATATTTTTAGTTATCCTCTCTAAGTCTTGTTTTCCTATTTCCTCATCATCTCTTTTTATTAGTTGCCATATTTTCTTATCTGATCATAATTTGTTTTTTTAATTAGTTAAGATTATGATGAATATAAAATAAAGGTTAGTACTTCGGGTTTTTTGAACATACCAAAACATCAATATATTGTAATACATCTCAGTCAATATCAATTGTTTCACTCTCTTTTATCTCTTAGGTTCTGAAAATAGTGTGCCTTGCAATTAAGGGACAGCAATGGTGGCCTCACAAAACATGTTATGACAACATGAGGGAAGGCAACCCTTTTTTGCATCAATGATAGATATTGATAAGAAAGAAAGAGTCCTATTTAGGAAACTTTAAAATTCTTTCAAGAGAGAGAATACTTTTAGTCATCAGATAATAATAGAAATTAATGTTTTATAAATGATTTAAGAAGCACACTGCCTGGGCTATGTGCATGTGTTATGCATAATAGATAGACCGGTAGATAAATATTTTGCATCTGTATTTGTTTAAGTTAGACTGATCGGTAGAATTTTGCCACATGTTATCTTTGTAGCTTAAAAAGGAGTTTCCCAGGAAAAATATCCCTCCAGCACCACCCAAGGGACTCTTACGATTGAAAAGCCGGGCTTTGTTAGAAGAGGTTGGAAATATCTTAACTTATTACAGTACCAATTGTTGCATTTTTTGGTATTATGGATCTCTTTATATTTCATCTTTCCTGAATTTCCTTATGTTCTAAGAACGTAGTTGGCCTAGATGCTTAGCAACTGAAGATTAATTGTACATTTAATTTTGGGTAATGTGTATATATTTTGGTTACCATTGATCACATCCACGCAATATGTTTCTAATCCTTAAATGTCCCTTTTAGATTTGTGTTAAACAATGTGCTTACAATCCAAACACTTAATATCTGCCATCTTCTTGTCAAAATGGGCCCCATTAATTTATTTACAAAAAAATGGAAACATCAATAAAATAAAAATGTTTTCTCATGCTTTTGGATTTCTGCTAGACCTTGTTACTATTTTTTTTCACCTAATCCCTCTAACTTCTTAATCGTCACTTTTCTCTTTGAACAGGAAGAAAAACTACCAATTTTTCATGTGATTGCAACTCAGTTAATTTTTCAGCGTGAATTCCCGTTCAAATAAATACTAAAGAACTTTTAGAGTCAATTTTATATTTGTACAGTTATATTTTTATTTGGTGTTTTAGAAAATATTTGAATTCGAGAAGGGTGCTTGTATATTTTTTGGGACATAAAAAACCTATATGAAATTTACCCCCAAATTCTATTTATTTACGTGGATGTTAAGAGATTATAAATTATCTAGTAAGTTTTCTTGAAATATGTTTAACAGGTTTCTTAATATTCGTAGGTAAGGTTGACTAACTATAAATAAATTTTAAACAAATTTGGTTATATGTTTTATGAGTTGTGCCATCTATAGAGTGGGTCTATCTGTCCCTTCCCCCCCCCCCCCCCCCCAACACACACACAAAAACACACAACAAATTAGATTGAGCCACCTGAGTGCTTGTGGACAATTGAGAATGCAAGAGTTGGCTCAGTGGCCATATATTTTAAGACATTTACTTTTGCTACAGAGAAGGTGCTCTTTGGAGGAGTGGATCACCAAACTATTGTCTGACATTGATATATCAAGATGTGCTGCAGTGGCATCATTTCTCGATTTGGAAGCTGCTGCTAGATCTTGTATGTGATTGTCTTTTGCTTCTGGCATTTAGTTGCCTCATATATGTCTTGTCATGTCATATTTATCTGCTTTATGCTAACTGATTGTTAGCTTTCCCAAATTCTGATATTTTATATCTCATTTAATCACTCTCAGCAATTCAAGATGCAAGCCAGCAGAATTCAGAATCCGATCCAGATTCCAATAACAGAGCTTATTCAGTGCAATCACCTCTCCACTCAAGCTTATCATTAGTTGCTGGCAGTTCGTCTGTGGCCTCAGATTATGGTAGTGATACTGCATATGAGCCCTCTGACCTAGGAACTCCAAGAATTGGACAGGACGATAATTCTGAAGTTGGCACAGATGATTTAACATTAGATGAAGATATGACCAATCCAATAGAAAAGCTTGTGAAATATGGAATATCAAATATTGACGAAGGTTTGTTTGTGGGTCAAACTATTCTGGAGCAATTGGAAGGCCTTCCTAGGCATAAAGCAAATGCCAGACATGTGAACTATGTTACAGAAAAGGACAAAAATAATGGTAATTCATATAATTCTTCACTTTTGGCTAATAATACCATGGAGCTTTTCTCTGAGCCTGGGCATGCCAAGGTTAGTAGTCATGTTCGCAAGCTTTCAAACGAGAGTATTGGAAGTGATGGAAGCTCCATAAGAGGCAGCGACATGTCTAATTTTGGGATTCCAAATTCATCGGGTGATGGCTGTCATGACCTTCCTGGATGTGCTTTAGTATCGAGAGAAACAGATACTATGGGCCATGCAAAGTTGAAGGGTACTGATGATGCTCAATTAGTACTTCCCCTAGATCAACGCAATAAATTGAACAGGATTCTTTCGACAATGCAGCGAAGGCTAATCACTGCAAAAACTGATATGGAGGACCTTATAGCTAGATTAAATCAAGAAATAGCTGCAAAGGATTTCCTTGCAACAAAGGTATACAATTTGGCATGCATTTCCTTGTTATTTTATTTAGTTTACCTGTATCTTTAATTGGTGAGAGACTATTTGAGTTGAAGATAAAATATATCTATAATCTATGGATATCTAAGGATTATTTATGGTTCCACGGAATGCATATCAGCTCAGAATTTTTTATAAATATTAGTTGTGTTTATAGTAGCTGATTGGATTGTTCAGGTCAAGGATCTGGAAATAGAACTTGAAACTACCCGAGAGAAAAATAAGGAGAACTTGCAGCAGGCTATTCTAATTGAGAGGGAAAGGTTTACCCAAATGCAGTGGGATATGGAGGAACTTAGACAAAAGTCATTGGAAATGGAGATGAAACTAAAGTTTGAATCGGTATGACATTCTTGCATTTGTTTTACAGATATTGAACTATTACTTTAGGACTCACTGATTTCAATAATGGCTCATGACATGATATCAGGGTGGAAATTCTAATCAGAACTTGACAAAGGAATCAATTGCTCAGCAGAATGATGTATTGTTGCAGAATTTAGATGCTACTAACGAGCAGCTGGAAATCTTGTCAAAACAGTATGGAGAGCTAGAAGCAAAATCCAAAGCAGATGTTAAAGTTCTGGTTAAAGAGGTCAAATCTCTCCGTAATTCTCAAACAAAGTTGAAGAAAGAACTTAATGAGTCGATAAAGGAAAACTGCGAAACTGAGGTAGGTTATCTATCTATCTGCACATATCATATTTTGCTGGATGTTCTTCCTCTTTATATCTTTTCCCCAAAAAATAGCTTTGTCAATTTTTTTTACTTGTCTTTTCCCCAAAATATATGTATACATTCTGTATTTTTTGGGGGGCACAAACACATTCTTCATTGGACTGTTTTTGTTTTCTGATATAGTATTAGACTCTACTTTCCTCGTATTTTAAATTTATTTATGTTGCCCATTTATTTGTTTTCCTTTCCCATGGTGTTCTATAACTTCTATTTATGTCTTTCATTTTGGAGTTAAATGGAATGTAATTAGCATGATATCATCTTTAAAGGTTAAAATTTCTAATAGCAATTGCTTCCTCAACCGCTCTACCACAATTTCCCTTGTCTGATTTGTGGACTTCAAACCATGTTACGGACCCAGAATGTCTGACATATTCAATGATGCTATGCTTGTGTTTATCGTGTGTATAGAAACTACTACTTCACGAAAGAGAGAAGAGGGAGCAGGCAGAAGCTGCTCGGAAAAAACTGCTGGAAAAATGCAGGCTTCTTTTCAACCGGCTTCAGGAGTGCAATGTCAGTCTTCCTAATGAATATGAAGATAGGACAATCGTGAGTTCATCACCATCATTACCTGATGCTTTTAATCAATTAACGACTTCTGATGACCAAATTGACATCGTACTAGCGGAGGTAAAAGTTTTATCTTTCTGTCTTTCTATGTTTTTGCCAGTTAGAATTAAGCTGCGATTACTTTCTTTAATACAACACATTTAGGGACAATCTCTTCTATCCTGTAAACCTCACTATAATTATGAAACTTATTTAAATTTGCTCAGGTAGAAAACTTAGAGAAGGACTATGGAAGTGAGGCTTCCAATGTAGATAAAACCAATGACATAAAAGATGGTGTAATCTGTGATGATGAAATGAGAAAGATCATAGCAGATTTGTTCATCGATAATGTTAGATTGAGAAAACAGACAAACCGCGTTACAAGGCATGCTCTCAAATTGGACATGACAGCAAGTGATGATTCCCCTTCAATGGAAACTGTAACAAGTATTTAAAAAAATGTGGTTATATATATTGTTCTTCCGCATTTGATCCAGATGCCACTATTTCGATCATTTGCTGTTCCTAATAGGTTAGTTAATCTTATACTGAGTCTGAATGCAGTAGTTCCACTCGTGTATTTCTACTTGTACGAGGTTTTACTTTGCACACAAATACGAGCCTTGCACTACACACCCTTTTTTTCTTGTGAACTTAAAATAACGAAAAGTTGGAACTCATCCAAGGTGCAATTCTGTTTGCTCATGCCTTTTTCTTTTTTATTCTCTATTTTTGTTTAGTAAAGAATGCATTTTTTCGCTGTGGTTATGGAAAGGCAATGGCAGCAGTGTTCTTCGCTATTATTTTTCACTTTAGGCATGAAATTTCACCGTATTCTTCACTTGAGAATTTACATAATTTGAAAATGTAATTTATTTCAAGCGCATTGACCACGTGCCTGTCATATAGCATACTTTTTAGGATAATAAATGATAATAATATAGTCAAAATTAAATGATATCTGTTGTTAAATTTAATAAAATAAAATCATTAATTTTTATTAAAAAAATTAGTCTAACTATTTAATTTATACTTTTTATAAAATATATCAAGCGTATAAATACTTAAAACAATTTAAATATTAACATTTCGTCACTGTACTGTATTTTAACATATGATATTTATAATTTAAGTAAATACGTAATATTAGATTGCATACTGAAAGCTTCAATTATGCAGAATTTTATATACATAATTTTTATGATAATTATTAGAATAAACGGATAAGTTGATAAATAGTTAATGAATGTGTTATTTTACAAAGTTTGACACCTTATATGATTTGATCTTGCTTAAAAAAAATGTCAATTTTCAAGAGTGAAAATTTTCAAAGTAATTAGAGAATAAGAAATATACATAACTTAATCATTTGCTTATGTTTTCAAACTTTTAAATGATAAGAAAAATACATTTAAAATGTTATTTTTATATTTTAAAATTATTAAGTGAATATTTCATAATAGCAATTAAAATTATACACCAAAATAATCAATCTGGTTGAAACAGTCCTGAGGTTTCAGGATGTTAGTTACTTTAGCATTAGAAGAAAACATCTCTTATTATTTCTTCGTCTAATTTTAGATTATAATTGTTCCATCATTATAACTTCCTAGCGAGTTTTCATATCTTATGTGTATTTTAAAATTTTAAAAATTTAAATATTATACATATAATATTTATAATTAAATAATAGAAAAGTTATATCTCAAAAAAATAGTAGAAAAATTATATATCATTTAATGATGAATATCATTTATTATTATTATTATTATATAAATTGAAATATAAAATAAAATACATAAGAAAAGTCACATGACTTAATAAAAACTAATGTTTCATATCTATTTTTAAAAATAATTTTATTTTTAAAAATAATATAACTTCTTTTAAGTGATTCTTCCATCCTTTCATAAATTTTGGTAAGGGAATTTTAACTTTCCAAAAGTTGCACAATGCTGACATGCATTGTGAACTATTTGAATGAGAGAAGTTTTTCAAATGAACGATTGATAATGTTGCAGAGAAAAAGGTACTACAGAAGGATATTTTCATAATTTCCTTCGTCTTCTTGATCTTTTTTTATGCCGGTGTTTTCCTGATCTTATTCGTTGCCGCTCAGCTCCACCATGTGTTTGCCGTTTTAAATTTTTTTTTTTCCTCAATTCTCTTGGTGAAAATTCCCCACCACCTTGCAAACGGAAGGTACCATAAGACCAAAGACAGAAAATCTCCCACCATCCTGCAAACGCAAGGTACTATAAGACCAAAGACAAATCAAAATGATTGGATCAAAACAAGTGTGTTTTTTAATGATGGAAGAAGTTTATGTCAGATTACAAATTGGTTACCGAGCAGATAAGCAAACAAGTTGAATGAGAGAATGTTGCAGGAGAAGATGGAATGTTGTCGCTTGTCGGAGAGAGGCGGTAGCATGGTGGTCGCAGCATATGCATGGTGGAGGGCTATAAGAGAAGATGAAATGTCGTTGAAGAAGACGAAAAGTCGTGGGAGAAGATGAAACACCACCTCAACTTGTCTAGCTCATCCCTCGTTCTCTCCTTTTGTCTAGCCACTGGCCCACGTTTCAACAGCTTCTTCCAGCGCCTGTAAATTCTTCGGCTCCAGTGGCTGTGTTGTCTCAATATGGCACACTATCATGCCATGTCGTGGTGACAGATTTCGACGGGAGTGGTTACAGTACATGAAGGGAAAGAGATCGTGAAACTTAGCTTGGGATGCACGATCGGCGAGGTGGCTCCGTCGTCCTGCTCAGCTTGGCTTCTCTTCGGTGTGTGTGCGTGTCTCGCGCCTCCTATATGTGTCAATGCTGATTGTAAAGCAGCGCACTAAGCTGCTGCAGCGATTTCTGACGAGAGTTGCAAGAGAGGAATGTTGGTGAATAAATAGAGAAAGACGAAGCAATCGGAAATTTGTAATTTCAAGTCTGTTAGATTATTTAATTGAATCAACATTTTACAATTTTTATTTTTTCTTATTAAAAAATTCCTATTACTTATCAAATCAAGGGGAAAATGGAAGAATAATACCCCTTCTTTTATGTTATGTTTATTCATCAATGATTTAAAAAAAGAATAATGTTTTTCTTTTCTAATTTTTAAAACTTGTATAACACTATTACCAAATAGATTTGTTTCTTTAAAAATTAGAATGAAAATACAATGTAAAGACTCTTTATATTGTGATTCAATCTTGTTGCATCAGTGAGAATTAATTTTTTTTAATGATTAACTTAAAAATTATAATCTTTGAGAGTGTAAAAATTTTTAGTCTAAAAGTACATCAAACTTAAACTTCAACATTTCTTTTTACAAACAATTTTGAGAAGCCAAAGAAGATAGAACACAAACAAAACAATCCAAAAATAACTCTTAGAAACTCTCCTTTTAAAAAATGAATATTTAGATTTACAATATAGAGATGGATAAGTATAAAATTAAGCTCGTCATAGGAATATAAAAATAACTACAGCAAAAAGGTTACTTATTTCGGATCTCCATAGAAGCATGGCGTCTTATTTTAGTTCTTCGAAGATTTTTTAAAATTTAGCCAATTAATGCAAAATGTCATCAATTTATTTTTCTCAACAATCGTGTAAATAAAATCGTAACATTCCATCAAATTAGTTATTAAGTTAGGATTTTATTGATAAATTTCATAGTTAAACAGGGAAATTTATTTTTTGTGACTTCAATTCTCAAAGACTTTAGATCAGATCCTATATTTTTTTTTTTATGAAATTAGAACATTTTTTCAAAAAGTTGTCATAAAAAGCATATTTAAAAACATAATTGCATGTAAGAACCTAGTCGTATGAACTACACAGTTTTTTTTTTTGTTACAGCTAATTCACAAAAAATTAAAAGTGGATTCATGAATTGCAGCTAAATTTTAATGTCAAAAAATAAAATTTGATTTGAAAGTCAAACTTATGCTAAGCATCTCAGAAAATAAAAAAACGACTTGATTTCTAAAAAATAATACTCCTTTTGCGTCATAAATAATAGTAAAATATTTTCCCTTAATAAAATAACTGATTCAACAAAATTAAATTAATAACGTGAACGAATTCCAAGTATAAAATCAATGCCTAACCTTTTTTGTTAACTAGAGTAAATTCCAGACGTAAAAATTGACTTTTCTTTTCTTATAAATTGAATAAAATCATTTTCTTGTCTTTAAATAGTCGAAACATAATTAAAGAAAAGAGGGCTTAAATAGTAGACATTTTAATGGCAGGAAAATGCATTCCTTCTTTAATGATTGTTCTAAACAGTTAGCCATAGATAATAGCTAACATGTACAAGAAGAAGATAAAGATATAAGGATGATATTTGCCATGACACGACTTAATCAGCCGAAAACTTAAGGATCACATTATGGGCCTGTGTTTCGCAGAGGAAGCGTCCTTTTGTATGTCAGCCGAAGAATAATTAACATCACATCTGCATGAATGAAATGAATATCCTTTAGAAAACCCCATCCATATACAAAGATAATACCACAAATGGGTAAAACTAGTGTGCAATAAAGAAATTAGACTTTTATAGGTCTTTTCCATCACTAAAAAGCACCCACATTGCGGCACCCATATTGGTCCCTTTGTACAAATCAAAGGACAGAACCAACCATAGCAAGTCTAGGAAGCTGTTTTATTCTTAGATGTGACCCATCCAACCTAAGGTACATTTTGTTAGGGAAGAAAAAAAAAAGCGAGGAAATATACCTCATGATTGAAAAATCAGTGAAGTAACTACTACAGAAAAGCAACCATTTATTTTTTACAAGTTTCTAAAAAATTACATAAATAAATAACTATTTTAAAAAATTTATTATGTATAATGTGTATTTTTTTTATTGCAATCTCAATCATTTGCTTTTAATATGATTATAACCTCACTTTATCCTAAAAGTGGTCGATCACTTTAGAGGGCCCGCACCAGCTAACTCTATTGAGCCACTTTAGCACGTTGCCATAAAAGGTATCAGTAGGAGCCAAAAGCCGTTAAATAAATAAATAAATAAACTTAATTAAATGGTTATTTTATGCAACGATTCTTTTAAGTGTATTTATCAGAATTTTCATTTCAGGCATTAGTGGCATACCTCAAAAACATTTATCTGCTTGACGCGGCTCAACAAGAACATAAAGTGGCTTTCCGATAAGCCTGCACTGTCCCTGAAAGAGAAGGCTTTATTTAAATTTCATTTCCATGATTTCAAGAAAATAAAAATAAAAAATTAAAGGAAGGGGAGAAAAGTTATATTACTGAACATTTTCACCATCTGAAATGAAATTACAATATGGTAGATGACCAAAATATAAATAAAAAGATAGACAATTTTCAAGATTAAAATAAAATAAACATTCATGTTGTCAAAAAAGAAATTATAAACGGTTGCGAATATTTTAGGACAATAAATATTTTTTTTTTAGTAATTACTTGTGAAAACAAGAATTGAAAACAAAAAATTGATTTTTCAAATCAAACGGGCTTAAGTAATTTATGTTCTAGCAATTAGTAGAGAACTCATTTCAGTGTTTTGCCATTATCTAAAAGTTGAAGATGTTATATTAACCATAACCACATTCTTAATATAGGATATAAATTAGTCACTCGTGATCATTATATCAATCCAGCAGAGAGAGAAACAGGCATTATCGGCTCGTTTAAACTAAATTCAAAAGAAACTGATTATGTGCGATAAATTCAATGCCTTCTACTATCAATATGAGAAACAAGTCATGAATTATAATTATTTATTATTCATTTTCGGTTAAGGACTTTTAGCTTTTGAATGACCTATAATAATTAATAACATAGAAATTTCTGAGATTAAGTACCAAAACAGACATAACTTACAAAAGCTTAGCCACTTACCTTGACCTCAGGCACGCCAATCACACAGGCACATTCCACTACTTCAGCACCAACACGTTCTGCAAAACAAGTTGAAAGAAACCATTTAGCATACATGGGACCACATACACTGAACAATCACAAGTGAAAGATAGAAGAAAAAATACAAACAGTTAAAAAAAAAAAAATGCCCACAAATCACCTAGAAGTTTTATTCCTGCTGACAGAGTTCCACCTGTGGCCACCAAGTCATCAATAATTATGGCACGTTCACCATGCTGAACAGCTCCAACATGCAACTCTAAACAATCAGTTCCATATTCTAGAGCATATTTTTCTGAAATTACTTCCCCTAAAAATAAAGCATATCAAAGTCAATTTAGGCATACTGTCAAGGCCCAATCCAGCATGGTGAATGTATATTAAATAGACATACATGACTCAAAAGGCTCAAGCGTTCAAGAATTACAAAAAGAAATTTCATTTGAAACTAAATTAAGATTTTATTCCACCTATCTGCTGAAGCCATTTGGGGAATGATAATGCATATACAAGTGTGCCAGTATGGCTGTGGAGAAGGGGATTGGGAAAACAAATTGGAATCGGATCTAAAAATGTTTGATTCCATTCATACCAAAGAGATTAGTATTGATTTAATTAATTTTGGCAGAATCCATTTGAAATTATCACAAAAATGAAAACATTATACGCTTGAAGCTGGGCTTTCACTACTCAATCCCTGTAGTATATCAGTATTAGCCTGAATCAGTGATTATTACCCAATTTTGACAACTGATTTTCAACTTATATTTCATGCTATATGCACTTACAACTATGACAATAGCTATTGATCCCACATAGCTTTCGTCTTATTGTCAGATGTATGTGCTTCAATGTCTAGTAAATGAAAGTAAGCTGAAAATCAACCATTTCAGTGTTGATCAATACATAAAAAAGTAAGCCTTTGATTTTAACCCAGCTTTCAAAGAAATTGAAAGCAAACTTAACTCAATTTGAAATCTTGAGGCACCAAATCGTAGAAATGTTGACAAGATTGTTCAATGCAGATTAGGCAACATATAACTCCCACTACTAACAGTTAACACACTAAGTAGTAATAACCAAAGTAGGACCAAGACTTTCCATTCAGAGAGGGCAGTCCCACTCCACAGAAAGTGATCTTCAGATTTCGTTTGTTATGGCCCGTATTTGGTACTTCCAAGTTTGAACTTTGACCGAGTTAGGGAAAAATTCCTTAATCAACACTCGACAAAACACAAACATACCTGGCAGCTTCCGAGGTTTGCGTAAAGGAACAAACTTTGCACCAATGCCCAACGCAATTGAGGGACCAAACATGAAACCCCTCGCCTCAATTCCTACATGTAATCCAGTTACATTAATAATTAGCACACAAATCAACCAAATGCAACATCTTCAGCAATAGCTCATTAAATCTAACCCTCATGAGAAGGATCCAATCCAGCAGATGGAGTAGTTGATGTGTCAGTGCGTATAATGATAACCATGTCTGAGTTAATTTATTTTCTAGAAGAGGCCATTACAAGACATTTATGTGGCCTATATTAAGTTCATCATATATGTGGCCTTGATTATTTTGAATGTCACAAACGGTACCTACCTATACTACCTACCTCTTAAGTGCATCCCCCCTCCCCCCCGATAAAAAAAAGGGGAGTTTATTGCGACGAAAATCGGAGCACAAGTAAACTAGCTTTACTGAAAATGAAGCCCTGTAGCTTCTACTTCCATTTCCAGCTCCAAAGAAAACCGAATGCTAAACATTTCTTTATTAATAAAATGGAGGAGAAATTCTGAAGAAGAAATTGCGTTCAGAAAAAAAAGCAAGAAAGGGAATTCAAGGTCTACGCCAATGCCACTAAAAGAAGACCAAAAACAAATCCCATAAAAGATTTGAGAAACAAATATTAAAAAAAAAATGAATTAATAGTGACAGTTGTGGAGCAGGAACAACCCCGGATCTCTTTCTCCAAAGGAAAAAGAAATCTTGGTGCCAATATCAACACCCCATTAAATTCCAGCTTCAAGTTCTGAAATTTACCTTCTTTATTTTTCTGTTCTCGAAACAAGAAGAAGAAAAAAAAAATTTTAAGGGGAAAAAAAAGACTAGTAGCGGACAGGAGGGAAGAGAAGCTCATAGTAGAGTACAGCACGGTACCGGCAACAACGGAAATGTGCATGTCTCTGTAACGATCGACAAAAATGTCGACCGTGTCTTTAAACGCCTTGTGATCCAACAACAATGTCGTTATGTCTTGGAACATTATACCTGCGAATTTCATCGCCACCCATTAATTTAATCCACAAAAACACACCCACCCCCTTTTTAAAAAAATAAAATAAAATAAATGTTTGCAGATCTAAATGTTTGATAAAAGTTCAAAAAGAAACTGCTACAACAAACCAAGAAAAATAACAGATTTAAATAAAAAATTAAATGAAGGCAATAAGAGGGAGCAGAGACAGCGAAGGAAGCGGTGTATTTGTAAATAAAATATTTAAAAAAATAAAGAGAGAGAGAGAAAAAGAGGAACCTTGTTTGGGGAAGTGAGGCACCACTCTGATGGCTTGGGAGATAGCTTGAAGTCTTGGGTCTCCCCTGAGACCATTCTCTTCGGCGAACATTTTTGTGTGTGTTTTGTTGCTCTGAGCAAGTGAGTGTGCTGTGCTGAGAGAAAAAAAAGGTTCTTTGCTTTGGGACTTGACCTTTTATGTATGTTTATTTTCCCTCCGAAACTGTTATTTCTATGGGAGAGAAGAACGAATGGTTTGGTTGTGTTGTGTTTTCAATTTAACTTTAAAGCGTGGGCACTTTGTTTGAGCTTATTTATGTCCAGCGTCACCACAACCCAGCACATTGTATTGTAACGTAACTCATCATCACCACGCGATCTTCCCTCGTCCATGTCCCACGCTCTCTCTACCATCTCTCAAATTATCCGCATCCAATTAATACGTTAGTCTTTCATCTAATCTAAATCAAATCAAATCAGATAGGATCTCACATGTTCTTTCTTTTAAATATATTCAATGTTCCTAATGAATGTAATGAATATTGGTGTGATTTCGAATTAATGAGATTCTTTATTTTCATTTTCTTCATTGTTACTTTAAAAAGTATTGGTTTTCAAATTTTTCATTTCCTAATTTGTTGAGCTGATTTTGGTGACTTACATGTAGGAATTACAGAAAGCGAAATATATTTTTCCATCTATTTTGACTTTTTTTATCTTTAAAGATTGTGGTATGGATAGGTGTCGGGCATTAGGATGCTCATCCAACTGCATAAAGGATAGAGGGTATTGATTCAAAAGATTTTCTTACATGCAAGAGATTTGTATCAATGTACTTACAAAGTACAAATCATTATCATTTTTCCTTTCTTTTTTCTTTTCGTGAATGAAATGCTCTGACCTTTAATGATGCATAAACGTAAGGCAGGTATTCCTTTCCACTAACTCTGGTTTAAGAAGACAGACAGAAAGAAAGAATATTAATAAAAAAATGTCGAAATTTTGAGATAAATTCAAGTTATTTGTTATTATAACAAATATAAATAAAATTAATTATGTTTTTAAAAATAGTATAATTTTATGACTACTTAAACATATTTTACGGTGTATAAATTTGAGTTTAGCTTTTTAAATTTTTAATTGATCTGATTTTTGAAAATTTTTAAAAATAGTATCTATTTTTACCTTGTAATTCTGTGACACATGAATATATAATCAGGTTATGTTAATGATTATTTAAAGATGATAATAATGTGACATGTCTAGATATGTAACATTGTCAACACTTAATGGCGATGATTTTTTTAATTTTATTTTAAAATTTGTGAAGACTAAAATGTAAGATTAAAAACAAGTTCACGGTGAATTTAGAATAATTTATTAATGTTTTATAAAAATGTATTATGGTGCAGTTTGAATAAACTCCTTAAAAAAGTAATAGAAGAAAAAAAAAATGGATAATTTTTTTATAATTTTTAAATAAATATGATTTTCCATTCTTTTATAAAATTTTTGAGAAATTATTTCATTTAAATTCTTTAAAATTTAAGAAAATAAGTTGTTTTTAATTTATGATAAAAATTTTATTTGTTTTTATAATAATTTATGTTTTCTTTAAAAACTTTTTTAGGAATTTACCAATTTGAACCTATGACTGTTTTAATTTTTAAAAAATAGTATAATTTATTCAAATATATTCTTAAATTAATCTACTAAAGTGTGTGATAATAAATTATAACGTATAACTTTTCAGCACAATTAATATATTGATTCCATATTAAAATAATTATATTGACAACGACTAAAAGGACACTCTATTTTTGTATGATGCACGTGAGTAATGAGGATAGGTAATAAATGACAATACTAATATTTGCTCTTAAAACTAGATTTAAACAAGTAAATACAATAAGGTTTATAAAAAAAAAAATGATTGGGTTAAAAATGCAGAAGTATTGTAGATAACTATTTTTTAATTAAAAAAAACATGAGTTGTATGTACTCAAAATAAGCATTGAAGCTAAGCTTTGCTTTGTTTATCTTATAAATATCCTTAATTTGGTTTTAAAAAAATTATTATTTATAGTAGTCTTGTGTAACTTAAATAAAATTATAATCGGTAAAAGATATCTGTAGTCTAAAAAAAAATTAAAAATAATATTAATAAAATTGAAAATATAAAATATTTGTCGACCCTTTCTGGTTTTTTTGAGACTTTAATTGTATGTGACATTTTTAAATCATTTTTGTTTTACTGTTTTCTTTTAATACGATCAAACCATGGATAAATTTAACCAGGAGTAGTATAAAGTCTTATTACATTTATACGTGTGGAGTCCATGTATAATAAGGAATTTTGCATTTTCTATGTACATGTTTTTTTGGGCTAGAGCAGTGGAAATTATAATTAGTTTTAAGCCTTTTAGATTTCGAACATTGCATAAATTTTCACTTTTAAAAAATTATAAGTTTTTTTTTTCAGTTCTCAATTTTTTTTTTATTTCAATTTGTGCAATTTGTATTGGATTAAATTGGCCTTAATTATATATATTTTTAAGGACATGTTGGGCCTGAACTCATAAATGAAATGATTAAATAAAAAAATAAATCTGAATATTTAAAATTGAATATAAACATTTAATAACGATAAATATTTTACTAAAAAAATATTTTTGAATACTTTTGTATAATAAAGAGAGTTTAGAAATATAATTGTTATTGATATGTATGTAGAATAGACGCGCAGAAGAAGGAGGTGGGAGAGGTGAAGGGAGAAGAAGCACTGTTGATGCGCACGCGAGTGTACTATAAAAACATGATAACATGATCATTAATACCTTTAGACCATCCATCACATCCCTCAGATTCAGATTAAATTTCCTCTCCTTTCTCTTCCTTCTTCCTTTTCCGCATTCCAACGCCCATCATCCCTCCTTATCGACTTTACCATATTTCCATATAATCATATCAATTTCACGTGTGCCTTCATTCTTTCTACTTATCCTCTGCCCCATCAATTCCCCAACATTTCTAACTCACACTGATAACTACGTAACAGTTCTATTTTATTAATCATAAATATAAAATATAGAAACTTTGTTTTAATAATTTGATTATTGTTTGAATAATTCACGCTTTGTTTACTAGGAGTAGGATGAATATACAATCTTGAAAACTGAACGGTGATAAATGAATATGGGTGATTGGCATAGGAAGGGAAACTGTTAATAATTATGCAATGATACACATGGGTTATATAAAGGGGTAATGGTTGTGACTGGTGAGGGAATTAGTAGATATTCATAGGATGAGGGACCCCACACAGTGTGAATGCATGATCTTGCTTGTGAATAGCCATTTTATATGCAGGAGGGGACCTCGTACTATGAGGCTATCATCAGCTTTTCTCTCCTATCTGGAAAGAGGGCACGATCCTATTTCACCTAACCCAAACCAAATCTTTTAATTTTACACTTTATCACTAATCATAGCCTGACAGATACTCTCGTGATGCTTACAATTTGTTTAACAATAATAATTATCCATCACTAACTTAACAGCCTGACAGATCCTATCGTAATCTCAACATTCCTTTAATATAATTTTTAGCTGCTCCCTGTTTTGAATTTTAGTCCTTACATGTGGGTTTTTTTAAACAAAAGGACACAGATACGATCCAAATGGAGATCTTGTACTTGCATGCTTGCAAATTAAGAAGATTCAACAATAATGTGATACCAAATTTAATGTATTTTAATACTACTGTTTTTTTCACAGAATTTTACGAGAGGAGATTTTGCGTCTTTCCATGACAGATGAAATTATTGTGTTCGAAGATTATTTACAGATAAATTGCACAACCTTGTAGTATGCAAGATGTTATCTTATTTCATTTGACTAATTTTTTAAAGTTACTTAAAATTTTTTTTTTCTCGAGGCAAATAAATGTGAATAGAAGCAGTAGTAAATTTTTCATGCATGTTCAAATTTAAGTAAAAATTATAAAGAAAGTTCTCATTAAACACACACCCCTCTGTTATGAAATGTGTCACTATCTAATTTTGCATCAATTTTTCAAGTGAATTGCAAATAATCTTTCTCTTCTATACAACGTGTGGAGGAGCTCTATCGTTGTTTTCGTCTGCTATATAGCTTTCGTGATCGTGATATACTTCTGAGGATTTTTATGAATATAATAATCAGTTGGTGATGGAAGATGTTCACTAAGAGCGGACGAGACAATGGTTATTTGTTATATCTTTATCCTTATCAAGTGTTTCTCAAAAGATGGATTTTTTAATTAACTCAAAATGATAGAATTTTTAGTGAGGTGGCCAATTGGGCATTAAACAAACAAGTGTTTTATATTTGGATCAAATATTTTATTTGATCTAGATTTCTATCAAATTTTTAATAACATAGAAATACCAGCAGATCTTTAGGAGGACAAGGTGCTCCTATTATTGCCCTGTCTCATTCTTAATTTGTTTTATATTACCTATTATTCGTTTCTTCGTCGATATCAACGTCAGTTTCTCTAACTCCACATTAATCTCATCTCCACTTTTCTTGTTAAAAAAATGCTTTGTTTCTTTGGCTTTGGAGGACAAAAGAATCAAGATCTGAAGCCAAAGCTGAACCACCAGTCAACAAAAGACTAACTTATTTCAACAAGGATGTAAAGCTACGCAGGAGTGAGTCATGCAATAGTTATTTTCATATTTGCAAGTGATTGTTAATCGGTTTTGTTAACTTTAAACATCTAAAAACAAGATTTTTTTATTACATTAAAGATACAAGAGTGTAATAAATATTTGTTTAAAATAACAATTTATTATTTTTACAAGGGCTGAGATTAACAAAACTGAATACTAAATGGGTTTGCAAGAAAGTGTTTAACATTCCAAAGCAACTTGGCATTGATAGTGAAAGAGACATCTCAGCTTTCATATTAATATGGTCCGTCCTACTAATTATGTTGTTTATGAAAAGATTTTAAAATGATTGTAAAATAATGTGGTGAAGTCGGTATTAAAATGGGAACAATAATGGATCTACTTAGTTTAGGCCCTTCAAAAAGGCAAAGGCGAAAAAGGAATAAGAACCTTAGGCCGGTGGATAGCCCAATATGTCGGCCTTGAGGCTTATTCCTTATTCAACAATTGTTTCTACGGTGTTGAATAAAAAGGTTGTTAATAGATTAAATGTAAACCAGGAAAATTAAATTGAAAGTGAAAAATAAAACCATGATTAGATCCCATTTTGAAATCCAATTCAATTTAAACTGAATTAATTTCAAACTTTTGTGCGTGATCTCAAACAATTTCTACCTAATGAACTTTTTTAAATATAAATTTAAAAATACTAATTGTTGAAGTATGATATTTTCTTAACAATTCAGGTATTTAACTTTATAATTAATATTTATTTATATTTAAAAATATATAATACATTCAAATGAAGTAGATTCGTGAAAAATTGATTAATTTTTAAATTTTACAAATTTAATTTACTTTAAAAAATTTAAAATTTTAGATTGATAAATTTAATTTTCACAAAAGTTATTGAATCACTAAATTTAATAATATTTACTCTTAGACTTTGTTTGAGAGTTTGAAGGAGAAATAAATAAATTGTTTGAAAAGTATTAAAAAAAACTAGGAGTGAGAGTTAATATAAAACTATAAAAAATTTAAAAATACAATATTAGAAGGGTTTTGGAGAGTTTACAAATCCTCTATTTTTTATTTAAAAACTTTCAAATAATGATAACCATCGTATAAGCATTTACATTCTCTTAATTTTTTTTTCTCAAAAATTAATTCTCAAATAAAGCTTTAGAGTCAATAAATTTTTACTTTATATATACATTGTGCAAATTACTTTTAGTTGAATTTGCAATTTTAGAATCAAATTAATTAAAGAAAATCAATAAGATCGGATAAAATATTTTTTCTCTTCGAAGACGAATTAGTCTAGTTCTCAAGTACGCTTTCAAAATAGTTAAGCAAAATATGATCACTTCTCCTTCTGAACTAAATTTAACAAATTATGTCTTCCTTTACCGAATAAAGTGGAAATATGTAGTAATGATGAATATCCTACACAAACCACAACATGGTCAAGGTTAAATTTAATTACAGCACGAAAATGAATTGATTTCAGACGAAGTCAATAGCCGAATTGCAGACTTTAGCCTTGTATGGTACTATCTAACAACTCTTTGTAATGTTTATCATATATAATTTACAATGATCACATTATTGTTTGGCTGGGGAAGTGGAAACTTTGGTTGTATAATTACAAGAGTGTTTATCAGTGTCATGATGGCTAAATAGTATAGGGTGCCTACTGGCTACTGCCAATCCTTAAAACAACCGTGCTGAGTTGCTGCAATAACAGTTTAGAGCTTAAAGAGTTGCATAAGTAACTTTGATTAAGATTTAAAAAAAATGTGAACCCCAACTAAGGTCGAAAAAGTGAGAGGAAAAGTAAGGTACTAAAAATAATGTCACTGTATGACTACAGTAAATTTATGAACGACTTTACTAATTTTATAAGAGCATTTCAAATTAAAAATGAGAGTATCAGAGCACAAAAATTAGATCCAGGAGCATGTCCAGGGTTGTTCAACATTCATCAATTTCTCATAAAGATTGATAGTGTACAGAATTATTTTAATCTCATTATTTTATACATATGTATATATATATATATATATATATATATATATATAAAAAATTACTTTCAAATCAAAAGGGTTTCACCTTTAGGTGTCAAGAAAACATTTTTCCTTACACTTATAAGGTTTGATGAAAAATACTGTATAAAAAGATAAAAATAAAAAATCAGCTGTCCTGGCAACTGCTTCGCTCGATCAAAACTCTTGCAATTCAATTCACAGTTCTATGACATTTAGAGGAAACAAAATACCATAGCTAGGGGCAGATGATTGGTGTAAGAATGCAATACATATTAATGGAGGAAATGAGCAGATTAGCGGGCTGCAAGAAAATTTATTGTCCGAAAAAAATTTATGGCAGCCTGCATCACATTAATATCATCATTATTAATTCAGAAACACAACAAAAACAGATCACAAGGATCAATCCAGAGAAAAATGAACAAAAATTGCTCCAAGAAACGATGCGTAATATGTATCTTGATTCAATGCTTATTTTACTAATTTCCTTCAAGCTTCTATAATCTCAACAAGCATATTGTGAATCTTCTATACAGTGTTAAATGTTCATTATGCATGGCATTGCATGGAAACTAAATATGAACAGAGCTAATCTAGTTGTAAGGCATATGTACAACTTTAACATTCAGTGTTAGCCACATTGGCATTTATATATAATTACAATTTTCATGTGAAATGTTTGTTCAAACAGCAGCTGATGAACTCCTTCACTAGTTAGTTAATCCAACTACCGACCGGTGGGTAAGTTAACACCTTCTCTGAAAAGGATGTTAGCCACTGAAGATGTCCATGTAGGGCTGCTAGCATTCTGGCTATCTGTATAATGAGTTTCATTCTCCATTGCATTAACATTCATGTTCCTCCCCATTTTCTTACCAATTAACAGCCCCAGTTTCACAGCAGTAAGTAGGCCAAATGCAATTAGAACAGGTCTAACTGCCCAGTGATGATCCTCTACATGTTGATACTTCTCTATCATCCTTGGACAAGTCCTAAATTTAACAACATCAACCTCGGAGGGATCAGCCAAAAAAGTGCTTGGTTCATTGCCAAAGGTCAACATCCCTGGGAACTTAACAACTAGACATCCATTTGGCAGGATCCAAGATATCTTGCCAGTAGCCCAGGCACCTCCCTTTTTACGGGGCCATTCAAATCGAGGACTCAAAATGTTGGCTTGCAGCCTAATAAATTGGCCAACACAGTAAGATTCTGCCATTTCAAGTTCTGAAGAATTTCCTTTCCAAAGAGTTTGCAGACCAATAAACCCAACAGCCACTCTGCCATCACGATCGATAGAATGAAGAATACCCACTGGTGAGTGCTTCTCATCTTCTTCCTTCGAGCGTACCCAATCACCAGCTGCCAAACCGTTAGTGACACGTTCAAGAGTAGATGCATGAATCCTTACAGGGTCATGAACACCATGGACCCTAACTAAAACAAATCCATGATCTGCATTACGTTCTAAACCAACTACATTTCCTTCTGGGACCTCCATGTTTTGAGGTTTGCATGAATTGGAAGGCTTTCTGGATCGCACTATGTCACCCACCTGAAGATGATCTTTTGAGAGGAACCACTGTGTGCAGCCAGTACTACTAGATTTTACTATCGTTTTGCAAGTTCCAAGATATCTCCATTCCCCATCGTTGGCTACTGCATCCAGTGAGCTGCAAAGTAGGTAGAACAATTAAGAATGAAGTAAATATTTAATAACTGATCTTCTTTTCTTCATGAGGTTAAATAGAAATTCAATGAAAAGATTATTGTTTTAATACTCTCTGGTACAAAAATTATTTCAGAATATTTGGAAGCACAAGTGTAGAGCACTTCCACTAATTCCCAAGTCCCAACTAATTTACAGCCCAGTAATTGTTTGGAGTTCATAATCAAGTCTCCACAAGATTCAAGCTTACAAGGAATGCATGCGTGGGTGTCTCATAGACTAGTTATTCAAAATGAATGTAACTAAAAAATGAATGTGACTAAGTCCAAATATCCACCATAATTTTTTGTAAACTAAAAGTTCAGATTTGGGGAAGGCTCACCCCATGCTAGTTTGGGGAAGATCACCAACCTCAACCAGGGTTAAGTTAAGATTACTAGCACCTACCAATGGGTTACCCTAAAATCAAAACCAAGTCCTAGTTTTGCAGGAGCAGAAGGCCAAGCAAGTGAACCACCTCCCTATTTACATCTACCATAAAACTTTGTAAAGCTATAAAAAAAAGGCTACCTATTTACAGAAACTTCCTGGAAAAATATAGAAAGCTTACGAACCTTCTAAAGACGGTCAGAATATCCACCATTGAAGGGCGATTCCTCAAATCATACTCAAGGCATCCACTGAGGATATTTTCAATTGAAGAAGGAAGGCCACTGGGAATCTGGGGTTTGTCACATTTTTCAACAACCGCCTGGTATATGTCACTAACAGGATGCCCATACCAAGGTTGATTACCAGTCAACAATTCCACAATAGTGCACCCGAATCCCCATGAATCTGTTTCAAAAGAGATAGGGCCTCTGACTTCTGGTTGCCATTGTTCAGGAGCCATGTAATTTGGAGTACCAAGCCTGTGGGCCATATCTGAGCTTAGGAATGATGAACCAAACAGAAGATTGGGAATACCAACATCTCCCAGTATTGCTTGATCACTATCGTTGAGAAGCACATTAAATGGTTTAAGGTTGAGAACAAGGACCCCTTTTGAGTGAAGTTCCAGAATACCTTTAGCCAGATTAATACCATACCTGCAGCCAATTACATGCCTTTAGTATTGACCATTTTTTTCTCCCTCCTCCATGTACTATAAAGAAACAGGTAAACATATTTCCATGAACACACCAAAATAACATTACCTCAGAACATGAGGCAACGAAATCCTTCCCTCTCTGAGTCTAGTCATCTTGTCACCAACTGAACCCTCATAAAAATTCATAATGATGCAAATCTGCAAGCATAAACAAATACATTAGCTAGATAGGAAGCTAAAGGTCTCCCATGTACTGAATAAAATGCATAATTGAGGCCTAACCCTTCCATTTAAAATTGAAGCTCCAAGTAACGAACACGCTCCAGCCACTCCTTGGCACTGAAAATATAATTCACGAAATTTCTCCAATACAGTCTTCATATGTTCCTCTCTGATTGGAGGTAACATCTTGGCAGCAACTTCATGATACTCATCATAATCTTCAGTTGACTGATGATGAGTTGCTAACCAAACATCACCAAAGGGTCCTCGACCAATTCTGTGTCTGAGTTTCAACCTTTCAGGTTCAATCCACGGGTCCGTGTTGCTCAACGAGGCTGTGACAGTTCTAAGGTGCTCAGGATCATCAACCAAGAGTTCAAAATCAAAAGGTGATGGTGGATTAGCAATATCCTGTGCCATTCTTCAACCTGAAGTGGCAACATTCATAAAATAATTTAGCGAATTGCAGAAATCACAACACATTATACAAGCAGGAATAACCAACAAATCAATATGAAAGACAAAAATAAAGGGTCCCAAGAATTCAAGTGTTTCAATCTCATGAACAGAGCTAGGAAAAAAAAAATTGACCAGATAAAAACTAAAGCTTTAATATTCATTTGGATCCTTTCCCTTTGCTGAACCTCAAAGTTTCAATCTTCCGTGAATCTAATGCCCGAATCAATCGCTGAAAAGCGGTTTCTGAAAGAAACCAAATTTGCCCCCAACACAACTTTGACTCAATATAGAACCGTAATGGCTCACTCACTTACCCACACCCAAACATGCAAACACATGAACACAACTCGTATTCACCTTCTGAGAAGTGAGAACTAAGGTCTAAGAACAATAATACAAAAGGCATGCAAATTTATATCCCCACACCTTGGTTTGATGAAGAAACAAGCGAAGTTAAAAATATGAAAATAAACAACAGAAACAATAAAGAGTACCCAAATCACTGTGTACACTTACTCAGAAGTTGAAAAAAAAAAAAAAATCTTATGTGAGCACAGAGAAACCAATGGCTTTGTGAGCAGAGAAAGTGGGTAGCTTTATACAAATTGAATCAGAGAAGGAGAACAGAAGAAGAACATAACCAAAATAAAACTGGGGTCGTGGTCTTCTTTATTTGAACGAAAAAATAACAATTAAAAGCAAAGGGTAGAACTGGTATTTCAGGCGATGATGATTTAATGCGATAATTGTTGATAAGAATAAATTAATGGTTATTTTTCATAATTCTTTTTATTGTGTAAATTGTTTTATATTTATTGTTTTAGTAATATAAACCTAATAAAATGTAATAATATTTTAAAATTTTAAATTTACAAATACACAATAAAAATTATTTTTAATATTTAAAAACTAGATTAAATAAAATAGTAATAAATGTTTTTAAATAAGGTTTTGTAATTTTTTAATTATGAATATAAGCTAAACAAATTTATCAATTAATAAGTTTTCTAATATACAGCGATAAGTTTATGAAATACAAATATTTAATATATTTTATCCATGATGAACAGTGAACTTCCTCTTCCAATTATTGGTACAATTCTTAATAACTAGAACTCGAGACTTAAGTTAACTCGTTCATGCAAAAAAAAAATAAAAGTGATAATCTTGAAATAATAAATATTTATATTATAATAAAAAAGTATTTTATATTTATTTCTTTGTCATGGGTTGATCCGTTTACGAGTATATGTTAGAAAATTTCTTAAATTAAATAAAAATATTACACATTAATATTGATTAAAATAAAATAAAAATTATTCATAAAATTATATAACATTTAATATTTTCAATATAATTAAGTATAATTTTCAATAAAAATTATTAGTATTTTTTAATTGATGTCTATAAAATACTTGCTAGTCAAAATTTTAAAAATTTGTTGTAAGTTTGATTAAGGGAGGAAGAGGAGAGGGTTTTTATAACATTGTTCTTTTTTGAGAGTTACTGTTAAATAAAGAAAAAAGAGAAAGATAATTAGAAGCTTTCCAAAATTTTTCTCACACATAATTTTAAAGCTTTTTCAATTTACTTTTTTAAAGAATTAATATACAAATAAAAAAGGAGTTAAACTCTCTTTATCCATTAAGATATTTCTTTTTCTCTTCTTTCAAACTAATATATTCACTTAAAATCTTTTAAAAATTTGACTACGAGACTAAAATATTTATTCGTTGAGAATTTTGTTTCTTAGAAAATAACGACTTAACTTTATAACTATTAGGGTAATATGCCTTAAAAATAAGTATGAAATAACATAGTTTAAAATAAAAAATATTAAAACAATCATTTGCCATCACTGGGGCATGATAAATTGATTATTCTGCCGTGCCCTGAGTTCAACGCCGTATTATGTAAGATTTAACGTGGCTTCCAAGTTGCAGTTATTCATAAATAAAAAAATGGAGCATTCCCTGTCGTTGTGCTCTAGGCTGATAGGAATGTCTTGTATGAATGTGTCTACTATTCCAAAATGTATAGCCAAAAACTAGACAATCTTAAAAACGAATGACAACATGGTCAACTTGTAATATTTAAAGGATGATTTGTAACTTGCGCTATTTTTTTTTTCATCACATCCACATTATAAAGGTTTAAAGAATGGGGTTTTAGGGATTCAATTACATGTCCAATAGAGGTGAACAAGGCCAAATCCTAAGATAATACCTATGTAAATCACGTGCAGAATCCCTTACGGATAGAAGATGACAAATGTTAATTTGAATTTTTCAAAGTAATTGAGATGTGCAACAAGATCATTATACGGGGAAGCAATGAATAACACCTGAATTGCAGGAAGCATTACCAGCCAAAGTCCTAATTCACCAGAGTCCGAAGTTTTTATTTTTCGCGAGTTTGAATTGTAGTTTGCACACTCCAAAATTTTGAAGAGCACATATTAAGTTTAATCCAAAATTATGTTTGGCAAAACCATTGATTTGTTGTTTTTTAACATGATTTTATTTTTAGGTCAACCATAATTGAAGTGGAACTGAAAAAAAAAAGTTACTTATTTCTTGAGTCAAACAATGGTTGCCTTGGGGAGTTAGTGGTATAATAAAAGACGTTGGAGTGAAGTGGATCATATGAAGTGACAAGTTCAAGCTAGGTTCACCTTTTTGTGGGTGTGATTTGAGATTGAAAGCAAGTGAGGAAATACACGAGCCATGAATTAACCAATTGGTGTCATGGATTTTAAGAGCAGTGATGCATAATGATCGGTTATACATTACAAAATAGAAAAAACAAAAATGTAAGGAGAAGAGATGCACAGAGAAAGAGAAGTTAAGAAACAAATAATTGTCCTTCCTCATTGAACAGTAGTGTTGTAAATGAGCAATTGAGACATGGAATCGAAAACAGAGAGGTAGAGAGATAGTGATATACAAAACTAAGCAGTGGGAAGAACCTTTTTAACAATCTCCTGGCTAAGAGCGGCAATTTGGGCATCGAGGGACTTAATGGTCTCTTCCTTTTGCCTCTCAAGGTTAGCCAGAGCTTCCTGCAACTCTGCTTCCACCTTCTTTCTACCTTCTGCAATCTTCTGTTCAACCTCTGCCTGTGTCTCCTTCTTCATCTGATTAAGAGCCGCAGATATCTCTGCCCGAGCAGCTTTCATCACCGCATTCGCCTTCTCCTCTAACTGCTTCACCTCTTCTGAGGTGTCCTTTACGCTGCCCAGCTTCTCTCTGATCGCCGCGTCCCTCTCGTCCATGAATTTCCCAAGCGGGGTGAAGTATAACTTGTCCAACGCTACCATGAGCAGCAGGAATTCCACCATTATAATGGGGAGTGTGAGGTTGAAGTCGAATAGAGCTGCTTTCTCAATCTCTGCGGCGAGGGAGGGAGGGGCCATGGCGAGTGAGCTTGCAGCCATACCCACCAGGGAGAGTAATTGAGGCTTTGAAATTGGGAGTTTGAGTTTGAGGGTTGAGACTTTGGGGAGTGAAATTTGCACAATTGGGAGTCTGGGGGTGGATGAACGGGAATTAGTGGCAACTGGAACCAAAGGTTTGGAGGAAGCCATAATCATGTTGGCCATGGCAACACCTTTCTGTGATTTGTGATTAGAATGATGGATGTGTCTCTCAGGATTGAAGGGAAGAGGAGGATTTCAGAGGAGGGCTATCCCAATTCCTTGCCACACAAATTCATGAGGCTGTGTGCCACTGCCCCTTTTTTTTTTTTTGGTCTGGTCGGATGTGGCACTGTCTAATGGAATCTGGAAGTTGTACGCTCCATAACAAGTTGAAAAGTTTTTCTTTTCTAATTGGATCGGGCCTTGGCCCATTGGATCTCCATTCCACTCACACCCATTCGCCTCATTTTCCCTATGTCCGAATATTCTCCCGAGGACAGTAACAATGATTTGGTTTAGCTTAAAAGATTTAATGATTCATTAACGAATCCTAGGATAAGAGAATACCAAGTTAGCGTGGTTATTTTGATCTATTATATGCAATTCTATGATGTTGTGGTGGCGATACCTTACTTTATTGTTGTCATTTAATAAAAAGAAATATAAGTTTTAATATATTACTTTCAAACTGCATTTTCAAAAAATTTTAAAAGCTTGTGAACAATTTCTTGGACTACCTTACTATTTTTTTTTTAATTTGTATTCTTATGTTTATGTTTTCAAAGAATGAGTATATCAAGTTCATATGTCGGGATATAGTCATTCTTCTCCCTTGCTCTTCCGACTCTGAATCAAATTTTGCGATTATTGTCTACTTTCCATTCCCCACGACTCCTTAGAAGACGGGAAAGCAGGACATTAAGGAGCAAAAGAACGTACCCAATTCCCAACCATTGCAGATAGATATGCCAGCTAATATGGTAGGAAATTCATCGTGATTTTTCTTCTTATTATTTTTCGTGTTACTAATGTTGATGCAAGGAGCATAAGATGAAAATAGGTCGATGACCAAACAGCAGTAGCTCAAGTAACGGAAGGTCTCTTCAAACCTCAAAACTTACCTTTTCTTCTATATCACGATTTCATACCCTCCAAAATTAAAATGAACAAGTACATGTAAAGTCCAGAAATTTGAAGTTTCAACGGCTTGATCAGATGCAATAAGTGAACTCATTGCTAGATCAAAGGCGATCTGAAGACATTAAAGCATGTATTCAGGTCAGGTTCTCACTCAGCAAAATCTCCTACTAAATTAGATTAGCTTTATCACATTTTGTACAGATAGAAGGTCGATTCAGATTCTTCTGCTTTTAAATGGCTATCATATGAAGGAAGCAGATACCAGTCCCAAATTCATAAAGACGTCAACCAAAGAATTTTGGTTATTTGCCAATGAGCTTATAATAAGCATATAAACCAGAACCCGCAAAACCGAGCAATTGCCCAATTACATTCCACTGCAATCAAAACACGTACATTCTATGAACAGAAAAGGTACACTAAAAAATCAGTGAAAGTCTACAGGGACAAGAGAACTCACAAAATCAAACGGCAGCCCACCAAAAATTATCCAGCCAAAGCCAATGGTAAACAGGTCCTAGACATCAATTCAAAATATTTAGTCCACCCATAAAAACTGCATATGGCATCCAGTATGGCATTATCAGAAATGAAATATAAAAAAGTTAATTTTGTAGAAACGAGTTCACATTGGAGAGTTCTATTGTTCCCACACACACTTCTTACAACATCATTTTACAAGTACGTATGATAATTAAACCTCCTTAATCACTAACAACTATTCTCCACCAAAATGCTAAGTTCTATTTCTTTTTCCCCAATTGTTCATATCTTAATACTACCAATTTGAGATGAGCAAGACGATATTCCAAGAGATATAGACAATTTAACCATACTTCTCTTCTAAAATGTTTACAAGGGAAATTGCTTTTAGATTTTAATATCTGTTATCCTTTCAGTAGACAGTACGTAGTTTGAAATTGCCTCAGTCCCAACTTTCATATTGGTAAGTGTTCGTCTCTCTCTCTCCACCAAAATTCTAGGAGATCTCCCCATATTCCCACCCTATAAATAGTCTTAGCAGAAAAAAGTCCATGCAGTGGTTAACTACTATGATAACACCCAGAAAGAGAATGCTTCCACATCAAACATTTAAGGAAAAACAACTTAGCAAGGGAACAAACCTTCAGATTACCACAAATTGTCTGTGTCAGAGCTGAATTCAGGGTTGTGTTCAGAAAAATACTGTAATTCAGGAAGAAAGCAAGTATGCATGAAAAAAGCAAAACAACCTGCCACCCAAAATAAAGAAACATAAAATTACAAGTTCTCAAAATATTAAAATTAACAGGAAACTAAGTTTAAAACTATATACAGATTGATACAGAAAAAAAAGGCAATTGTTTCTGTGACAAAGATCTGGGCCTTTTATTGCTGGAAACATATTAGTTGTGCATGTCAGATGTGTATAAAATCCTCCCCCCATTATAATAACAACAATGAATCAGTCAATCCATCCATCCATTTCCTATTAGGTGAGTTTGGTTACACGGATTAAACAAGGTGATAATGTAAAGCAAATAAAATTACAGGAAGAACAATACAAACGAGGAACAGTAGAAATGAGTGATGATGTCCATAAAGGAAAATTGATACTTGTTAAATAGTTTGAGACAGGATAGACCCTGTAAGATCAAAGGACACTATGAAAACAGAAAGGCTGAAATTATGAGTTTTAATTTTAAGAACCAAAAAGAAAAATCAAATAAAAGAACTGGATTACCGCAAACACTGACCAAGTCTGAAGAGAACAATTATTCTGTGTTATATTATATCAGGGTATCAGATATCCCTTGTAGTTTGGCCCATCCAAACTTCGGTCAAGTAGTTTAAACTGTAAAATTTAGAATGGTTTAAGCTTTAAAATGTGCCAAATTGTCAGTATTTGTTACATACTAACATCTGACATTTCCCATCAACATGTCAACAGAACAGACATGCGGCACACATGCTAACCTGTTTTCAGATTTTCCCATGTAGTTTATGTCAAGTAAGCATGTACCTCTCTTTCCATCAAAATGTGGCAAAAAAAAATAGCTCAGGCTGGCTAAGTACAAAAGCAGGGAGGGGATGCTTATTTTTTACCCTTACATGATTTACTCTGGTCTCAGGATAGACTTCCAGAATCCTAGCTAACTTACTAAGGATAAAAACAAAATTTCTTCTGGCAAGTAACCAAGGATGAATACAGCTACTTAGTAAAAAGAGAAAAAGATAAAGCAGAACATACAATAAAACCAGTTGAGAGCAGGTTAGGAAAATTGATTGTCATCTTCAAGTCACCCCGAACTAGTGTCCAAATAAACAAAACTGGCCCACAGATTATACCTATAATACAATAGAAAAAGTTTTTCAAATTAGAAATAGAAAAAAAAGAGCATGCCTTTTCTTCAACCCAATAATAACAATAATAATGATAATGTTTAATAGCCTGTTTGATACACAATCTATATCAGCTTACTGTTGCACCACATAAGTCCAAAGCTATTAAGGCCACTAGTTTTGCCTGAGAAAAAGATAAAAGACAAAATAAATAAGAAAATTCACTCTGACTACAAGGGAAAAAGGTATAGAATTTCCAGTGAGCATGTGTGTGTGTGTGTGTGTGTGAGAGAGAGAGAGAGAGAGACGAATACAACCAACACGAGCTATGGTTGCAAGATACATAGCAGTGGTGATGTTTGACAGGAAAACAATGGCATAGCTATAGGTATCAAAAGAGAAGTCCCGTGCTCCCGCAACAAAAGCACCAAAGACAATCAAGCCAACACTGATAACAACCTTAGAAATTTCAGTTAAATGAATGAATCAGGGAGGTGCTCATTCAAAGAATAATTTGAACTTATACTTCATTCAGTTATAATGAAAGTTAGGAGGAATAACAAAAGGTCAGTGTACCAGTTATGTAAATTTTACAGGAAGGCATATCAACTTCTCCTTTTAAAAGAAAATCGTTTAAACTAAATGTCCAATGTCTTATCTCACTAGGTATACAGAAGGCCCTTTACAACAACAATAACAACAACAAAAGTCTTGTCTCACTGGGCATACAAAAGGTCTTTAATCTTGAAATATGGATGATGCTCAAAGCACAAGCCCACTCTATCATGAGCCAAAATTCAATTTTTACTTCAAACAATGGGAGTAATAAGAATCAAATGCATCACTGTTTGATCAAAGAAGCAGTGATTCTATGTCAAGAACCAATTATTCCAAAAGCTTAAGCTGTTAGATGATGACACATGAATGGTTTTATTATATCTCTAACACTTAAGGTGCTTTTCCCAGTCTATAAAATGCATTTAAATATGTAACTATAATAGGGTAGTTGATCACTTTCCCAATAAATTATACCTTTCACATATGTTACCAAAATTTCATATGCATTGAATCTGAGTCATCAAATATCTATTTGAACACAATGTGGATCTTTATAATATTGTACAATGGAAAGAAAGTGAACTACCTGAAAATGACTGAAGATTTATACCTCTGCCCCACCAGCACGTATTCTACAAGCATTGTAAATACAACTGTTGTCCTCCTAAGGGTGGTATACATTGGAACATTTACTCCACGAACAGACTCCATGGTGGCTAGCTTTCAATGGGAAATGCAGGAATGAATAAAATAATAAAAAGAGAAAATAAACTACGATTGACAATTTGTCCTAAAAGAATGAAAAAAGGAAGCACTTACCATGTAAAGTAAATATGATCCTGCCAGAGGAAGAGTGCGCTTCAAAGTCTTCAGGGGCACAAATTTTTTTGAGTTATCTGCTTTAATTACTGATTCACCTGCCGTAAAAGAAATTATCCTCCAGCGCCTCAATACATAGAGAAAACAACACGAGCATACCATCTGCAGGAGTAAGAAGCATGTTTAAAAATGCTAAAACAAATCAAATGGAAATTCAGAATAATTTGAATGGCATTCTAGTTGCAAGGCCAAAGTGGTTAACCAAAGCAAAGACACCATAGACTGTACTAAACATTTTATACTCGATATCATTTCTTTCTACCTCAAATGTTTGAAATTTAACTTTTTTCACTATTGCTTCAACAAAGTTGGATAATCCCTAATAACTTACTCTGAAAAAATCCAACTTTTCAAATACATGGATCCTGTTTAATTTTAAGTAAAAACATCTAGTGTTAATTAATAAAGATGGACAAAAGGGAAGTGGAAGAGCAAAAAAGGAGGGGGAGAGAGAGAGAATCAACCAAAAACATAAATAAAATATTTCAACATTACAATAGCACTGTCAAGTTATAGATTATACTTCCATTTTAATCCTCTAAATATACAGGAGTCATCATTTTGGCTCCAAAGAATTTAGAGATCAATTTAGTCTCTTAATCATGAAACTGAATTATACTTCAATATATCGTAACCTTGATCACAATCCAATTCCAACCATTTGATTTTAACCTTTATTAAACAAATGAGGCCCATACCCACTCATCCCAAAACATTCCAATGCAATTCGTATGGTTCAGATTCGAATTTAATAATCAAATTGGGGTAAAAAGGAAAGAAAGAAAATCTTCGTAAGGATCAACCTGAAGAAGTGTAATGACATTGGCAGATGGAAAGTGGTAAGATGAAAGAGAGGCCTTATTGAACAGCACCAAGAGCACTACAGAACCAAAACAATGATTACTAAGCAATTAATTGATCAAGGCCTAAACACGCACATAGAATGAAACGTTGCTCTTAGCTTGACGATAAAATGAATCTAAAATTGGATCACAAGAGTGAGGGAAACCTGCACAAGACATGTAGGAGATAGCAGCGTAGATCCCTCGTCCTTTGAAATTCTTACTATCGCCCTTCAAAAGCCTCTCTCGATCTTCGTCGTTCGGAGGATCGGATACCGGAAGCATTAGACTATCCGATGAATAAGAAGCTTTCACAGACATTGCGCAATGCTCAAACCCTAGCGTCTGAGTCACGCGACTCGGAACTTACGACTCGGAAGTTGACTCACTTTCCACTTTTCTCTGTCCCTCACAAAACCCGCCGGCGCCTCTCTCTTCTCCGTTCGGTTCTTTAATTACTATTGACTGACAGAAAGAAAGAATGTCTGTTTTAATATCTTTAGTGTAAGAAATTATGAATCTACCTTTTTATTTACCGTTTTAATAATATGTGCTTTAATACATAATAAATAAATAATTTTTAATTGAAATTTATAATACTTAATATCATTAATACACTAAGTTTTGTAACATTATGTAACTTAAATAAAAATTTATTATTTATAAATTTGTATTATATATTTTTAAATATACTAAAAAATTAGTTTATATGTAATGTTTTGTTAACCATTATTAGTTTTAGATTTTCTTGCATAAATTGGACCTGTCTTGCTTTGTCTTCAACTTTTTGGTTACGCCACTTTGTCTTCGAATTAAAAGAAATAACAAAGAAAATGTTTTATTTTAGCAAATAAGATTAATATATTTAAAACTTTGTTTAGGTGGGTCTTTAAGATAAAGATTAAAAAAATGATTGTGTTTTATTAATTTTTAATTATTTTAAAATATAATAATATCTTTTAAAGTTTCCAAATATTAAAACCTATATTTTTTATGCTTTATTTTAAAGTCTTGCCTATGTATATAAATGATATATATTAACAAATTCCTGATAAAAATAACAACAATAAAAAAAAAAACTATATATAAAACAACAGTCTCTTACATGTATTTCTTATTTGAAGAATGTATTAATAAAACTTTAAAAGATTTTACAAATGAATATAAAAAATGACGTTATTACTGTATTAGTAACATTAAATTATATATATATGAAACACATGATAATAATAATTTATGTGTAATAAAATTTATTAAAAATTATAAAATTGAACATATTAATAATCTCAATATTATAATTTATAATAAAAATATTATTTATTAAATTTTTATTGTGTATCGTGAAATACTTATTAAAAATTTTGTTACAAATAATAAGTTAGACATAGTCAATGCCAACTTAATGTAATGGATGAACCCCCTGCCCCCCCCCCCCCCCCCCAACATAATGTAAATTTGACATGTCTCCAAATTTTAATATATTATTTAAACAATGGCCTAAATTAATCCTTAGCCAGAATCTTACCTTGGTTTTAAAAAATAAAACTCCTCTCAAGATTCCTATAAGTTGAGTCATGTTCATCTTTTTGTTATTCAGCCCCAAATCCCAATGTACGTGGAACATGTACACTGCATGTTAAATTTTTAGTTGTTAATGAGTTTGCAATGACGAATTTAAATTCTTGTCTTCTCTTAATATGACATCATTTCCTCCATTTGATCCTTTTCATCAAATTTCCCTTTTCTCATTGCCTCTCTTTTCCCACCAATTCCAAGTTCTCCAACGACCCACAATAAGCACCGCTTGCTTTAGGACGAGATGGGTTACATGTCCACTTTTATATTCTTTTATTAACAATTATATTTTGAGATGTATAATTATAACTATTGTAATAAATATAAATTAATAAAAAATATATATATAATTATACATCTCAGAATATAATTGTTAATAAAGGAATATAAAAATGAACATGTAAGATAGATGTATTTTCATTTCAAATTCTTAGCCTCATTTAAAAACACGGCATTTCCATTTATGGCCGAGAAAAACCTATTAAAACAAAAGTATTTTCCAAGAAAAACCTAACACGGGTGCCCAAACAAAATCAATTGTTGTGATTATAAATAAGAAGAAAAATATTGAATTTTTTTTTAATAATTTTTCTCTTCATTATTTATTTGTGTTGAATTGGAGGAGTGGTATTCTCATTGTTTGATTCATCCCATAGCAAAGTCATCCATAAATAGTGAACATATTAAGAAGATTATCATCAAGATCTTCACTGTTCGACTTAACCTTATTAAAATTACCCATAATCTTACACTAAAATAACTAAATTTGAAACACTAATAGTTGAGTTATAATATTACCTTTGATTTGTGGGGGTATGTTGATATTAATAGTGGAGTTTATGTAATAGTTGGATTTAGGTTTGGGTTTTGGCAAGGATTTAAAGTAAATGTGAGGGACATTTATGGCAATGGCACTGTCCCCGTAATGAAGTTTATTTTCAGAGTAGTTAATCTTTGATGTTACTTGTTCAACTTGGATCGGAGGAAAGTGGAACAAATTAGGTCGTTTTGGTGAGAAAGATAATATTTAGACACATAATTATTAATCTATTATCTTCTGAACAGCTTAACATATTATGTACACATATAACATCTCAAGTTAATATAAGAACAAGCGTAAATCATAACGTGACTAAAAGAAATTCTATGTGTGTTTTTAAGCTAATTTGTTTTACCATATTCGTATGATAAACTACTTTGAGTCCTAACTTTCTTTCTTTAATTTTCTTCCAGAAAAATCATATCGCCCGATGGCGTACCTTTTCTTTTAAAGGTCTTCTTCCATTCACATTTTTTTCTACGTTGAGACTAATGTCTCCCCTCGCCCCCTCCTTTTTTAAAGACAGAAAAATGTTCTAGATTACGAAAAGCAATGAAAACATTTTCACCAGCAATAATAATAAGAGAGAGAAAGGTCTAAGTATGCCATGTTTTGCATCAGTTTAGTAGGACAACACGTAAAGCAAAGATTAGAAATGTCTTTGCTTTGTTCCCTCTAAAAATATAGTTGTTCTAGCTTGTTATGAGAAATTAAATCAAGTAATCATGATTTATGCATAATAATTACGCCTTACATGCTAATAATTTGATTTTGTATTACCCCGGGCAATATCATGGACAACTTGACAATCACTGGGGATTTTAATTCCTGCTTGGGCTTATCTTGTTTTCACTTGATCAATTTGTTAACATCTGCGAGTTCGAATGTTGTAATAATTATAAATAAAAATTTAGTTTATGTTTTGAAACACGTTAACAACTTGAAAATATAATATTAACACAAAAATTACAACTATAATGTTAAATAAATATAAATTTAAATATATTCTAAAAAAAATCAAACAAACTATCAGTACGTTGGTGCATGTTATGTTCAACATGTGTTTATCATTAACACATTGACAACCCGTGTGTATGTTTTTAATTTAAGAGAATTTAAATGTTGTTAATTCGTATATTTATATAAAAAAAAATTGTGTAATATTATTTTTCTTTAGTCTGTGATTTGTTAAAATTTAATATTTCTTTTCCCAAAGCAATTATTCAAACTAAACCTTAAAATAACTGAAAAAGCACTTCAATCTTTAACGTAAATTGCCCAAGTTTTCTCGTCCTCTCATCAAAGGCAAAAGCCACCAAACTTGCTCTGGGAACTCAAGCCACAGTGCTTTGATGCATATCGCTTCTTTGAAGTGGGCCATACATTAAACTCAATCTTGCCAGTTGCCACGCTTTGCTTTGCATTGCTTTCCGTCATTTAGATTCGAGGGTGACATCCTATCTTACCAGTTTAGATTTCAATTCAGATTATAAGAAAAAACTTATTTTCTAATAGGAGGATTGGTTTCATTTTACCTACTTATCTTTATCGTAAATTTTAGTGAATTAACTAATATTAAAAATAAATCCTGCTTAATTTTTTTAAAAAAGAGTTAATTTGGATCATCAAATGAGATTGAAATGCATGCATAAATTAATTTGAATCACACATTTTATTATAAAAAAAACAAATTTAAATCAAACAACTCTACATTTCATAAAACAAAGTCCACGCATCATAAAATTCACGACCTCTAAAAATTACACCAATGAGTTTTCTTACTTTACAAATTAATTAGTTTAGCCTAAAAAGTAATTTAAACAACAAACAAACAGGCCACTTATGAAGACGCATTGTTAACCAAGTGTTGCAGAGTGATTGAGTTGTAGGGTGTGGGTGCAGTAATCAATGCCAGGTAAAGGGCAAGCAATGAATTAGACCCATCATAGTTTAGGGTCCTACTAGTTGAGTTTGCAACCTTCACCGCACGAGAACTAGATGGAACTGGTTCCAGTGGTCGTGCGGGGTTCAGTGAATAGCATAATTTGCCATTTGCCCTGCACCATCACGTGGCCTTCACAAGGTCTACTACACCTTCCCATTCTCTGGACCAGCACTCCATTGTGCTGTATTAGCAACCCAACACTAGTATTTTGGAGCATATACCTAACCATACGATATGTTCTAAGTTGCTTTGTCGAGTTCCACGTTTCACTTTCTCTATCTCTCTTAACTCTTAAGTCCTTCATATATGGATTGGAATCAATAGTGTAGAATTAAAAACCAAAGCCAATTGAGAGACACGTTATTAATTAATTGTTTAATTTTTAAGAGGAACATATTATATAGGTAATTAGGAGAATTAATTAATTAAAATTGTTATTATAATCAAATAATCAATAAAGATGAAGCGAATATTTTCTAGCTAAGTGTATCAGTGGAAACAGGGAAGTTGTGTGAGTTCTAAAATCATGATATCTTTGACGGGCATCAACCGACATATTGGACATATTAGCAAACAATATCAATAGGTGCATGAACTACTAGTTTCTTGCCTTTTTTATGTTTTTTGTTTGGAAGCTAGGTATTTCAACTTTCATAATTGTCTAGCTTAAATTAATTGTGTTTTGTTTGCTACAAGTTTATGGTCAAGCAGGGTTATTATGATTAGCGGCTAAAGAGTTTGATACAATTTCAACATGATTGATTAGAATCAAAAGTAACAGTGGTGGCGACATAAAATTTGACACACAATGTTCCGCTAGAAAGGGATTCCATTGAAAAAGAATTAGATGGCCAATCGTATCATATGCAAATACAAGTTATTCCGTTCGATAAAATATTATCTCTCTGGATCAGCTTATCTGTCTATGTCTTATTTATTTCTAAATGTATAAAAGTATTGTTTTCAAGATTAGATTCTTCCTACTGTTAATGAACCTAATCCGTAGTCTTTTCAGAATGATCATCTTCACCAAATTATGGTGTTAATGAATATGACACTTCCCTAAAACATTAATACATTATACTAAGTATAATAAACCCAAGCAATAAGCTAGAGAGAGGGAATATATGCATACGTGGGGACACATTGGAAGGAAAATTGAGACAAATAAAAGAAAGCGGGTAAAGTGGCTGTGGCACGTTGGTGCTCACATTCCTCAACTAGCTTATAATGCTGCTACTCTTTTAGCCGACCCAACTTCCATGCTGTCTCTAACTATCTTTGTTCCACAAGACAATAGTCCTTTTCATTCCTCTGCCTCACTCACACATGCACACTCATATATATATATTATATGCCTACAAGTCCCTAAGGTCAAATAATCCCAATAACTTTGAGAAAGCTAGTTTATATCTAACTTCGAAACTTTCACAATATACATATTCTCCTTTGTCTATTGAATATCTTAATTAGCTTCTTGCACTACATGGAGCTTCAGTTAGGCCTGGCCCTCCCCACTCACAACAATCCCATTGAGGGGTTCGACCTTAACAACCCTGGTTTAATAAAGTCAAAACAGATAGTGAGTTTAGACTTATGGAGACCCAGTTGCGGTCCTGAAGGCAAAAATCATGTCAAAAACAAACGCAGCTTTGATGAGTCCTTTGGACATTTTTTGAAACCTTTGCCTTTGCTAGTTTGGAGTGGACAGCCAAACGAGGAAGATGACCGAAGTGAAAAGATGCAAAGAAACATTCACACAACAAACAAGTGAGTTGTGCCTTTACTTCTATGTTTTCCATCCTTGTAGAACTAGCTAGTAAAATAGTGATTTGGTTGAACATTTTGTTCATATATGATATCAATATATGATATATCTCGAGGTAAAATTAAAATAATGTCATTTATATATCTTTACTTTTATGATGTACATGCAGGAACAACGAAGAAAATCATTTGGTGGGGTGGCCACCAATTAAATCATGGAGGAGGAAAGAACTCCATCACGAGCAGCCTGCAAGAGGCCAAATCAGGAACGATAGGATGCAAGCTAATGAGAATCGAAGTGTAGGATCGAACTCTTTGTATGTCAAGGTTAACATGGAAGGGGTAGCCATAGGAAGGAAAATCAATTTGAGGCTTTACGACTCTTACCAAACACTAACAAGCACATTGATTAGCATGTTTGCTAAGTGTAAGTGAAAGATTCTATTTTTTTTTGTCGTTTTCTTGTGGGTTTGTTGTGAAGTATATATAGTGGATTTGATTTTTGCTTTGGCCTCTACATGTTATATATATGCACAGACCAAAAATTTGAGGAAGCTGGAGAAAGTTATAAAGTCACCTTTCAAAACGAACAAGGGGATTGGCTGCTAGTTGGACATGTTCCATGGCAGTATGTGCATATTTTTTATGTTTATATATGCAGTGATGACATATTTTCATTGATTGCTTTATGCCACAGGAAAAAAAGAAAAGAAAAGAAAGTTTAGGAATATTAGTTTAAAATCGAAAGGTATCCCAAGAATAACATCTTCTTGATTTGCAGGTCCTTCATCGGTACGGTGCGGCGTTTGGTGATGGTGAGGAATGGAAATGAAGCTACTTGACAGTTTACAATTTGTATTTTGATGCTGTTTATGGTGCTCGGTTCGGTAAAAAGTATTTGCTTGAATAGGTTGAGCAAAAGCAAAGTATGAAAATTCAGATTACAAATTACTTGCTTCAGCTTTGATTCTTTAATAATTTTGTATTTGTTTCAATCACAAGTAACCTGATCGAACTTTCAAATTTCAACATCTGCCAAATAATCTTTCTATTTTATGTAAAATGGCACGAATGTACGGACTCTAACCAATATTTGCCCATGATGGATAAATTGAGAAAAATGATTTAATATAATAACACTTTGTACTTGTTAAATGTTAAGTAATCTGCAAGGCAAACTCTACCTATAATTAAGTAGTTGGGGGGGCTTATATGGATGAGATTGTGCATGAAGAAAGAATGAACCAATCAAGGTCTTTCTTTGATCTTTGTCCATATGGTAATATTAAATTCTCGGGTTTTATAATTTGTATACCTTGTGACATTTACATTATCAGAATTTCAGTTGTTCCATCTCCTCTTTGATCAAGCTCGAAGCTTACCAAAAAACACTAACAAGTTCAGCCTTCCTCCACAATTTAAAGGGGTTGACTATGTATATTTGTTGTTAATTAACTAAAATTCCTTGTGTCAAGGACTAATCCTTCCCTAAACTGTTTATTTAGAAAAATAACGCAGCAACGGTCAAATTCCTGGTCATTTAGTCAATTATACTCTAATAGCATGTGAATAACTCGTGTTCTGAGGTCAAAGCTCTTCCTTTATATTGAATACCGTGCCTAAACCTTAACTTGTAACCACCCTTTTCTGCCTCTAAAGAGAAGTATGGAATCGCTTTTTTTTGTAGTTTTTATTTTTGTCTGTTCTTGGTTTCTCTTGTCTGTTTGTCCATAAAGCTGAGTAATGATGAACTTCAAATCACCTCAAATTTTGTTGCAGTAAATTCTTCTGTGACTTGTCACTCCAGAGCATGTGACAACCATTATATACGACTTTATATCAACCTTTTCCTTTCACTCCTGAAGGCTTAGGGTATGATTAAAAAATATTTACGATTTTTTACATAAATCATTAATCTTACTATCCAGTAATTTAATATTGACTATGATAATTATTCTATGTGTAAGAAAATATAAAATGTCCTCTTAATTTATAAGCTTATCTAATTAATAACGTGTCAAAATTTCCAAATTAATCTAATTCTAAATATAACATAAACATTGGAAAAACTTGACAGTAGCCCTAATCAAGGATGATAAGTGTTTAGGCGGTAGTTACTATAGGAAAATTCAGATACCCTGTTGTGTGTTATTTTTAGGATCCATTTCCTGGTAACTTGGTTGAAATTGCAGCCATTACTCACCCTATGGTATATAATCTATAGCAGACTATGGCTTTCATTAGTGGAAGTTAATAGAGGAAACAAGAAAAAAATGATATAAAGAACTCAACACACTTATCTCTTCCTCTGTACTTGTATTTCTCGGTCAATATTGAATAATGTAGTTTTACTTGACCGTGAGATTGTTCCATAAGAGGGGCCTGTCAATTCTCAAGGGTGTTTTACTATTTTATGTGAAAAAGTAGTATGCGGTATTCAATTGAAAAATTGATGTTTCAACTGAAAAACTCTTAATTTCCTTGTTTCAATTCAGGTCAAAAATGAAGGATATTATTTTAGTTGCTGTTGACATGTTTGAAAATTGGTTGAATTAAATTCAGTGCGATTGAAAAAAAAAATTGAAATAAAAACAACTTGGCCTCGATCACGGTGGGACTCGAACCCACAATCTCCCGCTCCGGAGGCGAGCGCCTTATCCATTAGGCCACGCGACCACTTCTGTCAGTGTCGATTTTTTAATTTATATAAATTAGAGTTGGACACTGCCCAACGACCTAACTTGCCCAATAAATTAGATCAAGACTTCTTTAATTAAAAGGTCAAGTTTAAAACTATTCAAAAGTCTTTTTAAATTTAATAAGATAAATTTATTGTATAAATGTTAATTTAAAAAAATATTATTTAAAGACCATAGTAATATACATTTTTAAAAATTCATATCAAGTAAAGAAATATAAAAATGGTTTATTATTTATTAATAATTACAAAAGTGATATTTTTTTCTTATTTATAATAACTATATGCAAAATAATATATTTTTACACTAGTCAATTTATTTAAGCAAGTAAATATAGAACAAAAAATATATTTTCACAATTGATGATAATATATATATATATAGCCTGTGAACTCCTTTGAAAACATTAGGTTGGAGGATTCGGTTGACAGGGATTTAGAACGAATACGAAGTCATCGTTGAAAAAGGAACTAAATTAAAGTCTACGCTTTTGATAAATCTTGGTGAATCAAAATTAACTAGGATGAGCAAAGAAGTCATTTAAAGGGTCAATAAAGCATTCAAAGCATGCGTTGGATTAATGATTCAACAGCTAATTACTAATTCAGAGTCAGCTGTGATCTTCTTCTCACGAGCTGTTTACGAGTTGTTACAACTATAAAATTATACCCAATAAACTATCATTTCCTCTCGTTTTTGAGCTGGCAAGTAAACCGTGCTACCTCTATTGTGTTATATTTTTATTTTTTTTTCAATTCAGTATGTTTGCTCTCTTTCACTCATATGACCTCAGAAAAAAATTATTATTTGAATTGATTCAATCAGAACTATTATTTGAATTGTGTAAAAATATAATACACGAAACATATTTTGTAAGCAACTGCAAAATTTCAAAACTTGATTTATTCTTTCCGTATTTAAAACTTACATCTTATATATAAAATCACTTTACATTTTTTTTACATGTAAAATAATTATTAACTTTTTGATATATATTAATTAATATATTTTCCTAATTCCTGTAACTCCATTTCCATTCCCTCGAGTAGAGAGAGAGCCGCATCTCACCTCAAAACGAAACCTTACATTTTTCCATATATGTAATTATGTAACCCTTTTAAAATCCATTTGCATTACATAAATTAAAAGATAATACAAACTAATATTGTTTAACCAAAAGAAGAGAATCACTGTAACTTAAAAATATAAAGTAGAAGCTATACTATTAAAACGCCAATAAACAAGTAGAAAAATAAAATAAAGAAAGAATGAGGGTGAAAATAACCAGAAAAGGCAAGCACACGAGACAAAATCCCCACATTCGTTGCTTACCATAAATACAAAGGCATTTTCACATTTTAACCTCCCACCGACGCCTCCCACACCAGATTCAAATCACAAATCGTACTTCAAGTGGGGCCACCTTATCACCGCACCATACACTGCCACGTGTCCAACCAAACACAAACAATCAGAAAGAAAATCACTATCACCATGAAGAAAACAAGTCCACATCACCGTAAACCGTACGCATCGTATGGTAGTAAAATAAACCCGCGACGCACACAATTCCACCCTCCTCCATTCTTCAGACACAGTCCCGGTAGACGGTAGCTATTACAACCCCCTTTTCCATCTCTCTCTCTCTCTCTCTCTCTCTCTCTTTATTTCTCTCTCATCGCCATTGCCACAGATCTAAGACACAGATCACAGGGTTCGCGCCTTTTGACTCTTTTATTCTTCATTGGCCATTGTTCCGGACACCTCGCACCATAATCTAGGACCAGACCTACCCAATCGGAGCCTCCATACCACTATTTCGGGTCCGTGCGCGGATCTAGGAGGAGAGGTAAGCTTCAAGGACTTAACATCTAGGAATTGACTCTATTTAATTTAAACGCTTCTCTATTTTAGGAAATTTGTTAATTAATTCAGCGAATGTTCGATTCGTAGCTTCACGATTCAGGGAGTTAGATCGGAAGAGTGTGAGTGAATAAGGCTTGGGTTTCCGATGGCTCCGACGACGATCCGGAAGGCGATTGGGGTGGTGAAGGACCAGACCAGTATTGGAATAGCGAAGGTGGCGAGTAACATGGCGCCGGATTTGGAGGTTGCGATTGTGAAGGCGACGAGTCACGACGATGATCCTGCGAGCGAGAAGTACATAAGGGAGATCTTGAACCTCATGTCGTACTCGCGTGGATACGTCCACGCGTGTGTTTCCGCGGTGTCGAAGCGTTTGGGGAAGACGCGCGACTGGATTGTGGCGCTCAAGGCGCTCATGCTGGTGCACCGCTTGATGAACGAGGGTCCACCGCTGTTCCAGGAGGAGATCCTGTACGCCACCCGTAGAGGAACCAGGCTCCTCAACATGTCTGATTTCAGAGATGAAGCTCACTCGAGCTCTTGGGATCACTCTGCTTTTGTGAGGACCTATGCTATGTATCTTGATCAGCGTCTTGAAATGATGCTGTTTGATAGAAAGAGTGCCAACGGTGGCAGTGTTGGGGGTAGTGTTGGCGGTGCAGATGATAGGTTTGGTGGGAGGGACAGTTTTAGGCCGGACGATAGGTTTGGTGGAAGAGACAATTTTAGGTCGCCGCCATATGAATACGGAGGTGGGGAATTTAGAGGGGAAGGGGAGTATGGGAACGGGAATGGGATGAGGAGGACGAGATCGTTCGGGGACATGACTGAAACGACGGGGAGGGAAGAGAAAAGGATTGTGAGTGTGACTCCTTTGAGGGATATGCAGCCGGAGAGGATTTTTGGCAAGATGGGTCACTTGCAGAGGTTGTTGGATCGTTTCTTGGCTTGTAGGCCTACTGGGTTGGCCAAGAATAGCAGGATGGTTTTGATTGCGTTGTATCCTGTGGTCAAGGAGAGTTTTCAGTTGTATGCTGATATATGTGAGGTTTTGGCTGTGTTGCTTGACAAATTCTTTGATATGGAGTACCCTGATTGCGTGAAGGCCTTTGATAGTTATGCCAGTGCTGCTAAGCAGATCGATGAGTTGGTTGCCTTCTACAATTGGTGTAAGGACACAGGTGTGGCAAGGTCCTCGGAGTATCCAGAAGTTCAGAGGATTACTAGCAAGTTGCTGGAGACATTGGAGGAGTTTGTAAGGGACAGGGCCAAGAGGCCAAAAAGTCCAGAGAGGAAAGAGGAAGCGCCGCAGGTGGAAAAAGTAGAGGAGGAGCCTGTTCCGGATATGAATGAGATCAAGGCACTGCCTCCACCTGAGAATTATAACCCTCCTCCTCCACCTGAGCCGGAGCCTAAGCCACAGCAGCCACAAGTTACAGAGGACTTGGTGAATCTGAGAGATGATGCAGTCACTGCAGATGACCAGGGTAATAAATTGGCTTTGGCACTCTTTGCTGGTGCACCAGCTAATAATGCCAATGGATCATGGGAAGCCTTCCCATCAAATGGACAGCCAGAGGTGACTTCAGCTTGGCAAACCCCAGCTGCAGAACCTGGGAAAGCCGATTGGGAATTGGCATTGGTAGAGACTGCTAGCAATTTGTCAAAGCAGAAGGCAACTTTAGGTGGTGGGTTTGATCCCTTATTGTTGACTGGCATGTACGATCAAGGAATGGTCAGGCAGCATGTCAGCACTTCCCAACTGAGTGGGGGGAGTGCAAGCAGTGTGGCATTGCCAGGGCCGGGAAAGACTACAACTCCAGTTTTGGCTCTCCCAGCCCCAGATGGATCTGTCCAGCCAGTGAATCAGGATCCATTTGCTGCATCGTTGAGCATTCCTCCTCCATCCTATGTGCAAATGGCTGATATGGAGAAAAAGCAGCACTTGCTCGTGCAGGAGCAGCAGCTGTGGCATCAGTATGCAAGAGAAGGGATGCAAGGCCAATCTAGCTTGACCAAACTGAATGGCACCGGATACTATGCTGGAGGTCCTGTGCCAATGATGCCTTATGGAATGCCCCCAGTCAATGGAATGGGACCTCCAACCGGGTATTATCATGCTCCTTACTGATGCCCCTCTCTGTTTTTTGCCACATATCTATAGGTTGCTTCGTTTATTTTTTTTACTATGACATAGTGTTTTCTTTTTGTTTTAAATGATGTCATCATATTCTTGAGATCTGCACATTAGTACGGTGGGGATGCTAAGGAGACTGAGTTGAAGAGACAATTTCATGTTGGGTTTTGATGCTGGGAGATGTGTAGCTCAGTTGTAATGTCTCTCTGTCGTGTAATAGTAGCTTTCTTCTCGATTTTGTACTTCGAAGTGATTCTTGCTCCTTAAAAACAAACGATTAACTACTGTAAATTTTATTAAATGCTGGTGCTGATAATCTTGATTGGTTATGTCAAATGATTCCATCTTGTGGGAACAGCCTTGACTACTTCTTATAACTTCGGGTCCTCGGGAATTGGTTCCATTATAGGGGGGAATTAGATGTATTAGTAAGTTGCCGAGTTTGACGTTAAGGAGTAAGTTTTCAATCTTGTCATTTTTTGGTTTTCTTCTTACCTTTGGTTTCCTAATTTAGCTAAATCATCATTAAACTTTCCTAGGGGCCATAATTAGATGTCAAGTAACATCTCTTGTGGCATTCAAGTTATTGTTTGGGTCTTTTTTAGCATTAACATATATGGTTGACCCACAGTGTTCAGTTACTATCGTTCACACCCATTTAATTTGAATTTTGAAACTATTCTTTTTATGTTTTTGGTGAAAATTGTCTTGAGGAGGAATAAAGGCAGGTAACCCATCTGTCATTGTTAAGCTGTGGGTGTGTTGGATGTACAGTTATGTTCAAGTTTTGGGTTTGCGACATGTAAAGTTTTGAGATTGTTATCCCGTGGGGGCCTTTTTTTTGCTATATATTGTTTATCTACTTATGTACTTGTGCACAAAGTCTTGAGGTTAGTGTAAATATTATCATTCAATTATACATTGATATATTATTGAAAAATTAAAAGAGTGTTGGTAACATTATCAGCTCTCTCATTGGAATGGACATGGGGTTAGTGTTAAATGAAGTTCCGCGTGTTTATTTCATCTTTATCACAGTTTATAACCTTTCTTAAATTTGTTTTAGCTTTTTTAATTAGATTTATGATTAAATTTATAAATAAATATTTATTTGATAAGAGTTTATTATACAAATATTTAATTGAGTTATTTACTTGTGTAATAGTTGTAATTGAGAGATGAAGGTTTAAAGTCTAATGGGGTGTTTGGTTTTCATTTTGGAATTTCCAAGTTGTAGTTTGGACAACAGTTACGAAAGAAAATATCGTTGGAATCGTCATTTTAAACTTTGCAAACTTAAAAGCAAACATGATTAATTACATAAAGTGGTGTTTCTGTTCCGATGTCTTGAAATATTTTTTAATTTGGTGAGTTACAAATTTTTGGGTATGTTTGGAGTTAAGGTGGGGTTCTTTTAAACAATTTTGAGTTTAATTTTAAAATATTATTAATGAAAATTTTATATGAACAATTAATTATAAGTTATTTTATATGTAAATCTGTAATCATATTATTTTGTAATTTTTTATATTGTTAATGTATTTTAATTCATTTTTTCATTTAATCTTATTTTTTTTCGTAAGCATCAATTTTTAAGATTGAACTTAATATCACTTAAGAGATCCAAATCTCTATTTATCTTGTCCCAATACATTGATTTTAGAAAATCGATGGTTGTGATTATGATCAGATATAAACACGTTATAATATATTATAAAGTTGTGAAAGATTTTTTTAAAAATTATTGATTTTTTAATTAAGTGTTATAAATATATTTTATCTTTTCAAGTACATCTTTGTTAATTTTAGAAGAGTTAAATTAAAGAAAACACCTGAAAGCTTGTTTCAAGATCTGGGAAGCAAATTATGGATTTGTCCGTCTATTTTGTTTTTGCTTGCTCTCTTTCCAATAAAATTTCTTTGGTCATCTTTACAACCGCCTTTGGATGAAACCAAGAATATATATATTTTTTCCGATCCGCGTAGATTTTCATGTGTCTATCTTTTCCATTGAATTATAGATATGCATTATTTAGGATGATTTTAAACATCGATGGTGATGCCAGTTGCCAAACACTACTAGACTAAGATGTTCATGCCCCACTAAAGAAGGAACCAAAAGGAATTTCTGCGTCGATTTGATAACTTGGCATTTCATTGGAAAGCCCATACTTGTCATGCACAAACTGTGCAAAACACTTGTTCAATATTTCACGAAAACCCAAAGCTTTTAGCATCCATGGCCCCACCGTTCTCCTTCCTATACACTGAGTGCCTCAAAAATTAAAAAATCAGACCACACTTGATGCTCTAGTTCATGCTTTTCTTTTCCATTGCTACCTTTTGGTTTCTTTTCTGAAGAAAGAATGATAGCACATTTTTATGATAAACTTATATTCATTTTTTTAAGTCGTTTAATAGTATTTACATTCCAAGGCTTTACTCCTTGCTAACTACGCTAATTTAGTTGACATTATTTTTCCTTTATATGATAATGAGGCTACTGACTGTAACTTTAAGAAGGCATCTTCTTCATTGTTAATTATCCATAGATTTCTTATAGCTCAAATAAGTGACAAAAAGGGGGTCAGCCCCTACTTTTTCTTGTGCGTTCTTTAGTGGGGACTAAGAAATGTGATATCTTTGACCAATAAACGAGAATGATAGTTCGCATCTTTCTTTTTTGTGGAAAAACTGTTATTCGATTTGGTGCATACTTTATAAAATTATAATATAATTATTTTTTAATTTGTATAGTGTTTAATATAGACAATCAAATTGGATGTTAAAATAATATTATTCAATCAAATATTAGGCAAGTATGTATATTATCTTTACGAGCATAATAGAGGAATAATTAGATTAATACTATATACTTCATATAGAAATGTCCAAATACGACCCCCCACTGTGTACTTTGACAAGAAATTGAGATTAATTAATCTCTGAAAATGTACGCATCTTTTTATTATATCCATCACTCGCACTTCCCAGCCCGTGTCTAACGGAGGTGGGGACCAGATTGAAAAAGAAAATATTACTCTTTTTGCATTATATATATATATATTCTTTAAATTATGACAATAATAGTCAAGTAGTAAAGAAACTAGTGCAGCAGTAGTGTCTCGAAAACACACTAAAAAACAGAAAAATACTTGAGCAAATATCTTAAAAGAAAAATATTATACAAATATAACAAACCACAACTAAGGCTCTTATATATGATTAGCTTTCAAATGTAAGTAGTTATCTAACATTTTATTGAAGCAAATTATAATTTTTATGTATTTTTAGTTTTAATTATTTGCATTGTTTTAAAATGGCATGCTTATGCCCAAAAGTAAAATAAAATTGGCATGCTCGTATGGATTTATCCTCTGTTTTATATTTTTTTTACATATATATTAGATCATAACTAAAAAGTATTGTTGAAAGAATTATATCTTATTAAAATGATTTATTATCTGTTAATTAATATAATTAAGTATAACTTTTTTTTGTAAAAAAATATTCAATAAAAAAAATGACTCTCCATAAATTTCATCCTGTGTTATTGTTTGAAAGAAAAGAAAAAAGTAATAGTCAATTCTATTTCTATTGTTTAGTTAAAAAGAATAAGAAGCAGAAATAATATATGATGCGAGGTCAATATGATCGGCTGTAATTGAGTAACAAAAATTGTCATCGGTGTTATATTTGGTACTAGATCTCAAACTTGCTTTTGTCACTGATGGAGTTGATATCAAATTATCTAAGATCCAATACTGTTGAGACTTATCAAACTCTGAACAATTTTGCTGAACTTGAATGAGTTCGTACATTTCTGCATAGTAGGAGTATGAGGTGGATTGTACGAAAGAAAATGAGGAGTGAGGTCCAAAATTGGGAATGGTAGGACCAATATTTGCTTGATTTTGTTTTAACCAAACCAGTTATTGTACACCCCATATCAAAGTCAATCAGAGGTCAACTGCAACTTTCACCTGTGCCCTCCCATTATATTATAATCATTAAAAATTAATACTATAACTTTTAACCATAATCTGAAAAAATCACTTATGTTAAAAAGTAATCTTAAAAATCTTTGACAATGTCATCAAATATTCATATTGTTAAGTGAAATTCCACTGTGCAACAAAAAGTACTGGCTAATAAGTCCAGCGTAGGACAGTAACACTGGGGCGTACCCTATCTTTTTTATTGAAAAAGAAAAACATTATTCTTCTAAAATGTGCCAACTCGACGTTCTTAATTTCTCACCTCTATTATTGTCCTATTCCCGAATTAAACAATTGGGTCGAGGTACTGTCGTTATTCTTTACATGGATACTACAAATTTTGTATTCTTTTAAAATAATTTGGTGCCTTATTAATTTAAAATATTTTTTATTAATTAATTAAAATATATCGTAAATACATTTTTATATTAATTATCATAGAGCCCAACAATTTTTGTTGATGTGTCAGTATATGATTGAGTGATGATGTATTAAATTTAAAAAATTATTGTACAATTTGATTTAAATAAAACTAAAAAAAATTCAAGTGTTAAATAAATACTAATAACACACTTTTTAAATATTTTTAACGTGTTTTATATTTTTAAATTAATTTTTTGACAATAATTTTAAAATAGTGTATTGCTGGCGTTGTTTGAGGAAAAGAGAAGATCGTTAGCAGGTAGAATTTGGGCTTGTGGGCGTACTTAGTATTTTTACGGGCCTCATATTCATTTCTGTTTTTTCTTTTAATCAGATGGGGCCAAGGCCCAAATCAATAAAACTGCAGACTTTACAATGGGTGAATGCAAATTACATCATTCGGAGATAGACATACCCAATTATATTTGTTTTTTAAAAAAAGACGTACACACTGGAATGTTATTTGATTATCGTTTGGGCTTCGTGTAAAAATCCAAGTCTAAAAGTATTTTAGTATAGACATAGGAAAAAAAACATGTCAAAAGTTTTGTAAACGTAAATCCATCTTAAAAATCCATAATTATTAAGTTTGAAATAAACGTGAATCCATGTTCACTTAAGCATAATTCAAACATATTATAATTCTCAAACAATAATCAGAACATAAGTCCCATCCACATCTCAGTGTTTATAAAAACCTTTTTATAAATATAAAATTTAAGCTGTGCAGTGCGAATTGAATACCAAAATATCAGCATATGTACATTTGGTTTGGTTTTGCCATGGATTTTTTTTATTTTATTTGCTGGCACATACATTACCCATTTTGGGAAATTCCTAGGTTTAATTCACTGGGTCACGCCACCTCAAACATTGCCGTTATTCTGTAAGCCCCAACTACTCCCTGAAGATAACGCCGTCTGCCACCTCGGGAGTCGTTATCCTCGCCGTTACCGTTATCGTTACCGTCCCTGGGCCTCTCCCTCCGCAACGTCTGAATCAGTTCCAACGCCTTGGTTTGTCTGAATGATTGGTGTATATCAGCCGTCTGATGGAGTCAACGTTGGTTCTTGCGTCAACCGTTTTTTATTCTTGGAGTTTAGACACCGATTGCCTGTCGCATGCCAATTGGACACGTGGTTACCGTACTAGTCTCATCCTCATCTTATAAGTAAAAAGTTAATCTCACTACTAAATTTATTATTATTTATTTTAAAATATAATAAATATTAATTTATAATAAAATAATGTTTGTTAGATTTAATAACTGATGTTAATAAAAGTCGTCTTGTAATATCAAAAGGACTCTTGAAAGATCATGAATGCTTTCCTGTTGCATACAATTTCGGATTTGAAGGTAAAGAGGAGAAAATAAAAATAGCAGGAGATGCACAGAAAAGAACCAAACAAACATAATTAATTACTCAATATATATTTTTAAAAAATCCCTTTCTTAGTAATTTAATTTGATTTTGATTAGTGTAAGTTAAGTTAGGTGAAATCAATTAAGCGAACAGTATTCTCTTGCTTATATTCTATGAAGAATATGGAGAATGTTAAAATAAATATTTTACGATTATTGATTAAGAAAACAATAGTATATGAAAAATTAATTCATAATATTTATGTTTTATTAATCTTTCTAAGGCTAAAAATATGCATTTTTAATATTTATAGATAACAAAATTGTATTGATTTAAATAGGGGTTGTGGTTTACACTTGTTTGAATTTGAGGAGAGGTTGGGGATGCCTAGGAGTCACCGACAGTGATGATATGGTGAAAGGTCAAACCCACAGCGAATGAATGAATGGGTGTGACTGTGACTTTAGAGGTAAAGGAAGACAAAAGCCCAATACACCAAAAACAGAAAACCACTCTTGGGGCTGGGGGATGCAGCCATCTGGATCAGTGGGCTCCACAACAAAACCATTTTCTTATTTTTTCATTTTAATATACACCTTTCAAATTTTATTAATTACATCAATTATTGCTATGAAATAATCTTCTTTTGTTTTTATTTTCACAAGAGTTCAAAGTATAGTTATATATTAATTATTTATTAAGGAAAAATTTTAAATACTAGATAAAGAATTGAAAGTAATTTTTATTTGAAAGAATTATTAATGTAATGCTTATTATACTTTTTAATTATTTTTTAAATTACTCACTTTTATAATTTCATGATTAAAAAGTAGTAGGTGAGTGTAAAAAATATGAAAATTAGAGGTGAGGGGTACCCCATACAGTGGTGATGGTGTGTGTTGAGCATTTATGGAAATCGAGAAGTAATTAACTAAAAGCAAAAGGTAGATAGAGTACGAGTAAACCCTCCTTTTCCTCAGTTCTTACCCACATTTTAGAGTCTCTTCATGAAACAGAGCACTCTGTTTCTCTCCCACAAGTGCTGAGGATGCCAAGGCCAGGCCCAAGGCCCTACGATTGCGTGAGAAGAGCTTGGCACAGCGAAAGACATCAACCCATCAGAGGAACTCTCATTCAAGAAATTTTCAGGTCCACCCTTTTCCTCTCCACCAATCACCATCACACTTCACACATACCCTTCTTCCTTTTCCCACTTCATCTTTTCTTCTTAATCGTTGAATAGGGTCGTCAACGACATACATGGCGCTTCCACTAAGAAGAATAAAGAATACCAAGAGAAACTTCCCGTTGTTGTTCTCAGAGCCGAAGAAATTATGTACTCTAAAGCCAATTCTGAGGTATAACTATTTCCCTTTCCCCTGTTCTGCACTGCTCCTTATATACTCAATTATTTCTCCATTATTACGAAATATTGTATTATAAGAGGAAAAAAAACATTCTTCTGATGAAAAATAAAATAATTTTTACATAATTATTATTGGGTAGGCGGAATACATGGACCTTACGACACTTTTGGACAGAACAAATGATGCCATTGATACAATAATTCGACGTGATGAGCATACAGAAACTGGAGAGTATTTGCGCCCTTGCATCGAAGGTAAATAATAACTCAACCCTCGAATTAAGTAACCCATTTTTGTTTAGGTCTTCTCTTGTTGTTTGTTTAGTTTCTTTCTGTAACCAAGTAGTAGCAACTTTATAAATGGGGAAAAAAACATGGATAAAATAACAAAGGTAGCTGCTTTTTTTTTTTTTCATTTCCATAACATTTCTATCCTCTATTTGAAAAAACTATTTCACACTTGACACTGTAAATAAATAGATGTATTTTATTACTTTTTTATATACACGTATTTTAAAAATAATTCTTCAAAGGTTAAAAAATTAAGGGTGTAAAAAATTGTTTCAAAGAAAAGCAAACTTGGGAAAACGAAAAAGAAAAAAGTTTGTGTTAGAGAAATGGTTGAATGTTTTTGTTAATTTTCCATGAGGACTTGTGAAAAGAGAAAAGTATTATTTATGGAAACATTTTTTTTTTCAATTTCCAAATATGCACTAATTGGTGGAGATAGTTCGGCACATATGTTGTGAGTGATTTTTGTTCTTTGTTTGTTATGATTCAGCTGCTTTGAGTTTGGGTTGCTCCCTAACAAAACCTTCAAGGAGTCAACGCAACAACCAAAGGTGTTATTTGAGTCGCAGAACTGAAGAGGTTCCCAATGTTTCTCATGCCATGGTGCATATGGCGAATATAACGGACCATACAACAAAGTCGCAACATGTGTCTGAAAATGTACCTTCGGCTAGTAAAAAGCAGTGCTTGGAATTTTCAGCTTATCCCCTATACTATGGGAACAACATCCAACTTGAAATGTCCCAACATGATCTTGAAGTCTCACATGTTTCTCACACTTGTGGACCTGCCCTTATGTTAAATCCCTCAAGTGAGGGATCCCAATCATTCATTGTTAATGGAGATTTTGAGAATCCATTCACAAACAAATGTGATCTATCATTGAGGTTAGGTCCCTTTACTGTAGATGCCCCTAGTTTTGGAAATGATCAGTTTCAGGAGGCTGACGTGAGAAGCAAGTTAATTGTTGGAACCTCCCAGAAGGATGAAAAGTTGAAGCTTCGAGGAAAATTTTGTGGGAGTGCAACCAAAAGTACAATAACAGCACACAGGTTTTAGAAGATGAGAGAGTTTGTTTAAAGACAAAATTTATGTGTTGTTATTTTGGATTCCGATAATGTTGTTTAATAATTAAAATTAGAACTTTAGTTTAATGAAATATTTATATTTAATATTATTAAAAATTGTACTTAAGTTTTGATATTTGTTTATTGTTATGTAGTAAACTAGAGAAATTTAGGTTTTTAAACTTGTACTTTGCTATGCTTCTTCAAATGGCTAAGCATTTATGTATTTAGATGTTCATCTCAGCTGTGTTTTATGGGTTATGTAAATAACAAATTCAATCTGAATTATAACGGTGGATTAAATAGCGAGTCTTTCTCTACAGCAGTAAAATGTGTTATCCAACATAAGTTATCTTTGGCAATATCAATGTGCACGTTTTACCTGTTTCATGAATACAATGTAGTAACAGTTGCATTGTACGGTGCCGGTTAAGAAAATTGCTATTTTGTGACTTTTAAGGCAAGTTGTTATTTATGGTTGAAAAGTAAACCAGATGGCGACCTCGCTAGGAAATTTTGGACTTTCTGTAGGTACTCTTTAATTTGATGATGCTGACGTTGATATTTTAAAATATTTTATCTAACTCCGATCAAATGGTTCGTAGTGTTGATGATTCATAAGTTATTTATTTAGCTATTAAAATATGATAGTACTAAATTCCCGCATCACAAAATCTCTTCAAATTTCACTTTGCTCACACCATAACGAGTCATGACATTATTTCGTCAAAATAATAAAAGTAAAAATAGAGTAATGACATTAATTAATACATTGCATTCACAATATAGTTATAAGCATGGTTACAGTTAGTTGACCTAGCGAAAAAGGCGATATTCAACAATACGAAAAAATGTAGTTTGTTACTACATCAATATAGAATTTAAAATTTATAATATAAATTCGATTGCATCTTTTTATCGAGTATATTACCTTGCAACTATTTTTTTCATTTACTACTTGTTATTTTAAATTTTAAAAAATTAAATCAAGAAAAACTAAATATACATGTATGGGTATTATTATTTTAAGGAAAAAAAAAGTAATTTCGAAGGACTGAAAATATTTCCGTCCCGAGGCTTTAAATTAGGTATAATTCTAGTACATATTTAGAAACTTAATAAAATTAGGTTAAAGTAGGTTTCAGTGTAAAAAATATAACTTGTAATGGTAAAATATATCCACATTTGACTGGATTTAACACATAATCAAGCATGCTGTTAATGCCACAACTGCATTATCTGACTTCGATTTTAAATGTTTTCAAAATTTGTCATATTTGTCTCCAGCTTCCATCAAACATTATCAGCATATATAAAATGTTACGTATGCAAATTTATTATTTCAAGCAGTGATAGAAGTTAGGACAAATTTAAAGGGTTTTGAAAAGTTTGGGGATGAAAATCACTGCTCATTGGCCAGACTCTTCTCTACTTCTGAGAACATTTATGATTTATGCATTAGTTTAGCTGCCGGCAACAGTCTCCTTGAATTATGGTCATAACATGGTTTTATCTGGTCCATGATGTCTACCTAAGTTTGCAACACGAGACATAACATGACACGCCCAAGGTTTAAAAGCATTAATTCTAAAGCTACAAGGTCTTCAAAGATTTAGTACATGTTCATGGTTATAAATCCCATGAATGTGTCAGGCTACACAGTTAGGCTTCTAAAGGTCCACTTGTTAAGAAAGACCACAAAGAAGCAGCTGAGGATGTTGAAGAGCTATAATGGAAATCAATTTGCAATTGCCGGTGAAGATAGGAACTTGAACCATTCCATTTCCTCTCCTCCTTCTCTAGTTGCCAAAGTGGTATTGCTGCCAGAAAGCGTTTGATGAACTCTTTACAGCACTCTTTACCACGGCAAATTATCTCCCGACTTTCCTCATTTTTTGCATCATTAATTCCCTTTAAAGGGACCTCTTTTGATTTGTCCATTTTCCCATATATCACACTCGAATCATCAAACTTCAATATGAATGCTTGTTGGCACCCTTCAAAAAGTCGCTCACCCAAAGAGTCAATGATATAATAAGCGTTTGCTTCTACCTTCAAAACAAAGAAATGATCATTCCAACTCACTATGTAAATTCTTGGCTCTTGATCAACCACCTTGCTCTTTATCTCATCCCAAATTTCATCAAAAGACATGGCTCCTTTCAAGCAATGGAACTTCTCAGGTGAGAAAAACCCTGTGTATGATTTCTGAGGCAAAACAACTAGAGGTCTCAAATTGACTTCTATGATGGTCTCCAAATCAAAATGTTTATCTGGGAAGAGCTTTGAGTAGTAATCATTGTTGCACAACCTTCTCCATTGAGACGAACCTTGTCTGATGAGACAATCAAATTGTGCTCTTGTTGGCATACCCTGGTTGGAGTGGAGCCAGTGAGCTATGAGTGCAACTAAGACCGTGCAAGCACTCTCACCAGAGGCTTGTTCACTCATTTGGTCAAAGGAAGCGAAAAACACATTGGTTTTGAGCTTTGCTTGCCCATCTCTACTTAAAATTCCCTTCATTTCCCAACTACTAGCACTGTCTTTATGGTACAATTGTGGAGAAAGTTCATTCGATTTCTGCATTGAGTTAACAAGTCCATTTGTTAGCCTTAAAAAATGTGACCTTTATTTGTTTTGCATACTGCAATGATAATCAACTCGCACCCTTGAGCTTTGAGTAATTAAGGGGTGAAAAAAAGGTAACATACCAGTGAATAACCATGATAGGTGGTTTGAGTTTCTAGTCTGTTTGTGCTTGTCTTAGGGTTCTTCCACTCTTTGAAGCTTCTATTGTGTGACAACTGGGACCAACTCCTCTGCACTGTATCCAAACAAGACTTTGTCTCTGAGCTTGTAAACCTCTCAGACCCAATAGTGAGTCTTGACCCTGCGTTGTGAATTCCACTGCTCTTGCTACTGCCACTGCTTGTGGTGGACTCATTCGACGAGTCATCTGAGTCAAACACGGGAGAGCCATCCGACTCATAAGGGCTTGTTTGTTCTGCTTCATCAAACTTACCATTATTTTTCTTCCCTAAGCTTGTCAAGCACTTCACTTTCCCTATAATCCCATGTTTCTTCTCTGGCTCGACCCAGTTTTCGAAAGGTCCGGTCGTCGCTGAATCATCATTGGAATCCCTCAGCTTCAATAACCTCATAGAGACCTGTTAAAAAGTGAAGAAATTATTTTCATGCAGTCAATATATTTTAGCAATCTATTATATATAAGAGAACCAACAAGAGAAAAAATAGAAACCAATTACTATATAATCATATAGGATGAATATAATATCTCTAAAAAACATTACCCATTGAGAAATTGCGTTTTTCTTAAGCAATTGCACAACTTTTTTCAATAAAATAAGATTAAAATTATAACATAAATATTTTATATAATAAGGGAGTTAAAAAATTATATAAATACTGCAATTCTTCCTCAATTTTGAGAAAATGTAACCGTGCTAAGAACTTTAATTTGCACCCAAAAAGCATATTTTAGTGTTAAGATATTTCACATCACTTAAAATTAGTAAAAATAGGCTTGAATACTCTTCCTTATTTAAGTTAACTTTTAAAAATAATAAGTTAGCCCTAAACAGAGTCCTAAATCCCAATTAAAAAAATCTTACTTATATACCCACTAATGCAGTACTTTTTATTATTTAATATTTAGATTTCTTTATTTCAAAATAAAATATACAATAATAAAAACTGTTATTAACAAACATTTCACACTTGTTTTCTAACGTTTTATTTCTTATTAGATGAATTCATATATTAATCTCATTTATACAGAATAGATATGTACGGGATATTTAGTGAAGAGAATTCTCTCAATCATAAAATATGTAGTATTTTAAAAAGAGTATTAAATGGATATTGTATTCCTGACATACACACACTTGTTTCCCAAAATTATTAAAAAGGACAAAAAGGAAAGACAAGTTTTTTTACAATCACGGTCAAATAACGTTATTTGGAAAATGAATTGGAACAGAAACGATGGACGGAAAGACGTGAGTCATGAGTTCACACCAACAAAATAGGACATCACTAATTTGTTTTTATGAGTTTGTATCCATATTATACACACAGAAATTTTCAAATTTCAATGAAATGGCCAAGTTTTATTACGTGTTATTTCTTTCCATTTTTGCTGTGTGCGCGCTTGTGAAACGGGTTTGACCAACAGGGCCAATCAAAACATACATAATTAATTAGTAAAAAACCGAGGAAAATGAAGTTGGAACATACCAAAAGGGTAGCTTCGATTATCAAACCATTGACCCTCAATTTGATTGGAAGCCTCCTTTGAAAGTGATGATGAGAATTGGACCGTGTCTTCAATTCTTCCCTCACCAGCAACTCCTCCACGGCCACGCTCGTTTCCACTTTTCCGACCACCGTCATTTTAGCTTTAGATTCTCCTACACATCCCTGTGACTGCATTTCATTTTTAAACAAATTTATTCATAAATAAACATACTTACATTAACATAATACAAATAAATAAATAAGCACAAGAAAAATTTAAAAATTTAAAAGAAAAAAGAGTTAGAAACATAACATTAAGTTCTTATTCTTACATATAAGACATGAAATGCCATGTCGCAAGCATCAAAGGGCCCATCTTTGAGGACTAGATGAAACCCGCAGAGGTCGCGAGCTTCCCATACGAGAGAGGGTGCTTTGGAACTGAGGAATCTACGAACAGAAGTGGTGTGAGCGCATCGTCGTTTTGGGGTGCGATGAAAGGGAACGAGTGGAAGAGGTGTCGTTTTTGGCTTTGAACTCGTAGAAGAAGAAAAATTCTTCCCTTTATCTTTCTTTGTAGCAATTCCTGTTATTTCAATAGCCACGTTGTCGTTTGCAGCACCCACCCTGACTCCAAACAATCCTAATTCAAGCTTCAATTGGGTCACCTTCACTGCGTGTTTGTTGTTGCTCTGCCCCGACAACCTTGTTGCCCAACACTTGATCTTCGTCATCTTCTTCGTTCTTGTTGTTGTTAGTTCAATGTTGTGTTTGGTCTGATGAAGAAGCCATGGATTAATTTTAGAGGATTGAACAAACAGTAATTAGGAATAGACAAACGACCCAATGAAACTTAATTTGGTCAGTGATAGTTACATTTGGATTTTATTTAGTATATATGTGTATATGTTATGTTTTTAAAAATATTAAAAAAATATGTGAAGGGTGCAACACCATGCGCACTTGAGTCAAATAGAATGAGTCCCACTTCTCAGTTTCCACTTTCCATATTTCCGCGTGACCGTGTAAGGGGATCGCTACGGTCTACACGATTTATCAAGACACGGTTGCTCATGTTATTTTTCCAATTAATTACCTTGTTAAATTTTTATGAGTTTCTTGTCTTGTCTACATGTGTTCAATTTTATAGTAATTTTAAGTGCAACTGTATATTTCATCGATTAAAACGATTTTTAAATCACATTGTCATTTAAAAAAAAAAACAATTATGAGAATATCAAATTTTGAAGGAAATTCAAATATTTATAAGAATTTAATAAAACTCTTGGCATTTATTTATATTCTAAAGAACCGTACATAAGTTCAAAAGAGCATATTATACGTTGATAGTTTTTCAGAAGCATTAACAAGTCACTTTAGTATCAAGAAGTATCTCGACAACTTTCTGGTTTTTTTAAATGTTTCTTAAAATAATATTCAATTTTATAATTTTTTATAATTTTTCAATCTCAATAATTTTAAAAACCGTTTAATGCTACTTTTAATAATATATTTTGAATTTTTTCATTAATATTATACTGTTTATTTAATTTTTTAATAAAACATGTTATCTTTTAAAAAAAATACAAGAGTTTAAAATTAACTACAAACTTAAATTGTAATTGTTTAAAAATTATTTTTATCTATAAATAAAAATATATTAGAGACCATATAAAAGTATACCCTTTTATAGAATTTATATTTATAAGGTAGGTTATCGATTCATTCAGCGTATATTTGATAGTCATTTGAAGTTTTTTATAGCTTGTTTGATTAACTTATAAATTTATTCAATTAAAATAAAATATTTAATGAACAGTCTTATTTTATTAATAAATTTTATTAATATCAGTCTTTAAAATAAAAAAATAAACAGTTAATAATAGTAAAATTTTATTTATAAATATTTAAACTCAGTTAACAAAATCTTTTATTAATTTACACCATCTTTTAGATATCATTTAAAATAATTTTAAAACTTATAACTTGCTATAATTATTTTTATCTTTAACCATTAACAAATATTCATTTATCATCCCTATTACACGCAACTCACTGCTACAGCATAGTTTAAATGATATCAAGATGCTTCCATAATAATCTTAAATCCCTATCCAGGTGCCATTTTGACCGTTATGGGCATCAACAACTCCCCATCCAACTGCCTCACTTGGGCTTTTAGTGGCATGATCAATGAAAAAACAAAACAAAACAACTAAAATTTAAACAACATTGTTTGGGCTGTTTTTAGTCATCTACTAGGACGCTGTTCTACATTGTGATGCAGAGGTGTTGAGTGCTATCTCTTGGTTGTGTGAAATTCATACTTAGTCGTTGATGTGACAGCAGCTTATCGGATGATTTTGCCAAGCACATTCTCCGTTGGTGACCGTCCAAACACTTCAACATTTCTGACACAAAATCATCTGTATGTCCCTTACCAACGCTTCACTCCTCATCTTTCAACAAAATCAATAAATGGCCTCCGACAACGTTTTACTTTCCTTCTTTAATTCAAAATTTAGAATGCTAATGAGTGATTTTAAAATAATGATTCAAATTTTTAAGAGAAAAATATATGAAAAACATTGCACATTTTACTATGTTTTAACACAATAATTTTTATTGTATAATTAAAATTTTGTTATTAATTATTTAATTAATATTTTCTAAACAATTATTAATATGATATATTAATAAAAATTTAAACCATATGTACTTTTTGTTTTATATTAATTATAAAACCTTGTTCCTAGTACTGTAAACATAAGACCAAGCATGGGAGGGAAAATAGAAAGTTATAATGACAATTACATTATTTATTATTTATTTTTATATTTTAAAAATACAATTCATAATTTAAAAAAAGTACCGCCACTTAAAAAATCTCCTGTAATAAGGAATATCACTTTGATGGAATAAGATTATTTAAAATAGAATGTCCGTATTAATTCATAATTTTTGTATTAATTTTTACTACTAAAAAAATCATTATATTTTCTTCTTTGGCCTATTTTTCAGTCTTAGAGAATTTTTTTCAATATTTTAAGTTAAGCTAATTTTTTGTTTTGAAAAGCGTTTAATCTTTATAATTTATCTAAAAAATTTATCCAATAACTAATAAAAAATATAAAGATTTCACCGCTGAGTAAGATTATTCACTATACTTCCTATTTAAATAATAATAATAATAATAATAAAATTTATGAAAAATAAAATATTGATTACATTAGATATATAAAAGTGTAATATTTTTCAACAAATTATTATTATTGTTTATTTAAACTCAATTTTAAGAGTAAAAATTAATAAAAATATTTAGGCAACTAATAAAACTGTGAAAATTAAATAAAAATAAGTAAAATTAACAGCCTAAATTTTCATATAAAATTAATATAAAAGCCAAAAAAACAAAACAAAACATTTTTTGGTACTTTATTGTCAAAAGGGAACCAGGTGTACCGTAACGCAATTCGGCTGAGTTTAGATTGGGCTTTGGTCTGCAAAATAGATCCATGTGGTTCAGCAATCGACGGACGATAATCGATAGCCAGTTGATATCAGGCCGACACGACAACAACGTTTGCAAAACAACTTACGTTCTATTTTAAAAAAAAGCACTTGATTTGTTGAACTCCCACTAAATAAACATCATAAGGGTGATATTAATTGCTAATTATATACTCACAGGTAACACCATAACAAATCTCAATACATTACTCGAATATTATATTCGCGGCAAATAATATTGTATTCAGCTTAAACCCCTTTACCGCAATAACAGTAGGGAATAGCATTCAATTGGACATGAACGGGGCAGAAGTTTTGGTACTTGGAAACTCGAACAGCTAACGATGCATTTTTGTGTCGTTAAGACAATGTTTATAATATGTATGGTTATACGCACCTGCCCTTTGGGCATAAAAAGAGACAGAAATCTGCGAATCACACATAATTTCAACCATTAGATTTGAGAACTGCAAGTTAAATAACAGAGTTAGTTGCTTAATATAACCTTTGATTACACCTAGTGAATATAACTATTATATAGGTAAAATTATGTTACACGATATGTTAAAGATTATTTTGTTTGAATATTTTATGTCTGGGAATACGAAATAGGAAAAACAAAACAACACAGTTCATTTCCGATACATTATAAAATATTTTGTTGCATTCGATTCTATTTTATTCATAATTGAACAATAGATTTTTTCTTTGATAACATTAGAGGAAAGGTAAGAAAATTCAAATCTAACAAGATATTGTTTGATCTGTGGAGCTGGCAATCCTAAACCTAACACATTCTTTAAAGTAAAAAGGTGATTAGTGACTTTGGTGTTTGGAGTTGAAAAACTGTTGCCCGAAAGAAGAACCCTAACAATCTGTATTTTCAACACCTAATCAGTACAATTATAAATTTACATTAATTCACACACACTAACATAATTTTGTCGGATGGCCTGGTGTTGTATCATTTGGCCATTTTTAATTGTTAATTAAAACACTTGTTTTTCCAACCATGACTTTTCGTATAATAAATTATATCACTATTGGAATACAGACATGTACGCCACTTTTATCTAACCATATTTTATTTATTTATTTGTTATAATTATATTATTAATCCTAGAAACACCAATATAAAAAATAAAAACAATTATAAACACATAACAGAGTATTATAACATATTAGAAAATTAATCTTTCAAGTTAATGTGAAATACTTAATATTGCAGTTAAATTTCATGTGACTACTGGTTCGATGAATAATGACTTCAGAACTTTCTTTTTTTTTCAAATTAAATTTTTATTACTTTTATACTAAAACTCAATCTTATATTTTAGAATTGACAATATTATTTTATAATTTGTCTCTTTCTTGACTATATTGATATATCTGCGCTTAATTTTTATTTAATTTAAATTACATTTGCTAAATTAAGTTTCAATTTTTAAATATGTTTTTAAAAAGCATACAATAAAAATTAATAAATAATACTTTTTGTAAAAAGTTATAATATATTTCTTATGACACGTTTCTACGAATGCATTTAATATTATGAAATAATTTATGATTTTGCTAATAAAATTTTTAGAATAATTTATACAGCTTATTAAAAGAAATAAATTTTTAACTTGTCTTAATAAATTTTATAACAAAATTTATAAACATATTATTGAATAAATATTGAATTCACCCTTAAACTTTACAAGGAAGGGAATAAATCGGTATATATCAAACGACTGGGCACGTTTCTTTTTCTTTTTCTTTTTCTTTTTAGTTTCCAAATCCTAAATTGATTAGTTAATTGGTTAACTTAGCAGAACGTGCAAATTTCCATTTCCGCGAGTGGTTTTGTAAGAGACGAGCAATTATTAATGCATTTCGCTGGCAATTCAGCAAATGGGACGGAGTTTGTTACAACTATCTACAACCCCCTTTTGTCGCTTTGTGCTCATTCCCTGTATTTATTTATTTATTTTATAAATTTTGTTTTATTTATATTTCTTTGTTACACAATGAAAAAAATAAAATACAAATAAAATTGTATTTTTAAAATTAAAATAAAAACAGTATATGTTTGAGTGAGTATATAAAATTAGTTTTATTTTAAAATAATTTTAAAATGACTTAGTTTATCTTTAAAAATAAATAAATAATGTTGAAAATTTCATAATTTTTAATTTAATCCTAAATTTATAATCCGTCTCGTTGATTTAAACATAAATTTAGAAATAAACTTAAGTTTAATTTTGACTTAGAACAATAAATTAAAACATATTTACGGTTATTCAACTTAACTCTAAGGATACAAATGCGTTTCTAGCTAAAAACACTTAATTTTACGAAGATTTATTGGGATGACAAATTGTGAAAACTTTTGATGTTATTAAGGTTATGATCGAGGTATCACTAACCATTAGTTTCAAATGCCTGTGATCGATTAGTTGGGAATATAGCATATGAATAAGTTGAAACATGCATGAAAAGCTGCCACCTCGCTGGCAACTCACATGGAATTAATGGTGGGCTTCTCGTTGTGGGTTCAGTGCATAAGAACACATGAATTACATCAAAATAAACAAACCCAAAATTGTCTTCTTCCACTGTCTTCGTCTTCCCCTCAGCTTCGTCTCTCCACGTACGTTGAACACACAACGAAGACAAAAGGTGAAAAGTGAAGTTGCTATCCATGTGAAAAAGGCGTAGCAAGCATTAAAGTGGCAAGATATTTCTAATAGCTTCATGAATTAACAATTCTATAGCATATAGCATATTGTATAATGATGTTCTTAAATTTCAATTAAAGTAAGCATAAATCAAAATATGTATGTTTAAATTGATTTTTAATGTATAATTAATTCATTTAAAATTTTAAATATTTTTGATGTGGTGAATACCAAAACGAATTAATTATTTAACATTGCCCTATAAAATTTACAATAGAGCAAAAAGATTTTCCTAAGTAACACATAACCCAAAAGCAGGACCTGAATCCCAAATTTCAAAAGCGAGTTTGAATCAATGTTTTTAAAAGAGAGAGTATAGCAATGTGATTGAGTCACGGTTATGTCATGTTAATCTCATACAAAGCTTGGAAATGGAGCCCTTTGACTTGGATGGTTAAAAAGGGGACCCACTCAGCATTCCAAGTTGCATTTCTTACACACACTTTGACGCCTCCTTCACGTTCCTCCAACTTCTCATTAATATAAACCGAACACCGAAACCAATCCGCTCATTTCTATTCTCCGACAGTTTTCACAAGCATCTTCACAATACTTACTGGTAATAAAACTACAAATATTTAATTTAAAACTTATAAATAAAGTATCATGACTTTTTAATTAATATCATTCAAATATTTATTAGTTTAGTTCATAATTTAATGGTTTAAATATTTTTTATAGACATAATCAAATTTAATTTTAGCCTATCATCATTTATTCTCGTATTTTTAAATATTTTTTATATTTTATAACAATATTGTGATATATTTTATTAATCTGTATATCATAAACAACACTCTATTTTCTGAGAAGTTAAATATTTAGTAAATTTATTTTATTTTACATTTTAAGATTAACATTAACTAAAAGTGTGTAAATTATTTTTTATTATAATTATTTTATTTTTTACTTACATAATTATTAATTTTATTTTAAAATTTGAGGTTAAAATATTTGTCTAAATTTTTTTTATCTTGTACAATATTTTTTTTGTCAATATCTATTTTTATATTTATAAAATTTATCTTTTTTTAACTTAGATTTTATTTTTAAAAGTCACATTTCTTAAATTTATAGTTATTAATATATACATACACACACACACACACATATATATATATATATATATATATAAATTATCAATATTTAATTTTTTGACAGTATATAAAATAAAATATTACTTCAAATTATTTAATTTTATAAATATTATTATTTAAAATAGTTTTATTACATATATAATTATTCATAAAATTATAATTTTCTTTAATTATTAAATTACATGTATACTTATCATAAAATAAAATACATATGCATTATATGCTACTAAAATAATTATATTACATAGTGATTCTTTTGAAATAATATGTAACATGATATATTCAAATAATAATAATAATATAAATATTTTTAAAAGTTAAACTAAATTTAATAATATTTATAACAAATAAATAAAATAAAATAATTTTTTAACAAATGTAAAAAATATATAATAAAATAAATAATATTTGTATTAAAAATTTGTTATTTAATATTATCAATATATTAATTTGTAAATTTGGATGCCTTAAATATAAATAATAAAAAAATCCAAGTTTCAAAATTCACACCAACTTGTAACATCAAAATCATCCAGATTGGTGATGCTTCCAATGCGAACAGTGCACGTTGTCTCGCTGCATTTGCAGAAGTAATAAAAAACAAGCACTTATTATTACGAATGTTTTCATTGGCTAATGGATACTATGAATATCATATGGATTTTTCTAATGTCTGCTGACGATCAATATAATAAAAATGTTAATGACTAATAGTAAGTGACTTAAGCATGCTGATAAATTAATGGTTAACAAGACATATTAAATATTTTTTTTTTTTTTTTATTGTTATCTCTTTGTACGTGTTTATAGATAGACAATTTAATTTTAGTATAATTTTTTATATTATTAATTAATTAAAATATATCATAAATATAAAAAAACATTTTATTTCATTTTTTATATGTTACACATTTTAAAAAATATATCATTAATATAATAGTTTTTTTTAGAAACCATATATATCATTTAAAAGGAACAATTCTATTCAAATTAGATATGATTATTATGAGTGATAAAATTATTAATTTTAAATATTTAAATTAATCTTAAAATAATAATTAAAAATAATATTTTAAAAATATAACAAAACTGTTAATAAAATATTGAACCAGTTGTTTTGAGTATGTAAGAGAAGAAGAAGAAGAGTTCTTGGATCAGTCAAATGGTCAACCCACAAACTTTATTTTAAGAAGAGGAAGACACATCCTTTAAGATTTTGACGGTTCTAAAACCAAACCAAAACAACCGGCGAAAGACAGAAACAACGAAAGTCAGATCTACATCTACTAGTCTGAAACAATCTTTAACGATGGTAGTTAGTAGATACAAACAATTCAATACAAACTCATTCACGAGGGGTATCACTAACCCTTTCTCTTTCTCTTCTCTACCTTCTTATATTACTTCATTCTTTCATCTCTTTGCAACTTGATCTCCTTTCGCTTGTCATGGACTCATGGTCAAATTATGAGTGCTTAGCTGAGTAATCTTTGTTGACTTTTTCCTCAAGTGGTCCTCTCCTTCCTTCTCATCCAAATCCACAACGCTATCACCTGCTTTGCATTAATTCTCTTCATTATCGATCTCCGTTTTCTTCTGGCCCTAGCAGTGCTCTTCCCCGTATCTATTTTCTGACGTGTCAAATCAGGATTCATCAGATTCCTACTCATAAACTAGCTTTCTGGGTTCCTCATTTTCTCATTTTTCGCTTCCCTCTTTTGGGTGTTTTCATATTCTTTTTCTCTCCCTTTTTATTTCTCTGTCATCGTATTCCTTAAACTATGTAGCCCAAGTATAACTTTTAAAAAATATATACAAAGAAAATTCAGCTCCAAAGTTCTCTTTTTTCTTATTTTTTTGAGGGGTTCTTTTTGTGTAGCAGTCTTCTCTGGTGCAGGTATATGTGTAGTTGAATTTCTGAGGGGTTATTTTCCTTTTTTAACCCTTAGGGTCTTCTTCTCTATTTTTAATGAATTTGTAGAATATTGGCAGTGTAGTAAACATGGGAAAGCATTGGTCTTTCTTCAAAATTATGAGTACCCTTGTGTTGTGCATCCGTCTTTTGTCTAAAGTCTGTTTGGCTGGGATTCAATATAATGGCACAGTCTCACCCGGGTTCAAAGGTTCTCAAATGAATTGGATTGATAGAAATGGAATGTTCCTCGTGTCAAAAGAGGGTAATTTTGCCTTTGGATTTGTCACCACTGCAAATGACAGCACCCAGTTTCTATTGGCAATCATCCATACGGCCAGCTCTACCCTTGTTTGGACTGCAAATAGAGCACTTCCTGTTGCCAATTCCGACAATTTTGTGTTTGATGATAAGGGCAATGCCTTTTTACAGAAAGATGGGAACGCGGTCTGGTCTACAAATACAAGTGGCAAAGGGGTTTCTTCAATGGAATTGCAAGACACAGGAAATTTGGTTTTGCTAGGGAGCGATAATAGTACAGTGATTTGGCAAAGTTTCAGCCACCCAACAGATACTTTGTTGCCAACTCAGGACTTCACAGAGGGAATGAAACTCATCAGTGATCCTAATTCAAACAATTTGACCCATATTCTTGAGATCAAGTCTGGTAATGTTGTTCTCACAGCAGTTTTTAAGACTCCTCAGCCTTATTGGACTATGCAAAACGACAACCGCAAAACTATCAATCAAGATGGTGATGAGGTTGCTTCCGCAAACATAAGTGAAAATTCCTGGAGGTTCTATGATAAGAACAGATCTTTGTTGTGGCAATTCATTTTCTCTTCAGATCCGGGTACTAATGAGACTTGGGTTGCAGTTTTGGGGAGTGATGGCTTCATCACTTTCTCTAACCTAAACAGTGGAGGGTCAAATGCTGCATCACCAATAAGAATACCACAAGATCCTTGTGCTACACCAGAGCCTTGTGATCCATACAACATTTGCACTGGCAATCAGAGGTGTAGCTGTCCTTCTGCTGTTCCAAGTTGTGATCCTGGTTTTGTCTCTCCTTGTGGTGACTCAGAACATTCCGTTGAGTTAGTGAAAGCTGATGCTGGACTCTATTACTTTGCACTTGAATTCCTTCAACCCTTTTCCAAAACTGATTTGGCTGGTTGCCAAACTTCTTGCAATGGAAACTGCTCATGCCTTGCTATGTTTTTTCAGAAAAGCTCAGGGAACTGTTTCCTCTTGGATACCATAGGAAGCTTTGAGAAATCTGGTGCTGATTCTGGTTATGTTTCTTACATTAAGGTTTCGAGGGATGCAAGTGCTGGCTCAGGAGGCAGTGGAAGCAGCAATAAGCACACCATAGTTGTTGTGGTTATTGTCATATTAACTTTCCTTGTCATTTGTGGTCTGGTCTTTGCAGGAGTTAGATACTGCAGAAAAAAGCAACAATCGCCTGATTCTCCTCGAGAGAATTCAGAAGAGGACAATTTCTTGGAGAATTTAACTGGTATGCCAATTCGTTACAGCTACAAAGATCTTGAAGCTGCTACTAATAACTTCTCCGTGAAGCTTGGGCAAGGGGGTTTTGGGTCAGTTTATAAAGGAGTACTACCAGATGGGGCTCAACTAGCAGTGAAGCAGTTGGAAAGTATTGGACAAGGGAAGAAAGAGTTCAGGGCTGAAGTTAGTATCATTGGCAGCATTCATCACCTCCATTTGGTTAGGCTTAAAGGGTTCTGTGCTGATGGAACTCATAGGCTTCTTGCTTATGAGTACATGGCCAATGGCTCATTGGATAAGTGGATTTTCAAGAAAAACAAGGGTGAGTTTTTGTTGGATTGGGATACAAGGTTTAATATAGCTCTTGGAACAGCAAAAGGACTTGCTTATCTACATGAAGATTGTGACTCAAAGATTGTTCATTGTGACATCAAGCCAGAAAATGTACTTCTGGATGATCATTTCATGGCCAAGGTTTCTGATTTTGGTCTGGCTAAGCTCATGAATAGAGAACAAAGCCATGTTTTTACCACACTGAGGGGCACAAGGGGCTATCTTGCACCGGAGTGGATAACAAACTATGCTATATCAGAGAAAAGTGATGTTTACAGTTATGGAATGGTGTTGCTAGAGATCATTGGAGGAAGGAAAAGCTATGACTCTAATGAAAGTTCAGAGAAATCCCATTTCCCAACATATGCTTTCAAGATGATGGAAGAAGGAAAACTGAGAGATATTTTTGACTCAGAGTTGAAAATTGATGAGAATGATGACAGGGTTCAATGTGCTATAAAAGTTGCATTGTGGTGCATACAAGAAGACATGTCAATGAGGCCTTCTATGACCAAAGTAGTTCAAATGCTAGAGGGTCTTTGTACTGTTCCTAAGCCACCAACTAGTTCTCCCTTGGGTTCACGCCTTTTCTCTACTGTATTCAAATCCACAAGTGAAGGGGGCACTTCTTCTGGTCCATCAGATTGTAACAGTGATGCTTATCTCTCTGCAGTTCGCCTCTCAGGGCCTAGATAACAGTGGCTATATCTTTTTTTTAGGTGTTGTATTGTTGTAGGATGTGATGAAGAGCTATTCAGGTTTACCTACTATTGATTTTGTGGGGCTTTCATGCATCCCGCTCTTGTAAATTTTCTTCAAGTTCCTCAAATTTTGTAATATAAATCGCTATCCATATAATCAATCTCCACTTTTTTTTCCTTGTCATTTTCTTGTCACTTTTATTTACTAATGCAATACAAATATTGATGAATAAAAAGATACTGTCTGAGGCCAAGAGTGATGATGACATTCATGATGACTAGCGATAACCTCTAATCGGAAGGAATATCTTTTTATGACCTGTAACTTCGAAATAAAAATAAGTGAATATTGCGGATTAACAATAACTTATCACAAAAATAATTACAGATTTACGGTGTTATTTAATTTATTGTACATATTTTAATTGTTAATTTTAAATTTTTATTAAGTAATTAAACTGAAAAATTTTATATAACTTTTAAAATAGTTAATATTACATTGATCAATATACTTGTCAAATTATTAAATACTAGTTATAATATTACAAATTTATGAAACTTAATTTATATTTTAAATATTGATTTCTATCTTTCTTGCACACGCGGAAGTAATAAAAGTTACAAAGAAATTTTATTATTTAAAAAAAAAAAGAACGTTAATTAAATGAAAAGGGGCGATTGAATGTGTGGCGTCCGTAAGAGATGATGAGTTCAGCTCTGACTAACCATCTGGTGCAGTGCTCAATCGCCACCACTTCCAACACCAAAACCCATTTTCCCGCCAAATTACATTCCTCATCTTTCTCTACCATCAAGCTTCGCCCCGACAACCCCAACCACCATGCTTCTTCGGGTGAGGGACGCGACCTTAAAGTCAAATCTCGGACTCTATCTTGTTGGATAGGGTTGTTATTGTTCTTATTGTTTAACATCGTAAAGGTATATTGTAGATTTAGCGGTTCCAAGATGTAGCAGGAGAGGGCTAATATACATAGCCACGTTGCCATGTCTTATTCCCCTAACTCAAATCATTGGTTCTCTCCGAGCCAACGCTAAACAGTAAGTATAACTATAACACTAACTTTGGCTTGCACCATATCCTATGTTACAGGATCCGAATACGAGTATTGAATAAGATACTCAGCACATATGAATGCAAGTGTGTCTTACATCTGTGATGATTTTTGAAGTATTGATGCAGCATAGGCCCTATCATGTTCTTACATTAATGTCTAGTCTTGAACACATTGAAGGGCAGTTACAAATGAATATCTTCTTATTAAAGAAGAAGTGAGGAAGGTATTGTCAAAAGGAAAGGCTGCAGGAGTGCTTCGTTTGGTGTTCCATGATGCTGGAACCTTTGATATCGATGAAAATACAGGTATTCATCTCATTGAGATTCAGGGACTTAAGCTCTTGAAATTGCTTTTATATTTTGCACAGTCCTTGGGGGACATATGAATTACCAATGTGTAAAGTTTAAGTTTCTATGCCATGTCTTCCATTTTCTCTTTTCTTTCCTGGCTACGTTTCCGCAGGAGTTCTGGCCTTTGCTCATTTGTTTGGGTAAAGTTTCTCAACTCATGAGCTGAGAAATTTAAAAGGAAAGTATGTGGTCTCTTATTATGTTTTCTCGGTGATAGTGTCATCACCAGTAGCGTGCATTTCCGTATTCTTCTCTAATTCAAAATTTTCCATTTTCCATTTTTCATGTTGTTGCAGGTGGTATGAATGGTTCTATAGTCCATGAACTTGGAAGACCTGAAAATGCTGGCCTGAAAAAATCAGTAAAGGCATGATCTGTCTCACTAATTTTCTCAGTTCCCTTCCACCTCTCCTCCTTTAATATTATTATTTGAAAAATTCCAGTTCGTATGTTCTATTGTCTAAATTTCTTGATCATTAAGACAGATATCTTATTTTATATTTTAATTGCCAGCTAATGTCTCAGTAGACTTATCATATGTTCCTCAGGTTCTGCAGAAAGCGAAAACTCAGATAGATGCTATTCAACCAGGTCCTTTTTTTATCTGGTAACTACTGGTAATAGTACTTGTTGATTTGATCTTGACCAACAAATATTAGTTTTCCTTGATTAGTGTCCTGGGCGGATATGATAGCTGTGGCTGGAGCTGAAGCAGTTGAAGTATGTGGAGGTCCACCTATCCAAGTTTCACTGGGCAGACTAGATTCACTGTAAGATGCTTGTTGTCTAATACTCTGGTTAGTATATGTCATGTGACAAGCAACTGGTCTTTTCCTCGAAGGATGACAAACAAGCAGTTATATGTTATCTTTGGTGCGTTAGGTTCTCAGTAAACATTTTTAACTAATTTTGAATTATGTTCAAGCTGTTGTTTAATGAATGATCAACCATTTGCACTATAAATAAAAACTCCACGGGTATTTAATTCATTGGTTGTCACATATCAATAGAACCTGGTTTTATCTTCTATCTATAATATATGCATTCCTTTTAATGATAGGGTGCCTGATCCTGAAGGGAGACTTCCTGAGGAATCTCTCAATGCTTCCGGTTTGAAGAAATGCTTCCAGAGAAAAGGCTTTTCGTGAGTATGAGGAAACCTTGCAATTTACTTTTCCTTTTTACTCTATAAAGATGATGGATTGCCTGCAATTCCCATTCAGTTGAGGAAAGCATTTTTTATTTGATGTTTACTTTAGATTGTTGCAGCTGTGCATTATCTAAAAATGCTGTTTAATTGTTCATTACTTAGCATGAGATTCTTACCAATACAGAGACAAACTGAATCTTATATCTTATTGAAGTCCTAATTCTAAACAAGAATAACAAGGAAAGAAATATAACGATTTACTGACCAAAAAATAGTCAATTATTTATTGGATAAAATGTTCAACATATTTTACTAGAATTAATTTTTCATTTGGAACTTCTGTTTCACAGAACACAAGAACTTGTAGCTTTGTCTGGAGCCCACACTATTGGAGGTAAAGGTTTTGGAAGCCCAATTTCTTTTGACAATTCATATTATAAGGTTCTTTTGGAGAAGCCGTGGACATCTTCAGGTAATTTAACTGCTTATCTCATCTAAAGATTGCTTTGATATTTTAGGTAAACTTGCTACTAATCATTGTTTTCTGAATCAATTCTTTTTTAATGACAACAATAAGTAAATACAGGAGTTGAATGCATGTTAGGCCTTCGGGTGAACAGTTGGCATATCATTTAGTTTATGTCTAGTCTGCTTTGGATCTTAATGTTCCAAACAATTTTTTCAGTTTCTTTAGCATCGGTTGCCTTCCAAGAAACTGCTACAAATTAGCATAAATATCTATGAGTGCATGCTCATTTTTCTGGATAGGCCCAACATACTTATTTGTTTGTTCATGTCATTTTTTAAATAAATATTTTATAATATAATTCTCTGCTGCTGGTTCTTTTTTATACAGGTGGCATGTCGAGTATGATTGGCCTTCCTTCAGATCATGCACTTGTTGAGGATGATGAGTGCTTAAGGTTTTTATATCTCTTGACAGCCTCTTATGCTACCCTAAATGTGAAATTTGCCCCACTGTTTGTTCTTTCTAAGCAATAAAGTTTTATTTAAAAAGTGGTAAGTTTTTTCTAAAATAGTATAAGTTATATGAACTGATTAAAAATTAAAAATGGTAAGCAATTTTTTTCTTATTTTTCAGGTTTCTAGAAAATAACTGGTAATGCTAATAGTCCATCAATTGAAAACAATTCTTAGGATAATAACTGCACGTGAATTGGTAATGGGCAAGTTTGTTGGTTTGATTTGTCTGAAGATAATTCTCGATTCATTGCGTCTTGCTCTAGTAAACAAGATCCATGTTCCTGGAGTATTAGTTTATACATAATATTACACATTGGATTCTCCTGCTCTAGACTTCTAGTTGAAATTGGAAATGTCAAACTTAAAACGGTAAGGTCGTGATCCCAAACGCATGTCCCTGCTCATATACGTCAGTGTTTTGTTTGTTTTATAGTTAGAAAATCAATTCTTGTACTTTCATTGACAAACACTTCTTTCAATACAATTATGGCTAAGGTATTTTGACACATTTCACTTATATGGATTTAAAATTAATTCTATTGAAAGTAAATTTATTCAATTTTAAAACAAACGAGTCTATAGTTGTTTGATGGACTTGGGGTCATGTCTTATTCTTTTTGTCCATGTAAGCAAACAGCGAGGTGCTGAAAATAATGTTTTGTCTTTTCAATATTCCCTTGCACTTGACATATTTTGGTGCACTGCATGTGTATGTTTATGCTAATTATGTGTTCCTTAATGTGCTTAACTTAAGAGAACTTCATGTTGAACAGATGGATTAAAAAATATGCAGACAATGAGAATACGTTCTTTGAAGATTTCAAAAATGCGTATGTCAAGCTGGTGAATTCTGGTGTGAGGTGGAATAGCTTATAAATTCATGAGTTGAATATCCCAACTTCCACTAAAGGGGCAACTTGTATTCTTATTGATATATGCTAATAGTGTTTATGCACAGTTGCCTACTACCCCTTAAAATATTAAGAGTAAAATTTTAATACACTATTGATATAATGGCTTTCCCACTGTCAATTAATTAAAAATTACTTTAGATATTTTTTAAACAATTATTACAAAAGTCAATAATTTTTAGTTATAAAATAATCCATGATTAAATGATAATAAATTTTTTATATTATCAATATATTTTGATTAAATTCAAAAAATTAACTTACGAAGCGTGTGCATGCAAGGCCAATAAATTTTCATGGGAAAGTAATTTAAATTAAGTGTGAATTAGTTTTAAGAGTTTATGCTAATTTTTTTAGAAATAATAATAAATGACAGCCAAGTCCATGCTAAAACTGTTTTAATGTTTTGAATTTTTAATTGGTATAAATTAAAACTGTTATATTAATGTAAGAATTGCTCTGAAATATGTAATGAAAAAATAAGGATAATAAATGTTGATTGAAATGTATGTATGGAGTCAATGCTTTCTTGTACGTTGAAGGGAGGCCAGGGCCACTAGCTCCTAAACTCACCTAAGGCTAAGTGTACGCAGCTCCACAATCTACATGAAGATTCTCAACAATTTTGGTGGGTTGCTTTTTTTATGTATATACTTTTGTAAGCCTTTTTTTTACGAGTAAAAAGAAAAAGGAATATTATTGATAGCCATAATTTTTTTACAGAATGAGTTAAAATGTTTATTGACTCCTGGACGGATGATGGACTTTTATCACCTTATGACAATTATCAAGAAATCTTGTTCAACACTGAATATAGTTTTATATTCTAATTTTTTTTCCACACACGATGGAATATGTACCAGCGACAGTTCAATTTATTCCTAAACTTAAAAGAGATTATAAGACAAGGCTTTTTAAAAATTAATTAAAATAATTATTAAACAATGAAAATAAATTTACTTATATTTTAGGAGTAAGTATTGTCTATCTTAGTAGTTTTTTTTGGTATACACTGAATTTTATTTATCTAATTGCTAGTTTAAAAGTTTTTACTAAGTTAGTCAAAATTATAAAATATATTTTTAAAAATAATTTGATGCTTTATTAATTAATTTTATTATGGTGAACAATATACTTTTTAAAATGTAAATAAATATCAATTATGAGATTAAATTTATTTAAAATTTAACATATGTAATTGTTAACATCGTATTACATTATTTAATTATTATATTTGACACATATTTTAGGGGGGAAAAAAGTGAAATGAGCATTACTTTATGTCATATTTCAGAGTGTATCAGAAGATAACCTAACATTTTGTTGGATTGACAACTAGAGAATTGGGCAGTTAGGGGGTTATAAATTTATAGTCATGTAAGTTGTTATGATTTATTTTTTTCTCTAAAAGTACAAGTATTGTTGTTTTTTAAAACATTTATTAGTTATTTTTTTATAGTAAGTAAATTTGAAGTTCATAATGTATAATTTTTCATCGATAGATGTTTGATAAGTTATCATGTTATTATTTATTTAAAAATATATTAAATTAAAATAAAGATTATATCATCATGTTTTATTTGTAAAACCCTCCTTCTTTAGACAGTGGCAAAAAAGAAAGAACTATCCATTGCTATTCTCGTGTATTTCTTTAACTATTGTTGAAATGTATTTTATTTAAATATTTATAATTAAATTAATAAAAATATTTAAATAAAAATGAAGATAAACACGTAAGAGATAATAAACATTTAAAAAAAAAAAGGAAAAACAAAAACAGGCACCCTTAGAAAATCTAAAAGATGATTAAAGTTAATGGATTGAAACATAAGCATGAACCAAACTGGAGGGAACGTCAAATGGGAAAAAAAAAACCAGAACTTTTGTGATTTTTCTTAAATAAAACAGTAATTTAGTTAATCTGTAGCAATATTAATCCGTCCTTTCTCATACATGCTAGTCCCAAAAATTTTGGTTTTTGTGATTCTAAACTTCAAAACTTCAGCTCTTGTCTTCGAATAAATAATAATAATGAAATAAATGTAATTTTATAAACATTTAAGTGTGAGTTTAAACAGGTTATTAATCTCAGTATTATTGTCATTTTATTCATGTGCAGTTGGTGGTTCAATGTGTAGCAAAAAAGAAAACCAAGGTGGGTGAAGAGGTCCTGGATACTTCAATTTAAGCTAAAAATTGATGCTTCAATTTTCTGGAAACAAACAATAAAAAATAATTATATAAAATGATTAAATTTTCAATATTATCATATCATTCTATATATAGTCTTCTGGACACGGATTGATTTGAACTGAATTATAAACCATTATTTAGCAACTGCATTCACTTCTTATTTAGCACAACATTTAAAAGAATCGATGAAAACAATTTATTATTTTTGTAATTCTTTAAAGTTTATTTCAACAAATTATTTAGTAAATTTTTTAATTTATTTTGTGGTCTAATTAATTGTTTAAATCTTTATATAATAAACAGATATTAAAAATATATTTAATTAAATTATATATCTAAATACATCTGTATTTAATATTAAAAAATTAATATAATATGTATTTTAAAAAAATTAAAAATAACTACAAAAATAGTACATGGTGATGGCGTGATGGTCCCAGGTGGCAATAGTGCATCTGCACCAGGGTAGTAAATCTGTCTTGTCATGCTGGCATTACTGTCCATTAAACAGATCAAATAATGTTGGTTAATCTAAACCTAACTGGCAATATATACATAGACAGAACCGGCATACTATGTTTATGTTAACCATGATCATTTTATTTTTTATTCAATTTATGTTCTTCATTTATAAGATCAGAATTACATCTAAGTATCCAAGGAGAAGGATTTGAATCTTGGTTCAACACATCAATTATTCAGCCCTTTTACTTTGTTATGTAATTTTTGTTAGTAGAGTGCACCATCATAACTTATAAAGAGGCATTCTTCAAATTCTAACCCAAGATCAGTGCAAATTCAAGTCCTCCACTACCTATACAATGGCTACTCAAGTAGTGGGTTGGAGGTAATCCAATTAATGATACGGGTCACATGAAAAATGTTGAGAAGAGGTGTTGCTATAATTAGCTCATTAAGATTAATATAAATTAATGATTAATTTTAAAGTAACTAATTATTTATTATTTTCCAGCCCATGATCCAGACATGAGATTATGAGTGCTTAACTAACTACCTAGCAAACAAACAGGCAGGTATGTTTGTCACATCAAACCAATCCATTTGAAAAAAATCAATATTTTTGAAACTTATGTATGTATTAAAGTTTCAGTGTTTGGGGTGTAAACGCTTTATACTTAAAATTTCATGCAATTACTGACCAAATTTAAGGCTATATGGTCTATTGATATGATGGCAGTTTAAAAATAATGCTAAATCAGAGGAAGAAGGGTGAAGGAATAGGTTTGTACTTCATAGGACCACCAGTGTGTGTTGGTTTGAATAGAAGGAATTGAGTTTTTTTTAATGGTATCAAGTATGGAATTTTTTTTTTTAAATCAAAAAATAAAACTAGTCTTTAAAATGTTTTAGTTTTTTTTTATTTCTCTTTATATATATATATATATTGTTAGTTTAAAATATTTTTTTTATTTTAAAAATTATGAATTTAAAATAAAATGAAAATACTATTTTATTTATTAATTTATGTATAATGTATAATTAAATATCATATAAATTTTATTTTTTGTGTTTCATTTTTTATTATAACAGTTTTCATTATGTTATTGTGCACATAAATTTTGATCAAATAAATGTATTTAATTATATAATTTTTAATAGAAAAACTACTATTTTTTATTATATATCAATTACTACAGGTTAAGAAATCATTATTATATTTTTAACTTGTGGACATAAAATTTGAGGAACAATGTTTTTAAAATTATTCATTATTTTTTAGTTTAATGTTAACTTATATTTTATAATTTTTATAATTTATTAAAATTTGTATCAATTGTAATTACTTCATAAATAAGAATATCTTTTAGTTCAATGTTAATTAGATTATCATGTTTTAATAAATTTACAATTTGATATTTTAATTTAAATATAAAAAATATATTTAAGTAAATACAAAAATAAAAAAATTAAATATCAAATATAGATACATATATTTATTTTTATTTTTAATTTAAAACAATAAATAAATAAAACTAAACATGTTTCTATTTTTTAAATAAAAAATTTATCAAATACGTTTTTTTATTTTTCTCATCTTAAAAATAATTTTAAAAACTACACTAACAAGAAATTTTTATTTTTTTAAAAATTATTCTAAAATATAATTTTAAAATTAAAAATAAAAAAAAAAACAAACAATGTTAGTTCTTATAAAAATTTATTTATTTTAATTTTTATACTTAACAAAAACAAATGATTTTAGTCTCTCATTAAAAATTAAAATTCCATTTTTTAAAAACTTTAAGAACAAAAATTAAATAATATTTTTATTAAAACTAAAACTAACAAAATATAATATATTTTAGAAAGTAAAATGTTATCTAAGTTATTTTTTATTTATTCAATTCTTTAAAAATAACTCTTAAAATAACTAAAAAGTGGGTATTTAATATAATCAAATAAAAATATTAATTTTAAGAAAAAAATAATTGAAAATACTTAATATAAACAAATTAAAACTGAAATTTTAAAAGAATTCTCAGCATAAAAGATTTGAAGACAAATTAATAATTTAATAATTAGATAAATAATTTTTTATGTGGGTAAATATTTTTAAAATAATGCAATTTATGTGCAAATTACAATTTATTTTACCAATATATTAAAAAATATATTGTGAGATTTTACAGAAAATAATATATTTAAAAATAATATATTTTAAATATACAATAATAAAATCTCTTGTTAAAGTAAATAAAAAAGACGACATTATATTTAAAAAACTAACAATTCAAATTTATGACATAAAAATTGTTTTAGATTAAATTTTAAAGTTTTATATGCTTGAAACCTTAACACTTGATCACACTGTTGGGATCAATATTTTATTTATGAGTTATTATTAACTTTCAAATGTATATTTAATTCTCAAAAAATAAAAATTTAAATCTATTTTTTATGAAAGTAATTAACTCAAATAAAATAACATCCTATAAGAAAAATACATTAAATCAGGCTAAACACAGTTTGATGAATTCGCTCAGCTAATAATGCGAAAGCTATTAACACGTGTGTGGGTGATAACTGGATGTAACCGAAAATTGTGAGTACCGCAGAGAAAGAGACAGGACCTGACCTGGAAATTGAAATTCAGCTTTTGGATTTCCACTTAGGAAAAAACCATTGTCTCCCAGAACACACTTCTCACTCCTAACTTCGGAAAAAAACCATCAGCAACAGCAAACATCTACTGTTACAGTTTGAATCTTTCGGATCTTGTTGCTTGGGTTCGGATCCTCCATTCCTCAGATCTCTCACCCACGATGCTATTCTGCTTTTGACACCACAGGTATGGATCTCTCGTCAATTGGGACTCATCAAAATTTCATTTTTATTTCTCACTCAGCCTTGTGTTTTTTTTTTTTGTTTTTTTGTTTTTTTTTTAATGTGAAATCTGGTCCTTGAGTAAAGATGGTAGTGTAGTTGTTGCTGTTGATTTGTGTTTCTGCTTCAAAATGGAGCTTTGCACAGCATTGGATGTTTCGAGCATTATTTATGAGGGGATCAAAAAAATTTTATGCTTGAAGGGCTTTTGGAAATTGGAGCACTGTGAAGCAATCTAGTTTTGCTTGTTTTACTATTCTCCTTGACTTGATTTGCTCAGTGCACGCATCCTATTTTGATGATGTTAGTTCATGGCCAAGTAACTGACCTAAGTAAATGCTCCTGAAGCAAGTCAATTTAAACTCTCTTCCCACTTTGGCTTCATGCATTTGGCAACCAAGGGAAGATTAGATGCATCTTTTATCTATACCTTGAATGTTTCACCATATTCATTAATGTTCTTGACTTGGATTTGAAGTGCTCTGTTTATAACCTTTGTTGTATTTTATGTTGGGTTATGTTGTTTACACCATTTTGACTGGTAAGTAACTTATGGCACCAGCTGACAGGTATAATGTTTCTCCATATAGTTCCTATCTTTCTTTCTTCAAGAGGGTAAGCTGCCATCAAATACAAAGGCTGATAAATTCTGTTTTCTAAAACATGATAATCAATGGATAGATAGTAAAGAAAGGTTACGAAGATTTTCTGTATACTTTTCAATACCAATGAATGGTAAAGCTTTTTATGTAAGAATACCAACCTTTTCCTTGCACTTGTGTTAAATTATCTCTAAGTTGCAGTTTGGTTGTTCTATGTGATTTGTAGCTTGGCTTGAATGATGGATCCAAGCAACCTTTTGCCAACTGATGGACTTGAAGTCCACCAAAATGGTGTTCAGGATGAAAGGGAATGTTCTGATTGTGTTGTTCCAAATGTAGACCTTGATGTCACTGAAATTATAGAAACTAAAACTCCGAATGGAAATTTTGAAAATTTCAACAAGTCAGATAGTACTGCAACTGATTACTCATCCAAGGTGGAAGTCAAGGAAGGATCAAATGACAATGTAGACAGCAACAATGTCACCATTACCAAGGTTACAGGATTTTTTCCCTTTGCATTTGTTGATTTAATTTATTAATATTATTCAAATTGATTTTCTCATGTATTTTTTCAATTCTAGGAAGAGCAAGTGGAAATTGTAAACCAAGCAGAGCAAGTGAAAGCACAAAAGGGACCTGTCAAGAATAAGAATGCAAAGATTCAAAGCCCCAGAGGTGTTCATGCAGGTTCATTAAAAAAGAGAACAGATGGAAAAGATGAAAAGACAGCATATCTTGTTTCAAATGGTACTTTCGCAGCAGAATCTCATCCAAGACAACCTGTTAAAAACAAATCATTCAGTGACAAGCAGACTCGATTATCCAAGGTAAACTTTGCTGTTATCCTTGATGGCTTTTGAAATTTAACGTAGGTAGTCAGACATTTAGATAATTGTGTTTCCTTGATTTCTTTTATATTTTTGGTTGAGTAACAAAATTTATAGTTCTGGCATTCCTGATAGCTTTTACATTTCACATTTTCTCTCAGCACCCCGGAAAGTCTAATGCAGCATCTATGGAAGCATCAATGTATGTAATGCTTTGCATTTATGTTTGAATGTTAAATCATATATTAATTGAAGAAAGAATATGGTATAAAGAATCATCATCTTAATTATTTGATTTGTGGACTGTTATTTAATGGATACAGGGAAAACACTAGACCGCAATCATTGAAGAAGGGGCCCCTTGACAGTCTTCAAGGAGAAGCAGAATCTTCTACGTATCCTTTTTTTTTTCTGGTTGAGTGTTGTTTCTTCTTGTGAGTGGAAATGAGGAACTAATGTTGATTTCTTTGAATTTACATTGTAATTTTGTCATTGAGAATAATGTGTATGATCATCCTTGATCCACTTAAAGTCCTACTGCAGAAGATGCGAAAACTCGCAGGATGGGGACACTCCCAAATTATGGATTCAGTTTTAGGTGCAATGAGCGAGCTGAGAGAAGAAAAGAGGTAAATAATTATTACTTGCTTCTGCCTTTTTTTGTTGCATGGGTGTTTCTTTTGAATAAACTCAGTTTTTTGAAAAAATAAAATTGATATTTTGGTTTCCAGTTCTACTCTAAGCTTGAGGAAAAGATTCATGCAAAGGAAGTGGAGGAGAGTAACCTACAAGCAAAAACCAAGGTGATAATGTTTGATATCTAGGCTGAAATTTGACGTGCAGATATTGCCTTCTGATCAGACCAAACTATCATCTTCTTTTTATAGGAGACACAAGAAGCTGAGATTAAGAAGCTTAGAAAAAGTCTTGGATTTAAAGCAACTCCAATGCCAAGCTTCTACCAGGAGCCTCCTCCTGTTAGGATGGAGTTAAAAAAGGTGATTTGTAACTGTGTGTATGCATTTGTGCATACATGCCTCTTTGTCTGATTGCATGCAAGCTCTCTATGTATACTTTGCCTGATTATATTCTGATTTGTTTAATATGTATGTAGTGCATTTTCTGTTTCTATATGGATTCACTCGTGCACAAGTGCACATATGTGCACACATGGACATTTCCACATATTTAATGTTGTTTCAGATAGTCAGAGCATACAACAATCTTCTCTGCTGATTGAAGCTCTTCTCTCTCTGTTTCCACTTCATTCCAACAATTAATGTGTTTGTCTATTTAAGTGTCTTTCATGTTCATAAATACCCTGCTGTTAATAATGATTGATTCATTACATAAAAAAAAATATTCACAAGCATCTATAGCTATTAATTATACTCCTAGATATGGTCTTTCTAGCAATTGATTAGTTATGCAATAAAAAAATTTAAGTTTTCTAGACATTGGAATGAAAGGGGATGTTTATTATGTAGATGTACATTGAGCATGTAATGATGACATGAATAACAAAATTTTTATTTTCTAAAGTTGTTAGACCAACATTAGTTAGGGAGGTGAAATAAAAGGGATAAGCCTGTTATATTCTGCATATGTTCAAAATTCTGCTATATACATTGACAGATTGACTTGTTCCTATATTATGATTTCATTATCAATTGATAAATCTGATAGGCTCTATTTTATAAAATTAGGAACTACCAATTAAAATATTGAATCTATTTTTGTGGTTACATGCTTTAATTGATCTTCATGTCAAACCCTTAGCTTGGTTTATGATTCGGTGACTTAAACATACTTGTGATTGCTAAAAATTTAGGTGGTTTTGTTAATTTTCCAAACTATGCCCACAAGATTTCTAAGTTCTGTCTGACTGGAAAATTTATAATTCTTAATGTGTTCTACATGGATTTTCACTTATCCACCTGTTCGTGCTTGATAAGTGCATCTAATCTGGTTTTATTTTGACAACCTAATTCCTATATCAGTAGATGATTTTGTGAGAGTTCTTATTGTTGATATGAATTTTTTATCCTATTTTGAGTTGGCAAGTTTGATATTTGTCTTTTGGAAATTTAATTTCTTGAGTTTTTGGAATTGTTAATGTAGATGCCAACTACAAGAGCAAAATCTCCTAAGCTTGGCCGTAGGAAGAGTTCAACGTATTCAGAAGAAAACACTGGCAGCAGTGCTCGACAAGGTCGTTTAAGTCTGGATGAGAAAGTGTCACAGACTAACCCCACTAAAGGAATTACTCCTGTTCATCAAAAGAAGCCACAAAGAAGGTCTCTTCCTCCTCGACTGAATTCTGAAAAGATAAATTCATCCAATTCAACAGTTGCACGGACATCATCTAAGTTAGTGAATGATGAGAAAACCCTGTCTAGTGTGAAAACTGAAGTTACCACCTTTTCCGATGCAACAGGAGAAGAGAAAGTTGAAATGGCTGCAGCCATTGAAGAGAACAGTGCCTTATCCAATGAGACAAGCAAAGCTCTGCCTCTAAACACGCAGCCGGGTGAAGCAAATTCTCCTGTGAATGGTGATTTAGTCATTGACAATAAATCACAGCTCACCTTGGTACAAGAACCCATAGCAGCTGAGCATTAAGCAAGCAGCAGGAACAGAACCAAATGTTAACTATTAGAGCAATTGATTTGTCTCAAGAACTGTGATTATTTAACAATGAAGGCTTGCAGATTGCTTTGTGGTTTGTGATGTCATTGTCCAAGCAGCATTGTTTCTTGTGTTTACTCTCAATGCTTGTTGGTTTTGTCCTTGGGATTATCTCTCCCCTCCTTGTAGCAATGTATGTAACTATTTTCCAGATTGTTCTAGTTTATGTTATTTTAGTATGCAACATTTGTCTGTTCAGTTGATATGTTGGCGAAAATTTTGATATAGTTTGCCATCAGTGGTTCAATCACATTTTGTTTTGTTAAACAATTGGCGTTGGCACTTGAAACAAACTGTTTGTGTTGTGGACACCCTTCTGATGAGCCACAGGATATCTTGCCTTGCTTTATGATGCTTCAAATTCTAATACGTACTTTTTCTTTTGTTACTATGTAGGAAGAGTTTACTAGCCAGTGATGATATTATAGCCAATTAGTTCTTCATTTATAGTATTTTGTACATAACGCATAGAGTAAGCTTAATTGCTCAAGTGGTTTAGCTTTTCTATAATTGGGTTTGGCCAAGCGGTTGAGTATGAATTTAACTTGTGCTTAAATAGTTAAGAATTAAGAATTTTCCTTGGATGATATTAATGATAAGTCCCTCATTTTGTTGATCCTATTTCAACTTCCTTCTCGTATTTTGCTTTGTAAATGCTACACATCTCGGGACATGTGTGGGGAGGGAGGTGTTATATGTTGTGAGAGTTAATTAGAGTAGTTGTGATATTAGTTAGATGATTATTTGAAGGTGAGTTATTTCTCACATTTTTCTTATAAAGCAAAGAGTCAGATCAATTGTGACAGTTCTCATTCTATCATTTCTAAATTCCTCGATTCTCTCAATTCTTTCTTCATTTTTTAACATCTTTCATTTCCATTTTCAAAAAAGTTAATTACATTTTATTTTAAAATTTAACCATTCAAGGGGAATGATTACAAAATTAAAGGAAAAAAAATTATATAAAAATATAACATCTAATATTATTTATATACTCTTATCATGATTATGAATTGATTTTATTTTTTAATGAATTTTTGTAAATATTTGTAAGGTGGTGTTGACAAAACCTTTCATACCAAGGATGGGCTATGGCCGAAACCAAATATTTAGGATCATGTCCTAGGATTCATAAATACACCGGAAAATGAAAAACAATTCTTTTGACAAGTCAGATTTAAATTATAAAATATATATAAAGTAAAATTTACTATACCTTCTTTAATTGAAAGAGTTTGATTTAAGGTTTAGGATAATGTATTTAGTGGTTTAGATAAAAAAAAATGTTAATACCTTTTAATCTTTAAAATAATAGAGAAATTACAATTATTAATTTAAAATATATATATAATATTCTTTCAAGTTTACGGGTACTATAATAAACATCTATATATAATTATTAGCATTTTAACAATAAAATTACAAAATTAAGCTAGACATAAAATAAAAATATAATAAATTAAAATGCGATAGTTATTTAAATATTTTTATTATTGAATTTTTTTCACTTGTGTATATTATACAAATAAAAAATTATACATGACAAACATTTATTAAGAATAACATAATTTAATACATTAAGAATATTAAATACTACAATTTGTTTATAAAAAAAGAATAGTACATATAATTTTTTAGCAGGTGGAATATTGTACTGATTAAAAAAAATTGTTTTATTATAACTATAGATGTAGATAAGGATACTATTCCTAGAATATCTAATACTTTTTCCAGGATTCATCCGCATACATGAGAAATGTTACAAAATATAAAGTTGATTATGTATTTTTTCTCAATAACTTAACTTTTTATGTATCAATTATTCTTACATTTGAAGTACGTTAAATATAAAATAAAATTTCAATTCTAAATTTTTTAAGTAAAAAAGTATTTCTCAAATAAAATTATCTTCTATACTACATATATGTGTCTTAAACCAAAATTACTAATTGGAGGTTTTCTCAAAGCGATTTATCTAAGGTTTTAAACCTGCTTAGCCTAATGGCTACGGTATTCATAATTTTGGTGATAACTTGATGTAATCGTAGATTGTGGGCACCGCAGAGAAAGCGACATGACTTGACCTGGAAATTGAAATTCAGCATTTGGATTTGGGAACTCCCAACCTTATACTCTTCCATTCCTTGTCTTTTTTTTTTTCTCTTATTTTTATTTTTAAGAATGATAATAATAAGAAAGGATAAAGCATAAGCAACAGCAAAAATCTACTGCTACAATTTGAATCTTTCGGATCTTGTTGGTTGGGCTCGGATCCTCCATCCCTCAGATCTCTCACCCACCGTGCTTTTCTGATTTTGATACCACAGGTATCGATTTCTCGCAACTGGGAACTCATCAAAATCTCTTTTTTATTTCTCTGCCATGTGTTTCTTTTCTTCTGCTCATGTTAAATCCTGCACTTGAGTAATGATGGTAGTGTAGTTGTTGTTGATTTGAGTTTCTGCCTCAAAATGGAGCTTTGTTCTTCATTGGGATATTTTGTGGCATTATTTATGAGGGGATCAAATTTTTATGCTTGATTGTAGGACTTCGGAAATTGGAGCATTATGAAGCATTCTAGTCTTGCTTGTTTTACTATCCTCCTTGATTCTATTTGCTCAATCACACTCATCTTGTTTTGATGATGTTAGTTCATGGCCAAGTACCTGACCTAAGTAAATGCTCCTGAAGCAAGTCAATTTATTTAGCCCCGCTTACCACTTTTGATTCATGCACTTGGCAACCAATTGGAGATTAGATGCATCTTTTATCTATAACTAGAGTGTTTCACATTATTCATTAATGTCCATGATTTTGATTTGAAATGCTCTGTTTATAATCTTTGTTGTATTTTATGTTGGGTTAAGTTGCTTTAACCATTTTGACTAGTAAGTAACTGATGGCACCACCTGACAGGTATACTGCTTTTCCATATCATTCCTATCTTTCTTTCTTCAAGAGGGTAAGCTACCATCAGATAGAAGGCTGATGGATTCTGTTTTCTGAAACATTATAATTAATCTCTTTTTTGGTTCTTTGGATAGTAAAGAAAGATTATGAGGATTTTCTATATACTTTTCAATACCATTCTGGCTTACAGGGCAAAAGATGAAATTTTCATCTGAATACCAATGAATGGTAAAGCTTTTTATGTAAGAATACAATGTTTTCCTTTCACTGTTGTGTTAAATGATCTCTAAATTGCAGTTCGGTTTTTCTATGTAATTTGTAGCTTGGCTTGCATGATGGATACAAGCAACCTTTTGTCAGCAGATGGACTTGAAGGAGTCAACCAAAATGGTGTTCATGAAGAACTCCTTAATTCTGGAAAGGATGGTATTGTTTTGAATGTAGACCTTGGTGTTACTGAAACTATAGAAACTACAGCATCAAATAGAAATTTTGAAAATTTCAACCAGTCAGATAGTGTTGCAACTGATTACTCATCCAAGGTGGAAGTCAAAGAAGGATCAAATGACAATGTAGATGGCAACAATGTCACCATTTCTAAGGTTATAGGATTTCCCCCTTGCATTGGTTGAATTCATTTATTAATATTATTCAAATTGGTTATCTCATGTATTTTCTCAATTTCAGGAAGAGGAAGTGGAAATCATAAATCAAACAGAGCAAGTGAAAGCACAAAAGGGTCCTGTCAAGAATAAGAATGCAAAGACACTAAGCCCCAGAGGTGTTCATGCAAGTTCAGCCAAAAAGAGCACAGATGGAAAAAATGAAAAGGCAACATCTGTTTTTTCAAATGGTACTTTTGCTTTGGAATCTCATCCAAGACAGCCTGTTAAAAACAAATCATTCAGTGACAAGCAGACTCGATTATCCAAGGTAAACTTTGCTGTTATCTTTGATTGATTTTGAAATTTTGTGTAGGTCGTAGGCAGACATTCAGATAATTGTGTTTCCTTGATGTCTTTTATATTTTTGGTTGAGTAATAAATTATAGTTTTGGCATTCTCTGATAGCTTTTACATTTTACATTTTCTCTCAGCACCCTGGAAAGTCAAATGCAGCATCTTCTGAAGCATCAATGTATGTATTGCTTTGCATTTATGCTCAAATGTTCCATTATATATTAGTTGAAGAAGAATGTGGGATAAGGAATCATCATCTTAATTATGTGATTTATGGACTGTTATTTAATGAATCCAGGGAGAAGACTAGGCCACAATCATTGAAGAAAGGGCCCCTTGATAATCTTCAAGGAGAAGCAGAATCTTCTACGTATCCTTTTTTTTCCTGGTTGAACATTGTTTCTTCTTGTGAATGGAAATGGGGAACTAATGTGGATTTCTTTGTATTTACATTGTAATTTTGTCATTGAGAATAACATGTGTATGATCATCCTTGATCCACTTAAAGTCCTACTGCAGAAGATGCGAAACCTCGCAGGATGGGGACACTCCCAAATTATGGATTCAGTTTTAGGTGTGATGAGCGAGCTGAGAGAAGAAAAGAAGTAAGTAACTATTAATTGCTTCTGCCTTTTTGTGTTGGATGGGTGTTTCTTTTGAATAAGCTCAGATTTTTTTAGAAAAACAATTAATATTGTGGTTTCCAGTTCTACACTAAGCTTGAGGAAAAGATTCATGCCAAGGAAGTGGAGGAGAGTAACATGCAAGCAAAAACTAAGGTCATAATATTTGGTATCTAGGCTGAAATGTAAGTTGCAGATATTGCCTTCTAATCACACCAAACTTTCACCTTCTTTTTATAGGAGACCCAAGAAGCTGAGATTAAGAAGCTTAGAAAAAGTCTTGGATTTAAAGCAACTCCAATGCCAAGCTTCTACCAGGAGCCTCCTCCTGCTAGGACGGAGTTAAAAAAGGTGATTTGTACCTATGTGTATGAGTGTGCATGTACCTGACTTTTTGTTTGATTGCGTGCAAGTCCTCTCTGTGTATTCTACCTAATTATTTTTTTATTTGTTTATTACATATGTAATGCATTTTCTGTTGCTTTATGATTTCATTCTTGCACAAGTGCACAAGGACACTCCCACATATTTAATGTGGTTTCAGATAGTCCAAGAATACAACAATCTTCTATTCTTCTAAATTAACTTTGGGAAGAGCAACTTCTGCTGATTGAAGGTCTCTTCTCTCTGTTTCCACTTCATTCCATCAATTAGTGTTTGTCTATTTAATTGTCATGTTTATTCTTTAAATACTATGCTGTTAAAAATGATTGATCTCCAATCTTGCATAAAAATAAATATTCACAAACATCTGTAGTTATTATTAGTTATGAAATAAAAAAGTTTAAGTGTACTGAACATAAGAATGAAAGGGAATGTTTATTATGTAGATGTCATTGAGCATGTAATTATGACATGGGTAATAAAATTTGTATTTTCTGAGATTGTTGGTCCAACATTAGTTAGGGAGGTGAAATAAAGGATAAACCTGTTATATTCTGCATATGTTCAAAATTCTGCTATATAAATTGACATGTTCATTAATTATTATTTCAGTTCCAATTGATAAATCTGATGGTTTATTTTATAAATTAGGGACTACCAATTAGAATGTTGAATCTATTTTTGTCATTACCCGCTTTAATTGATTTCCATGTCAAATCCTTAGATTGGTTTATGATTTAGTGACTTCCACATATCTCGTGATTGCTAAAATTTAGGTGGTTTTGTTAATTTTCCAAATACCCACAAGATTTGTGTTTTATTTGATTGCAAACAATTTATAATTCCTAATTTGTTCTACATGGCTTTCACTTATCAATGTGTTTGTGCTTGATCAGGTGCATCTATTCTGATTTTATTTAGATTTTGACAACCTTTTTAAACCTAACTCTTATATAAGTAGATGGTTTTGTGGGGACATTCTTATTGTTGACCTTAAACAGTCTTTATGATGTGATGCTAAAAACCTAGTTTTTTTTCACTAGTGAAATGAAATCTTGTTTTGATGCTATTTGAACTTTTCATTGAGCACATTTTTTATCCTTTTCCTTCCTTTCCCTCTCTGTGGCATGTGACTGTTCATTTGCTTTTTAATCCTATTTTGAGTTAGCAAGTTTGATGTTTGTCTTTCGGAAATTTAATTTCTTTAGTTTTTGGGCTTATGTAGATGCCGACTACAAGAGCAAAATCTCCTAAGCTTGGTCGTAGGAAGAGTTCAACGTATTCAGAGTCAGAAGGAAACCCTGGCAGCAGTGCTCGGCAAGGTCGTTTAAGTCTGGATGAGAAAGTATCACACAGTAACCCCAGTAAAGAAATTACTCCTGTTCATCAAAAGAAGCCACAACGAAGGTCTCTTCCTCCTCGACTGAATTCTGAGAAAATCACTTCATCCAATTTAGCAGCTGCACGGGCATCATCGAAGTTAGTGAATGATGAAAAAATCTTGTCTAGTGTGAAAACTGAAGTTACCACCTTTTCCAATGCAACAGGAGGGGAAAAAGTTGAAATGGCTGCAGCCATTGAAGAGAACAATGCCTTATCCAATGAGACAAGTGAAGCTCTGCCTCTGAACATAGAGCCAGGTGAAGCAAAGTCTCCTGTGAATGGTGATTTGGTCAACAAAGAGAAATCACAGCTTGCCTTGGTACAAGAACCCATAGCAGCTGAGCATTAAGCAAGAATCAGGAACAGAACCAAATGTTTAACTATTAGAGCAATTGATTCATCTCGTGAATATTATAGAAGCATAAACTGAGATTTTTTAACAATGAAGGCTTGCAGATTGCTTTGTGGTTTGTGATGTCATTGTTCAAGCAGCATTGTTTCTTGTGTTTACTCCCCAAGCTTGTTGGTTTTGTCCTTGGGATTCTCTCTCCTCCTTTCAGCAATGTATGTAACTATTTTCCTGATTTTTCTAGTTTTTGTTATTTTAGTATGCAACAGTTTGTCTGTTTAGTTAATATGTTGGCGACAATTTTGAGATAGTTTGCCATCAGTGGTTCAATCACATTTTGTTTTGTTAAACAATTGTCGTTACAAAAAAACAACTGTTTTTGTTGTGGACACCCTTCTGATGATGTCTTACAACTTTGCTTGCTATGCATCAAATTCAATCGATTTTCAGCACCCCTTTCTACCCTATAACCAAAATATGCATATGCTCGTCCACATGCTCAGCCAACTAAATAGGTAGTTTTTCTTGTTACAATGTAGCAATAGTTTATTAGCTGATTACTTGAATCTTAGCAGCTATTTTTAATTTTTGTATAATTGTAACATACGTACCATTCTATAAAACCCTAATTACTCTAATTCTCGCAATTTCTCTTCATTTTTTGATTCTATAATGTTTTTTAACTTGGTGTTAGAGCTCTTTCAATTGTTGATGATGATGATTTTACTTATGTTAAGTGGTTAAGTATTAATAATATTAGCACAGATTTTAGCTTCTGCTTAAACAGTTAAGAATTTGTCTTGGATGACATTAATGATGAGTCCTACGATTGGGATTGTTTGGCGCGCATTATATTTTATTGATGCTATTTCAACCTCCGCTCTTTATTTTGCTTTAGAAATGCTATACATCTTCCACTTATGCGGGGGAGGGAGGTGTTACGTGTAGTTACAGCTAATTAGGTGGTTATGATATATTTGTTAGATGAATAGGTGGGGGTGAGTTATTGCTCACATTTTTCATATAAAGCGAAGAGTAAGATAAATTGTAACATACTTTTCATTCTATCATTTCCAAATTCCTTTATTTTCTCAATTCTCTCCTTTTCTTTTTATAGTTTTTAACATCTTTCCTTTCCTTTTTTTAAAGAAGTTAATTAGATTATATTTTAAAATTTTCCCCGAGTAAGAAGAATGATTAATAAATTTGAGGCAAAAGATTTTATATGAAAGTGTAACATTGAATGTTACTTATGTACTCTTATCATAATTTTTTAAAAAAAATTATTATTTTTTAATCAATATTTGTAAGATGGTGTTGACAAAATCTTTCATACAAAGGTTTGTGGTGTTGGCCATTTATGAGTGCAGGATGATGCCACGGTGATGTCCAAAACTAAATATTTAGGATCATGTCCAAGGATTCATAAATGCACTAGAAAAAATTCTTTTAACTAGCCAGATTTAATTTAAATAAATTATGATGTCAACGTTTTAGTAAAACTAGAATAAAACGCTGTGCTTGTGCAATGGGTAAAAGGTAAAATATATTTGCTAGCATTTTAACAGAAAATTACAAAAATAAGCCAGGCAAGAAAGAAAAGCCTAATAATTTTACGTGTGACGCATTTAGATAAGGATACTATTCCTAGAGTACGCAATGTGAGAAATGTTACCCGACTGTAAAATTGTATATACATTTTTACTTAACTTTTTTTTAGCCAGGTATTGATATCAGAAGATTCCTCAAATAAATGCTTTTAGATTTAGTTTAAAATTAGTGTTTGTTAAATATTATCTTAAAATTAAATGTTTGAGAAATTAATAAATAAAAATATATTAAAAATCATAGCATTTAATTAATTAGTGATATTAAATATTTACACTTTCAAATGATAAAAAAATCACTCTTGATTCTTTAAAGCAAATGATTAGCAAATCCCTTTTAATGTCACTGTATCCAGAAAGATTAAATTTGTACCTAACGAGCGAGAGTTTACAATAGAAACTAAAAAATACCTTAAGTCTGCCAGATAATTAATTCATGACAATAAAAGCCTTTTTTAACCAAATAATTGAGAGTTTGATTCTTATTGCCCTACCCTGTTAATTCATCATATTAAAAATGTTAAAATTAAGACGCGTCAAATGGTCAATATTATGTGTAGCTTAATCGGTTTTATTCTTGTAGAGTTTTAATTAATAACACTTGGGGGTTCGAATGGTGCAAGTGGACCTGAACGACAATTGGGTGTTTAAACAATAAAAAAAGTATTTGTCAGAAATGCAGTGCATGCATCTATTTTTCTGCCCATTTGTGGGTTTTATTATCAGAACCAAATCCATCAGAAGGTCCCATTCATGCAACCCAAAAGTAAAATAAATAAATAAAAGGGGAGCTATCATCATTCTTTCTTCTGACATCTATTTTGAGGCCTGAGCTGAGCAAAAGAAAAAGAATCGCATAAAAAGAGAAGTTTTTGATCCATATGATATCCTTCTTCCACCACTACAGATTTGCCACTAAACTGGTCAATGGAATTGTTGAATAAATTATAATAAGTACTTGAATGATCATCAAAGTCTCTTGAGAAATGAGAAATAGTAACAATAGTAATAAACATGGAATTATTTGCAAATAAGCAAGTGGGTCCAAGTTGTGCTTTTTTTTCTTAAGAGTAGCCCCACAGGTCCCATGCTAAGCTACGAATAAAGGGAAGGGTTTGCGGACAAGGCCAATATTTCATTAGTGTTACCACATGTCTTGTTTCCGAGACTGCATCTGCACGTGCAATTATAGACTCTATCAACCTTCTTTCGATACAAAATTCCAACCATTTACAAGACTCTCATCACTAACTCATCTTATCTTATATTCATTTTATCATTTTTAAAATTACAAGTGATATTTTAATTGTCCTAACTCAATTCGGTGCCTTTTTTAAAACTTGTAATTTTTAAAATATATTAGTTTTTGAACTCCTAAGTTAAAAAAAAAAAAACACTTTTGGTTTTTTATACAACCTTTTCTTCTACTTAGAAGAGAAAATTTCTTCGACAGCCTTTTCTTTTTCCTGTTTTTTCCATTTACCAAACTCGGAACAAAAATCTCATGTGAAGAAGTCAACTAGCAAAATTCAATAGCGTTAATTGAAAAAAAAAATCTAGTAAAACCCTTTCTAACATATTCTTTTTCCTATACTTTTTATTATTAGTTAAAAATTTATTAAGAATAATAAAAGTATTAAAAATATTGATTTAAAAATAAATAAAAGAAAAAAAATATAATTTTATAATTTTTAATAAATTTTAACCTATAATAAAATATATTATAAAGAATGTGTTACTAATGTTAATTAAAAAAATTAAAATAAAACTAGCACTCTTCTCGCTGAACTATAGTTTTTCTAACAAACAAAACAACGTAATAAAATAAAATTAACATGCAGAGAATGACCAATTATATAGGCTGCTTTTAAATACGCGTTTATATAATAAATTCTTTTTAAATAATAACTAATGCTATTAATTAAAAATAAATTTTATTTAATTATTTAAATAAAATTTATTTAAATAAATTATACTAAAAAACTTATTAAAATAACCTACAAAAACTTACGAGAGTTAAATTATTTTCAAACTCTTTCAAACAGGTCATAATACATAAAATATATGACAATTAATGTGTTTTGATTCCTATTAAAATGCTAATAAACATGAACATAAAACAGAAGCTACAATTTGCGATGTTAAAATAAGAACACAAGGTGCATATGTAAATTTTAATTAAATTTTTTTTTTTGTTTTATCTTCCTTTTTTCTTCTACAAGCCCTAGTAGACATTCCAGGGACAAAATTTTGGAAAGAAAATACAAATTTTTATTCATTATTTGTCATAAAATAAGATACAGTACAAAGGGCATACATCAGTATCATTACATAATATAGATGTTACAATGACAAAGTTTCAGAAAAAATGACGCCTAAAAACAAGAGCTTGGTAGAAAAAACAACCCATCCCCCCCAAAGGGAAAAGATTGTCACGACAGACCTTTATAACTTGCTGTCATGGCCAAAGCCCCTGAAGACAAAGGCATCATATCACAACTCTGAACTGCCAAAGTAAGCATGATAACACCAGCACATAAACTGGAACAACTTCAACATGCCCCTTGAATAAAACTGAGACCCAAACATCACATACAGAACAGAGTTCAAATACGTGAAAAATTGGGTAAACACCACTTGGACAGACTTTGGTACAAACTGCTGCAAAGAAATAAAGACAAGGAAGAACACACATGGTGGCAAAACCGATACAAAGCACAGCTAAAAACATCAGGTGCCAACACTAGAAAGAAAGATTCCTAACTCCAGAACTCAGTAACTATGTTCACAGAGATAACAGCTGTTTTAAAAGTGGCAACCCGTCAATAGGGATGCCAAAAACTGAGAACAGGTTTCCAATTGAAGGAAACCTGCAAAAATAAAGATTAAACCACTGTATACTCTGGAAAAAGAGAACCGAATTCTAGATGACCAAGACCCATAGTGAATGGACCCAAAAACACTACTACTGCGAAATACTAATTATGAAAGCTGAGGCACTTGCTGCCATAATTTGCTGGGAGATTAAGGCTTCCAGCTCAGGAGAGGATGTCACACATCCAAAGATGTTCCGTAAGCCTGTCAATGGAGCGGCTGCTGATTGCGTTGCAGCGCTTGATATTTAATCCAACAAGGGTATGGCCCAATTTTTTCAATGAGGACATGCTCTTGTCTGAAACCATTGTGCAACCTGACAAAGAAAGTACCTCCAGGTTGAGCTGCTTTCCACGTGCGAGGGCTGCAATCCCAGTATCAGTGATTGTACACTTTGAAAGATCAAGATCACAAAGCAGTGGGCAATTTCCTGCCATGGCCATCAAGCTAGCATCGCTGACTTTTATACAACCATCAAGGTTTAGCACCTCAAGTGTCCATCCATGTGACTTGACCATGGACAAGACTACTGTATCAGTCAGATTTATGCAACCACTTAGATTGACTTTAACCAAACCAGCCTTGGAGCTCTCGAGCAGTGGAAGAAACCCTGCATCTGTAATTCCCTGAAGTCCGCTCAATTCAACATGCTGAAGCTGAGGACATAGCCTTCCAAGTAAAGCAAGGGTAGCATTGCCAAATCCAGGACAGTCACGGATTGTTAGTGACCAAATTGATTCACAAGGAGACACTGCCGGCAATTCCAAATTCAGATCTTTGATTCCATAGCAGCTTATCAGAGTGAGATCCTTCAATTTTGCACCACAGTTTAAAAGGACCCCAAAAAATCCAAATTGGGTAATTCTGTGGCACTCTTCCAAGTGTAGGCTCTCAATTGATGGAGCAACCTTGGTAAATGATACCAACCCATTGTCTGACAGAAATGCACACTTACGAAGCTGGAAGTTCTTCACATTTGGACAACCCTTTCCTATAGCTTCAAGCCCAATATCTGTTGCTCCTTGGCAGCATCCAATTGTGAGTGAAGTTAGTTTCTGGAGTCCACGACCATTACCCATTACCCAGAACCCTTTCTCACTGACATTTGGGAGGCAATTTAGGACAAGATCTGTAACTGCAAACCCATAATGTCCAATCACTGCTAGAGAGAGATCAGAAACAATCAGTGATTCAAGCTTCACCTTTGTTAGAACAAAGGAAGCTGAAGACAAGAGACCGGCAATTCCCTGATCACCAACTCCAAAACAATCCTTGATGGAGATAGACCTTAGATTGGAACACCATTTCCCAATAGCTTGTAGACCTTCATTACCAATGTTTGGACACGACTCTATAGATAACTCAGATAGATTTGGGCACTTTTTTGCAACAGCAATTAAAGCATTATCAGTAATTGCTGGGCACTTGCAAAGGTCAAGCTTCTCTAACTGGTGACAACCATTAGCAATCTCACTCAGGCCTTCATCAGTTATGGTAGCGACATCCCATAGAGAGAGAACCTTTAGTGAGGGGCATCCATGAGCAATTGCCTTGAGACCTACATCAGTCACCCCACGATCTGAACTGCATCCGCGAATCAAAAGTTTCCCCAGTCCTCCTCGAGATGCTGTCCCAACGGAAATGGCAGCAAGTCTAACATCTGTTGCTTTCTTTCCCTCCAAGCTTCGGGAGAGGAATCCTTCATCACCAAATTCCTGATCTTCACCCCCCTTTTCACTAAACTCTTTTTCACTCCCAGCACTATCACTGCTGCAGATTTCATTCTTACAAATACTGCTTAAGAGCATAAGCCAGCGCTTGGATACAGAAGCACATGCGCTCCTATCTTGGCCTGCCGGCAACCTTCTAAGGATTTCGAAGAGGCATTCATCTGGCAAAGATTCAATAGATGTCTTCTGCTTCTGCACAAACCATTCTCCACTGATATCAAGCGGAACACTGAGACGAGTCCTCTTCTGACGCGGAAAGCAAACGTCAACTCGATGGCCAAGAGACAAGAAGAGACTCGCTTCCTTGGGGTTAGGGTAGATAGACCCCCCAGGGCAAAAATCATCACTACCTGAAAAACCAAACATAAGCAAGATCAAAATTTGAGCAATTATGTCACCAAAAAAACTAAAGAAACATGAAAATCCCAAAAGTAAAACCACAGGACTCATCTATTCTATGAGTGAAAGATTTGAACAAGCAATAGCCAGATATGTTTATGAAATCCGACAAATCTAAAGCAGGCTCAGGTAAACTTGGAATAAAATTACTGACCTCACACGTGTACAAAATTAATCAACTACTCAAAGTATAACCTTCATGTAAATGATCTCAAAAACAAGATCCAATTTCCGCTAAAGACCTACTAATAACTACTACAAACAAAATTCTATTTTGGCCAAAATCATTCTAAGTTGAATCAACCCACTATCTCACTCAAGAAAAGATCCTGAATCCGTTCATATGTCTCTTCAGATCCGTCAGGAAAGAAAAAGAACCCATCACTCAAAACCCAAATAGCAACCTCGACCAAAGCAAAAAGAAAAACATAACACAAACAAGAAAACCAGCATATGATCAACGAGACTTCAATTTCATATCTAACGCAACCCCAAAAAAACAGCCAATTATGAAACTAACAGTATCACAAACATAAAGGCTACACCCATGAATCAGACAAAACATGTGATCAAACCAAAATCTTACCGGTAAAGCTGAAGACTTTAGACATGGGCACAGGTCAAAAAACACCAGGAGGTCAAATCTGCGTTGTTCTACACAAAAGAACCCTCGAAATTGAGCCAAAAACACGACGAAGAAGAAGACGATGACGGTAACGGCGAGAAACAACTCTTGGGATGAGCAAAAATGCATGAGAGAGAGAGGAAAGGAAGAAGAAGGTGGAAACCCTATAGGATAGGGCAAAAAAAAGAGATGAGGGAGAAAGTGGTGAAAAGAGAAATGAAGGGTATGAGATTGTCAAAGAAAGGCTTTTATTGCAAGTGGAAACAGGTTGTGGTACACTGAATGGGAACGTTCCCAAGTGCAATGTATCTGTGCTTGCAAAGTGGGGCTTCTTTGTATTATTCTCCCACCAAAAAACAAAATACCAGAAACCACATAGTGCTTTTCCTTTTTCTACGTTGTTTTCATATCTTGTCTTGTAGGGGATGTTTGGGTGCAATGAAAGTTGAAAAGGTTTTGTAATTTACCCAATCGGTATAATTTCTCCATCTCTCTTTTTCAACAACACATTAGTGTATATATAAAGATTAATTTTGTAGCCTGTTCGTAAGATGTTTGACGGGAAAATTACTTTTGTCAAATTTAGAAACTTCCAAAATTGAACATTATTACAATTCTGAATATCGTAATTATTATGTTAATCATCCCAATACTTCCTCTTAAAGTTTCAAATACACTTAATTAACCCCAAAACATGTAGACTCTGAGATTCATGTAATCTAAACTTTAAATTAATAACAAATATTAATTAGTGTCTTAAAATAATTAATTAATTAATTAAAAGTAAAGTATTTTTTTTATTAAAAAGTAGTATTAATGTATATTCTCGTGTAGCTTCGAATTTTAACAAATTTTTTGTTTTTTAATTAATACTCTTGAAATACTGATCAACGAAATCTTAAATTAATTAATGGTATTTTTCTCTATATCTGGAAAAATTGAATGAAAATATATAAGCATAATAATATGCATGTATGAAGCTCGTAATTCATTCATTTACAATTATTTATTTATTTACAATATTTTCCATCAGTGGTTGTCCTTCTTTATTAATATTCAACAATCTTTTTATCACATGATTTATTATTTTTAATGAAATCATTTAAATAATTTTCAGTATCTACGTTAAATATTTCTTAAAACTTAAATTTCTTAAAGTTTTATAAGTTAAAAATATTATCAAAATTCAAAACGAGTTTTATGAATTATATAAATAATAAACGATTGTTTTTCTAAATTAATCTAAAATAAATATGTAGTAAATATTTTTAAGATGAGAAAAAACGAACCTTAAATATGGGAGAGAAATCCCCAAAACTAAAAAAAGGTGCCAGAAGATTGATACATTTGATAAAAAAAAATATATGCAATAATAAATTGTAAAATATTACTATTTAATGAAAAGTATTTTTTTTATTAATTCATTACATATGAATAGGAATTTATGCTCCCAATATTAAACATATGTACTTTAACTATAATAATATCACATAAACATATCATTATACATTGTACTCTGATATCCGCTTAAAAAAAAAATACAATTTATCGTGATATAATCTTACATATTAAATTCTAAACATAAATTTAGTAGAAAAGGAACACAAGCTTTTAAGTATTTTATAAGTAAATAAAATTTTATTAAGTAATTAGAATGATTGTAATGATACAATATATTAGGCTAATTTTAGTTCTTCATATATATATATATATATATATATATATATATAAAATAAATATACGGAAACATTCATTTGGTTTTATAGTTAATACTTTATTAAATATCAGAATTTCCATTATGTTATATGTTTCTTAATTTTATTTATTATTATTTAGATCATGGAAATAGTTTTTCTTAATTTAAAAAATATTAAATATTTCATATACTATTTTTTTGAATAAATACAGTTACTTTGTCTCTTATGTTATTTTTTTTAGTGTCTTGTTAATGAATCTTCAAAACAATATTAATAAGTATTTAATGTAGTTTGCTACATGCTTTTAATTATAATTTAAAAACAAGTTTTAAAAAACTCATTTCAAATAAAACAAATAACATTTTTATTCAATTTATTATACTCTTGTTTTTAAAAGTAGTGTACTGAAAATATTTATTAGTGTTCTTTTATTTTTAAAACAAAATATTAAAATTGAATGTTGAATATTTTTGAAGAAATTAAAATTAAAAAGTACAAGTACCGTAAAATTATTTTGAAAAGGTGGAAACTAAACCCTCGTAATAAAAACATTTGAAAATTCTTATAGAACTAGTTTAAAGTTCTCATGAAGTTACGTCTATTGTCATTGAATTTAATATATTGTACTTACATCTATCGCCGAATGGTTGTTATTCGTTAAGAAATTCAAAAATGGGATTTTTTTAAATTATTAATAAAACATAAGATTAAATTCTTATGATAAATTCCGCCAATATATCTTGATCTTGTGAACAAAACATTGATTTTCTTAAATTTAATGTTTTTTCATTTATTATTATATATATTATAAATAAGAAGTTTGATAACATGAAAGGCTTATTTAAGCACTATATATATATATATATATATATATATATATATATATATATAAACATTTTTAAATTTTTTTGAAACCAACTATATTTTTTTATAATAAGTATCATTTATTTTTTATCAATTTCTTGTAAATTTTTCCAAACAAAGCTATAAATGCATTTAACATTTTGTTTTTAAAGAAATGCTTCGTAAATAAGTTTTATAACTTAAAAACTTGTACCTTTCGATATTTTTTCAGAAAATGAGTTTTGTTAATCCATCAGCTGACTTAAAAGTTACTATAAGTATGTTGACTTTATAAAACTTTATATAAAAATAAAATTCATATATTTCGTCGTATTTTTTTAATACATAACATGCTATTAAAATATAAATAAGTATTAATTGTTATTTAGGTCTTCATAAACATTTAAAATATGTAAAATTTAATTATAAAGATATTATTACATAATTCAGCAATTGAGTTAGTAAATATCAGTTTATATAAAAAATTATTAAATAATATAAATATCAAAATTAGATATCTAGTGTTAAATTTAATTTTTTTAATAATTTTTTTCTCTCTCTTTCTATTTTATTTGTTCTTTTTGAAATTATTTTCTTTAATCTTCCTTCAGTTTTTTAAACAAAGTATTGATATTTTTATGTTAGTTATTTGATTTTAAAAAAATCAATACTTTAAAAGATTTGAATGAACAAGATAGCTATTAAGTAATTAAAAATTTACAATGTTATTTCTTTAAAGACAGTATTTGTCATCTTTTATTCACTCATTAATTAATTAAACATTAACTAAGTAATTTTAAATGGATCGTAAAATTTTAAGTTCATAAAACGTGGTGAAGCAACTATATAAATATTAAACTTGTCTGATAAATGAACTGGGTTTATGTATTTGACAATTGTCTCGTTGGTTGGTTGCATTAGATGTTTTTTCAATCAAGTCTTGTATATATAATGACAAAAAATAAACAGTGAAATTGACTGATCATATAATTTAGAAATTTGTTCTTTAAGAGTATAAAATTTAGAATACGAGCAACCAGTGATATAAAAAAATAGAAATAATCAAAACTTAAACCAAGAAAATTGACTAATTTTCTTTAAGCGGACAAGTGCAAAACTCAAGTCAAGTAAAGCTTATTTCTACTAGACCCAAACTAGTTTAACTTATAATATAATTTAAGGTGGTTAGTTGATTGATTCGACTCCTTTTCCCTTCACATCTAGCATCCTTATCTTTTACGAGGAGGATATAGTCATTTACACATGTAACCTCCTTCCAATACATGAAGATTATAGCATATGTGTTCATAGGTAAACGAGACGTATGTCGACTTTTGAGCTCCATAAAACAGTAGTTACGTGCAAGTACGGTGACAGGAGGGTATATGAGGTGGCTCAAAGCCAAAACCAGAACAATTTAGCTGGACAGCAAAAAAATTACATATATACTACAGTGCTCTGCTTTTCTCAATTAAACATATAATTAAAAACAATTTATATACTATTATAAGAAAAAGTTACAGGATTTGTTTGAAAGCGTGTTAATATAAATCTTTAGAGGAACATGGGGTTGGATATTTTGATCGATCGTTGTTTTTCAGATTCACACTTACACATATTCTTTAATATTTATAGGCTCATTGCTTGGAGGTAAAGACTAAGATGAGCACCAGGCTTTGTTTTGTTTTTTATATGAGTGTTTCACCATCCAACTAATATTGACCCTGACTAAGCCTACCCTTTAATTATAATATCAACATGCAATGTACTTGGATTATTATCAACATAATATAAACAGAGAAAGAGATCTCATTTTCCCTTATTCTTGAAGCTTGTCGTCCACTTGGTTTAATATATAGCGATTACTCGTATGTCATTTCTCTTGTTGGAATTGCAACCTTGGACCTTAAATTGAGGATTCAATATCTTTTTTGTGATGCTGCCAACTCATCCAAATTTTGTATGTGTGTGTACTGTGTACCTGCGCTTTTGACTAGTCCACGGTATCATCACTTGCTTCCTCCTCTGCCTCGCTTTTGTCTCCATGCCTCCATTATAAATATATTCCAATCTCATCTTAAGATAAGAAAAAATGTTATTAAAGTTTAAGTTAACCATTTTTATTGTATTTTTTAGGTTAATATTTATTTAAACACTCGGCTTGGGTTAGTGGGGTGTTTACGCGGATGTTTGTTTATTTGAATAGCGAATAAATACAAATTAGCTCAAGTTTACAAGTTAATTAACGTAAAAGTCATTAACTATGTTTTTAAATATTGTGAATATAAGATTTTACTCTTAATTGTAAAGATATTTTTAACACGAAATTTAAATTTGAATCAATAAATTGTATGTAAAACTTATTTAAAAGTTCGTTGAACTCACCACTTGTAAATTATAACATAACTGTTCATGGAATGGACTCTTGCGTGATAAGTATTTATTTATAATATTTATATAAATACATTATAATTATGTATAATATTCGTATGTTGTGTGAGTTTATTTAAATTAAAAAATAATTCAAGTATATAAATATATCAAAAAATATTATTATTTTGAATATTATTACTTTTAGGTTAAATTAGTAGATTGGTATTCGTTTTGATTTGGTTCTTTATTTTCACTTTAATTGTTTAATTTTAAAAAATATTTTAAATAAGTTTTTTAAAATGATAAATTTGATAAAAAATATTTTTTTTTATCATTCTTTTAATATTTTTTTTTTCATATTCCTCGTCTTAATTTACTTTTTTTTTGTCTAATTTAAATTCCAACAAACACACAACCAATTCTATTAAAATTTTCAACTAGGTCTTTGCAAAAAGACAAGAAGCAAGGCAAGGGATGCATTAAAGATAGCATTAAACTTCTTCTTCTCCTTTCTCTTTCTTCTTCCCAACAATAATGACATCATAGTTAATACTTCATTCAAATGATTATATCAAGGCGAGACTGTGACCAAATATAAAAAAATAAAAAAAAAATCAAAGAAGAAAAATAATATTAAATGATGCATTATACACTAAAGTAAATTTGTGACAGAATCAATAAAATTCGTAAAAATTTAAAAGTGAACTATTCATCTAAGTGATGAAACTTTAACAATGAAAATATATAAAAATATTACAAATAATTGTGTGTATTTAGATAATTGCGTATTACACAAAGATTTATAATTGTTTATACAAAAATTATAGAAGAAAAATAAAAAATTGCAGAGAATTCCTTTCGTCCGCTCCAACAAACAGAAACAACCTATTGCCAACAAAAAAACACAGTTCGGAAACTAAACACCAATAGATGCACGATTTGCAGTCGCAAACAAAACGCTGACAAAGCTACCAAAACACACCAATGGATGTATGAATCGAAAACAAAACGCTAATGTGGCAATCAAGACAACAAATATGAGACGGATGCTGAGAGTGAGAGAGACGAAGCTTATTGGGAGAATGTCTGATTTCTTTTGCTTCTTTAAAGTTCAGTCTTTTAGACTTTTAGTTTAACTTAAGAAAAATTAATAATTAACCCCCGAGTTATCCCACAAAACTGCGTAATAAGTCCATTTTTGTTATGAATTTTTATGCGAGGGAATATCAATTTTTATAATTTTTTATAACTTATGATTTAATAATTATTTTGTTTTAAATTTTATTTAAAGAGATAAAAAATTTTATTATAAATTTATACGTATAAGTATCTCATTTATATTGAAGTGAGCTGATGTAAAATAAAATTAAGATTTTCTTTTTTTCGCTATAACAAGTTTAATAGATTAAAAATTATTATTTTACCATAAAATTTTATTTCTTAACAATTTTTTTTAAAATAAAAACATTAAAATGAAAATTAAAGCTAAAAATCGTACCTGTTGAGGTAAGAAAATACAAGTGTAGGGTGCTCCCAAACTCTAAACGATTAATTTTCAATCCAATAAAATTTTATCCATTATTTTTTATGAAGAAAAGCTGCGAGATTTCGAGTGATAGAGAAATTTGTAGCTGACATAATAGTATAGGGGAGCATTTGGTGCCCACAATAATCCTCATCTTATCCTCCACCTTCATTCTGGAATTGCCCCACAACCTCTCAATTTTGTTTCCTTTTTCTTTCCCTGCTGAAAAGGAACAGCAATTATGTAATATTATGCAATGGTTAACACGCATAAAAGCTATCGTTTATTTGTTATAATAAATAATAATTCCACTATATATATTCTTAAGTTTATATATTTTTTAATGACACATATCACATACAAGTTAAAATAATAAGTTTATCATATATCTCCTCGTTGTTTAGTTTAAAATAATTATTTAATAGTTTTTTAATTTTCAATATAATAACTTAATTCGCTATAAAATTACACGAGTTTAAATTTAATATATTATTAGTATAATTTTTTTTATAACAACATCAACCAATCACATACCACTCAAGATATAACTTTTCAAATAATTATAATACAATCAAGTAAATATTTTTCAATAATAAGAAATTCATAATTAATTAACAGTATAATATCCTATAATACAAACACCAAATAATATCACTTATTTAATAGTAATTTTATAATCTTACGGGATTAAAATACTATTTATTAGTTGGATCGCTCCAGTGTTATGCATCTCATTAGTTGGATACTGAACTTAATTTGCTAGAAATGGAATACACATATTAAGTAAGCAAACTAGATAGTTTTTATTTTCAAAGACTTGATAGTATTTAAGATGTTGAAATCAAGAGACAGAAACATGAAACATTATTACTACATCAGCTGGAGTTCTAGACAAGTTTATTATCTTTACATTAAGACACATGTAAATGAAGAAACATGGGTGTTTTTATTTTGGTCTACAAAGAAGAAAGTGAAACAATGGTTATCTTGATGACTGTGTTAATAGGCATTTAAGTCCAATTTGGAGGCTAAAAGACTATTCAGCAATTCTCACGTTGACACCCCTTTTGGTGCTTTGTTACTTGGTGCCGTTTATTTTGTCTCACGTATCTGTATCTTCTTTGACTCAATGTGCTTCACCGCTTGCTGCTGCCTATGAACCAACATCAGCATCCCTTGTTGCTGTACGTCTGTGACACACAAAATAGACACTTTAAGAAGCGTGCCATTTCATCCTATTTCTCCATGCCATCACATTCACAACGTCATGCCACATTAAGTCACTGTCAGAGCACACAGAAATTATTGGTTCAAAACCGCTATAATACTCTTTTTTAAAGTCAAAAAATGGGTTTTTTGAATTGCTTGAAGAGGGTATCTATTTTCTGAAACTAGCATATCTGAAAATACACCTAAAGGAATCAAATCTCTCGTCTTAATGTGATATTAGACTATCGATAAAGGATTACTAACAGACAGATAAGATTATTATTTTTTATTGCATTTGATTTTGTCACACCAATAGGATGTATATATCTTTGCAAAAGAGAGATTACAAAATATATGATGAATGATATGATAGAAAAAGAAGCGAGAGATAAAAACAATATAAAATGAATGAAGGAAATGCATCATAAAACAATTAATGTCTTCATCAAATTTTTGGTTTCTAAAATTCTATGATTTATTTATTTTTAAATAAATAATTTATATTTATTTTGGTTATAATGGTTTATTGTATTTATTTATTTATTTTTATCTGATCATTCCAAATATTATAAAATTTTCATTTAGTCACTCAATTCAAGGGTGATTAAATTATAAAAAAAATATGATATTTAGAAAGATTGAATAAAAAATTATAATATTTAAAAAATCATAAGATAAACAAATATTATCAGTGAATAAAACATATCACAAAAAATGATTTTAAAAAATTAAAAATGAAAGACTAAATAAAAAACAACTTTAATGTAAAAAACTAAATAAATTAAGTTGTTTTGATTATTCTAATTTAAACACAACACGTGGTGGGGTAAGATAATGCTGCTGCTTGTTAGATATTGAAATAATTAGTATAGGAACATATTTAAAACGTGTTGGGAAATTTAGTGCAAGTGCAACAATGATGCGTGTAAAAATATTTTGCACTGAATAGATGTGTATAACGTGGTGAAAGTGAAACTGTGAGTGAAACTTGCTAATAGGGCCATAGGCCCAATAATATGCTCGTTAATAAGTCCATTCAAATAACGACATAGGATTGCGATAAAAAAAAAAGGAAGAAAAAAACAATACAAATGATGGAAAATTAAAAACGATGATGAATTATGGGACTGGGACTGGCACTGGCAAACCAGACATGTTTGTTAGCATATACAGCATGTGTGTAGCAGGTATGCGTGCAGAGATAATTTTTCTTAACCGAGACGGGAATTGATTTTAGGTAATTTTTAAGATGATTTATAAATTAAAATAATATTTTATGTTATTTTATATGTAGAACAGTTATTGTTATTAATTTTATATTATAATTATTAATTTTAAAAATATATATAATATTCTTTTAAGTTTATAGATACTGTAACAAATATTTTAATTTTATTTATGTGTGTTTTAAGTTTTTTAAAACTCTACTAAAAATATGATTGGACATGTCTGTGAGTGTGACATATCTCCGAATAAGAATTTAAACTGTGATTTGACACTTTGTATTAGACCTAAATCCATTGATATTTATGATTTATTTAGTAACTATATCCTTCAATATTTAGAAAATTAAAATATGAAAGAATTGAAAAGATTTTCTGAAGGGTAAACATCTATTCATACTATTTTTGAACCAAGTGTGGGTTAGTTATTATACTCCATAATTATTTTTGTATTTTTTTTTTCTAACAATGAATAGATTTATATTTATATTATGATATAAATGTAAACATTGGTTATTGAATACGTGAATTAACTTGTAAGAATTATTCTAATTTATCCTAGATACATGTGTTGTAAGACACATGATAAGTATGTAAAACATAGAACATCAAAATATTATAGTCTTTAATTGAGGCTAAGAAACAAATATGTGCTCATATGTTCTTGATTGTAGAATTTTACTTCCATAATCATAAATCCATTTCTCATTTCCTTATGGGTTCTTATAAAATTTTTCAAAGTTTTATAATTTTGTCATATAATTACAAGGTGCCTTCATGACAAAAATTTAAAGCACACAATTCAAAGGGCTGTAATAATTATTGTTTTTAATCGATCATTCCATCTTTTTTACATACTCCATCTTGGCCACCCGTATCGCTAAAAACAGAAAAATTGTGAAAGGGTATTGTTTTCAAGTGCCATAAGGCCCGTTATGAATATTAATTAAATAAACGATTTTTGTGATTTGAATATTACATCGGTCCACATCTTAATTGAGAGTGTTCTTATTAAAAGAGTAATCACAAGTGCCTTTAATTGAGAGTATTCTTATTGCAGTAGTGGATGGATGACACCTTAATTTTTGAGAACAAATATCGGTCCAAGAACATAAACATGTGTCCTTGGCTGTAAGTGTAACACCTTTCTTGTGTCAGTTCTTAAATATCAGCGCCTAGGACAAACCCTTGCACCAACAGAAGCATGAAATTAACATAGTATTCCCTTTGCTGCAGAGGGATTAGTCTATGAATCATCAACTTTAATAGAAAACCAGGTAGAATTACACAATTGGTGTAATATACATGATGTAAAATGGACACATCCAAGAGATTAAATAAAACCAACTAGTTAGAAGATACCCCATGTACAATTATCCAGTGGGGATGTAATTGAATGAACAAATTCTAACCCACCTCCCCTTTCCTGCAAAATCTAAGGAAAATCCAAAGAGAAAGAAAACCATGTTTTGTCTGCTCAGTCATATAGACCCTCTAGCTCCCAAATATCAACAAGAAAGTCAACCATTTCCTGTCAGGTATAATATTATAACCAGTTAGGGGCATGTACTTATTCACTTGTGCATTAGCATCAACAGATAAATGACCAGAATGCAAGATTGGGAATCCTCTCATATGCAGATTTTATATGACAAAGTCGTGTAAGTTTTGTATTTATCTCTCTCTCTTGATAGACATTAAATGTGTTAGGTTCTTTAAAATCTAATAGAGAGATAGGTACAAAATTTGTACATGATGAATCATGTAGAAGAACATGACAGAAATTCCTATGCAAGCAAGAACTTACTCCAAGAGGAATGGGCTGGGGAAAAGGCTTGCTAGACCCCAGTAAACTCTCGTAGGATGCATTCCAACTGTAAAACATAAATTCTAGAATTAGAGTCTGACAAACTTCTTGAAAAGTAACTTTGAATTGAATGCTATAGCTATAGACCAATGCCAACTCTCCCACCTCTCGGTCAATTTCTTTACTATGCTCTTGCACCTGATCATCTGTGCATATTTTACTTGCAGCAGAAGATCTTTAAGGTCAAAACAATAGAATTCTCACTTTTTAATGAAAACCAAGGGAAATAACAAGAGGAAAATTCTGTTTAGTACTTGAAGTTGTGATGTCGGTTGAAGAAGCTTGGTCAATGAGATAGAAGAACAGGCTACAACCCGAAAATGCACAGATCAGGGCACAAATGATCACGGAAAAGTAAGGAATACTATATTTGCCTTTGTAATATGTTCATTTGACAACTCAAAACTTAAGGCTTCCTGCAGAAAGCTTAGATATTTAGTTACCTTATTCTAGGTTCTCCAACTTGTTTCTTATTCTCAAGCCTTCTATTTCCAACCCACTCTTGCCTTGTCTGGTTCCAGAGAAGAAGGCCTGCATACATCAAACCTTTAAGTCATTAAAAGTATAACAACCAGCTGATAGATATGTCAGATATGTCAAAAAATAGAGGAATGAAATAAATATCCTATAAAACTAAAAATAAAATTATATAAACCAATCACAGAAAATCCTGAAAACTAGTTCTTAATTTCAAGTTCCATAAGTAGCAATTACATGTGATTAAACAGATTACATCAAGATGAAATAAATTACAGTTTACAAGAAAAGGTACAAAGAGAAAGGTGTAATATAATAAGACAATAACCTGTAGCAGTGTATCCAATTTGCCCGAAGGAGAAAGAAAAGAGTGAAAGGAAAAACAAAAATGTAAAGTGGCAGCTGCATTGGAGAACCAGCATTAGGAAGTGACAAATTCAAGATATTTATAGGCAGTTGAATTGCAAGGGTCAAAGAATTTAGTTTAAAAATTCCTTAAAATTATTACAATACTTGACATGATTGTTTCCCCAGTAGAGAAATTAGATATAAGTCTGGCATCTTGTTTCCACAGTAGAGAAAATTGCTACGCAGAAGATACAGGATTACAAGCACTGTTTGATAAAGTATGAGACTAACAGATGAGCCAACAAAGATAGTAGTAAATAATCTGGCAAATAACAGAGAACTTGCCATGATTGACAAATTCAGGAGAATCAATCTGAATTCCAGCACTACTTTGAGGATCAGAAGGATGGTTTGATAGGCCAATTGATGAGATGCTTTTCTGAGACTGAAGTGCACTCTGATCTATTTCAAAAGCACTGCTGCTCCAAAAATCATCTGATCTGTAGTCTTTGTCCATTGCTTGGCCTTGAGTTCTTAGTTGCTTAGATGCATCATCAATTGAAATAATTACAGGAGGTTTTGGGAAGCATCCAAGGCAACCTCTGTTCTGTTACAAAGCAGGTTCAACCACAAGCTTGATTAACACAAACTATTAACTATAATTAACCTATCAGATTGGATTAAAAGATGACATCGAAGACAAGAACTGCAGGTACCAATTGAAATTGAACAACTTATCAAGCGTAGTTCACTCCATTTACACTTTTTTATTTTTTATCAGGCCTAAACATTACATATACCTTAAAGGGAAAATAAAACAGACAGAATGTAACAGGCAACTTTGTGGTTATATTCACTCAAGTATTTTGGTATGATATTTTTGTTGGAGGTTGTCTCAGGTCGATTAGCATATTGAACAAATAAGACCTTCCTATAACTCGTGTGTCTTTCACTCTTTCTCCATTGCATGATAAAAGAACAGGTTTCAAATTTTAGTGTTTCCGTTAGACTACAGTCAATGCCTGAAAATGGTAAACCTGCACAATAAGTTCTTAGTACCCAGTTGGAACTTCCAAGTTTTCATTCACTAACTCATTTGATTAAACCAGCAAGATCATTTATGATTTAAATTATGAACTATCTACAATAACTATTTCGTGCAAATATAGATAAACAGAAACATCCTTATCCTCCACATTTTAATGTCAAATAACATGGAAGGCACCTGCTATATATTGGAATAAAAAAAAGTTCACATGGATTTGTTCTCAGGTTTTAGAGTTAAGAGGGCAGGATTACAATAGCTACAAAATAGCACCTTCCCGGGCACAACTCAGTAAAAATAAACAGCAGGATTTCTTCCCAGAGAATCTTCCCAACTGAGTTAATAAACAGCATCTACTATACTTAAATCCTACTGATTCATGGTACAAGCTTCTGAGGAATCCAAGAAAAGAATCGAAAAACAATAAAGTTCCACCAAGTTTGCCAGGTCATCACCAGATCTCACGCTTGCTTAGAAAGCAAGCAATTACAAGCAAATATTCCCAAATATGATTAAAAGAGTATCAAAAGCTAAGAAAAAGACCAAGAAATACCCAGAAAGCCCAGAAGAGGCAAAGCATTATAAAAATATCAAATTTTTAGTTTCCTGAAATTCCATAACTACAAAATCAGCAACACTTCACCACCTAACTAAGGCAACCAGTTCTATGCTTTCCTTTGAGGCAAAGGCAAGTGATCTTAGATCTGACGTATCGCAGTTTCTGAGTTCATTTTCTTCCCTTAAACTTGTTCCCAAACTCACTCAGAAATCTGAGTAAATTAAAATTATAGGTGTGTGCGCGTTAAAGAGATCTCCTTGATGGTTCATGTCAAATTGGGTAGAACCTTACAAGTATATCGATGTGAAAAATTAAATCTTTTTAATGTTCTTGTTTCTGGGACCATACGAAGAAAGAGATAGAACAGAAAACTCACCCCATGCAAGTGAGAATCTGACAGAGCCAAGGGGGAACATATCTACAGATATGCATTTACAGAAAGTTAGGGCAGAGATCTGTTACCAAAATTTCTGAAGCCAGGACTCAGATAATTCAATTGCCTGCATGCAAACTTTTTTTATAATTAAAAAAAAAAGGGAAAGAATCTCTCAGAATTTAATAAAGCAATGAACGAGAATAAAAGCCAGAAAATGTTCCAGGTGTTTGGTACTTTGGTTTCGGTCCTTTCGGATGATAATAATGATGATATTAATAATAACAATAATAATAATAATAATAATCTTACTAACCGGATGCACTAATTAAAAAATTTAAAATAATTTTTTATTAAAAATTATGAAAACAAATATTAATAGCATTTTTAATTTTTAATTGATATTTAAGAATAATAAAATAATTAGCATTTACCTGATTATAAAAACAGGGGACACGGGGGAAAGTTTTTAGTGTCAATGGGCCTCAAAGAAATTTCTGAGTCCCTTCCGAAACGTTAAATTTTCATTTTCCAACAACAGGGTTTGTGCCCTCTTTATTTTCAAATGTTTGGATAAGATCAATGGAATTCTGTGCCCCCTAATTGAAAATAAAGTTGGGCAGGCCAACAACATCCTCTTCTTTTTATTCAAAGGTTTTTTTAACTCCTCCTCAGATTGGTTAAAAAATTAGTAAATAATAATTTTTACTTAAAATATAAAATATATTTTTACATATTTTAAATAATTTTTTAACCAATGTTTTAGCATTTTTCTTTATTTAATAAGGCAATTTATAGTTTACTTTTCGGTTCATCATGAGACATTTTTGGAGCTCCTGCCCAAGACTTATCTCTTGCTGAATTGGGCGATGCCGATGTAGACTTGGTTGTGATGTTACCGGAATTAGACCCGTACATAGTACGAAGGGTGTCTAAAAAAATTTATTGTTAGATTTTTAATTATTCTATTTTTATGAAAAGTTTTAATAAAAATTATTATTAAATATAATACAAGCTTAAATATTTGTCAATATGATTAACAATATTTTAAATTTTTGATTAATTTTTTTTTCTAAATTTTAATTTTTTAAATGATCTTTATTATTAATTTGTGAGATATGTCAATGATCTTAATATATATATATATATATATATATATATATATATATATAAACAACAATTCTTTTGTAAGTTTTTATACTTTTTTATCACCCAATTTACAAATATTTTTTTTCCTGATTATTGTATTTGAGAAATATTAACTGTCCAAAAATCAAAAGATTTCCTTTTTCCTTTTAATAGTCAAATGAGGGGGGGGGGGGGGGTAAGTATAATTTAGTAAAACTTTTTGAATTTAAAGAAAAAAGTGCTCAACCTGAAAACAAGTCTTTACATTTATTATTATATATACATGGCAACAATGATTATTTTTATAACTATATATTGAAATTTCAACACACTTCTCCCAACAAGTAATTACACTGTTTAACATCTAAAACTTGTTTCACAAACTGGGGTAGGCAGTTACTTTGATGAGCACAACACTAGCTAGGTGGTGAGAATTGGAGGAAGATAATCTGATTTGGAACCAAGAATCCGAGCCTTGGTGTCAGGAAAATATTCAAACCCTGGAAGAGTTGCTATTTTTCCATCGTATGTTACTTCTACGGGGTAGCGCAAGAGATGGTGAAAAGTGTCATATTCATCAAAAGCTTCATTAGAGTATTTGTCCCAGTTGATCTGTGCAAGATGATTCACAAGCCTGATGCAGTCCAACCTTTGTGGATTGTCAAAAATGCTTGTATCAGGAAGATCCCCAAGATGCTCATACCATAGTGCACGTCGAAATCCATATATTTGTCCTCTTGGTGGCCCTTCTGATACTATATGACCTGGTTGGAATCCACCCATTGCAATCTCACTGTCCCTTGCTCCATCCATTGATCTTTGGTTTATGTTGGCAGAACCAATGATTATGTATTCATCATCAACTGAAGCAAGTGAAAGTCACCACAACATGTTAGTTAATATCATATCTGATGAAGTCTCAAGACATGACTAGATAAGAGTTTATAAAGACTAATTTTGAAATTGAGTCACACGTTAACCCAAATTAAGTATAATGAAACATGAAAGGACCAAAAAATGTTACACATAAATAAGAGGTCTTGGATTGGAAATCTTACCTATCATCATCTTGGCATGAACATAGATCATGAATCTCCTAGACTGTTGTGCTCTACTATAATCACTATTAGGCTCTGGTGCCTCTGGAGGAGTGTATTCTTTATCTTTCTTTCCCTCACGATTTCCAAGGCAGAAAAAGGTTAAGTAGTCCCTTGGGTTGGCTTCAATTCGCTTTCTTCGAATGGCTTCAGCTATATCAGAATACATCATCTCCATTGTTCTCCTTTGCCAGTCTAATATTGCTTGAACTGAAGCACTTTCAGGAATGCCTTCTGGCCACATTGGTATAACAATATACACACAAAACCTCTCTCCTGCTTCAATCTTGTCAACGATCTTCAGTGACAGTTCCTTTGGTATAAGATGCAAAGCACCAATATCCTCAACTTTAATATCACGTGCTTGCCAACCATATGAACTCCCTAGGAAATACTGATTTTCAATGTAGATAAAGTTCTTTGCACGCCTAATAGCATTTATATAAGCATCCTGAATGCTTCTGTCAATGATGTTATCTTTCCCACTAACAAGGCCAAATTCAGCTGCCTCTTCTGGGTCTTGAGGGAAGCCAAAAGCAGCACCACCATCAATGGATCTGAATAACTGAACATTCCATACTTCATTTTCATCCGACCTTGCCACAGTGGATTGAGGGAGAAGATAATCATCAAGCATGCTTGAAGGGAGTAGGAACTTTTTTCCAACCTGCTTCTCCCACCTTTGCTGAAAATTGAACAAAACATCCCATGCAATGGGTCCTTCTAGCTTGCAGTGAATGTCATGCCATGGCTCTCTTGGACCACCTTTCTTGATGGAAGCGCCTGGGAAGTTTGGCTGATGGAAATCATCATGATGGACTGTGTTCAAAGTTGAAAATAGAGGATGTTCTTGAGTATCATACCTCCCATCACAAAGATCAATGCCACCAAGGAAACTTGTGATTGTTCTCTGCCGTCTCCCCACATCAGCACCACCAAGTTGTCTATCAACAACTATAGTTTTTTGGTGATGAGTGAACATTGCTGAGATTTCAAAACCTTGAACTACGCTTCTTCCATCATCCGGGTTCCGAGGGCACAAAACACAACGCACATTTGTGTTTTTGAAGTATTCTGCAGTTTCTTGATCATGGGTTGCCATCAAACCATCTTTCTTGAAGTCTGGAACAGAAGTTCTGTCATCCCAAACAAGCATAAGAACAGTGACACCTTCATCAGCTTTCTGCTTGAGTAGTTCCCCAAGGGTGATTCTTGTTCTTGACTCATTTGGATCTCTAACCAAGGTTATTTCAGTGTAAACAGACCAGCCAGTTATGTAAATCAAGTGCTTAGCATCCATAATGGCAGCATAAATATCTTCCCAACATTTCCTATGCTCATAATTTCCTCCGGATATAGGGATCCATGGCACGTGACGATCTGAAACATGGGCATCTTGGTACAAAGTAACTTCGCAACCAGTTTTTTGACGGAAGAAGGTGTGAGGAACTCCTTCAAACCATGGAGTCCTTATTCCTCGAGACCAGGTTATGTCATTCTTAGCATCAATATATTGCATACGGACGTGGATTTTGGAGCCACTTGGTATGGGCTTATGGTCCTCATCTAATATATCGACCCATGTATCCACTATGTTGCCTTTCATGGCTTGCTCAACAGGAACATAAGCTCTTCCAATTAGAGTTGCTCCAATTGGGTCATCTTGTTTCACTGTGAATATAATGTTTGAGATGTAATGGGCACAATATATGTGAAAGGTCTCGTACCACTTGGGGTTGGAGGGTCGATTGTTTATCATTCTAGTCCTTCCAACCCTTGCCTTATCTAAATCAACCGTTGCATAGAGACCCATACTGATAATCTGTTAAACAATTTTGCATGTTAAGATTTAGGACTTCGAAGGAAATCTCACATGTAAGCAGAGAAAATGAAGTGTTGCTTAAAATAAAAAAATTTCAAATTGCCTAAGCTAAAGAGAGGTATGTCAAGAATTAAGATACCTCGGGTTGGCATTGGCATTGGCACAACAGAAAACTCTTGAGTTGGGACAGAAATCTCTTCCCCACACTTGTACTTGTACCCTTGTTTACAAAATTTGAAAGCAAAAATGAACGTTAACAAAAACACAGAATAAGAGTTCGAATAAGTTTGTGTTTGGGTGAGCCTACTTGATTATGTAGTTTATTTTGTTTATAATTAAGTTTGAAGTAAGGAGATCTATTCTTAGAAACTTGTTTCTTAAAAGTATATTTGTAGTAAAAATTAGTGTAATTTTTTTAATTCGATGCAAAAACTACAATTTAAGTCGTTAGTTAAAATGGGAGTTTTAAGACAATTTTGATTGAGAGTTTCTAATTAATCATTAATATTTTTATACAAAATTATAAACAAAATTATGTTATGATGGAATAAATGTGATTCTACCTCAACTTAACTTGAATCCAAACATGCACTAAATGTTTCTTTTCTCTAACATAGATAGTAAACTATAGTGCTGTTAAGATTTGATACATACAGAATTAGTTCATATTTCTGATGACAAATTCTTGGGAGAATAATTATAATAACTAATAAAGATCATACAACAATGCACATTATTGCTAAACAAGCTTTCAAGTCCATCCACATAAAATCAAATGGGAAATAAGTTGATGTTAAATTATTATTTGTACTAGCATATATATATTAATGGATTTAATAACTTCTAGATTTACATTAATTTTTTTTGTTGGGAGTTTACATTAATTTGATTGCAGCATATGAACGTCCTTCATATGAAACATACAAGATGCAATTCTAATTCAACGGAGGAGGAAAATAGCTTGGAACTTAGTAATGTTTATTGTTTTTAACGATATTTATTAAGAGTAGAACAAGAGAGGAAGTTTTCTGATTAAGGCACCTTTAAGCAGAGATTGAAATTGCACTCATTTAAAGTTTGTAGCGTATCGACTTCATATATGGTCACATCGAGCCTCCCGTGCAGCAAATGCGGCATTATTTGTGCTGTGAAAAGAAGTGAGTAAAGAGAAAGATATTTAGCTTTCAGTTTCCATAACACAACACGTGCATGTTACATACTTTAAATGGCTAGAATCAATGACACGCAAGAACACATAATAGAAGTTTGTGTAATAAACATGCTTACATGGAAATGAAGGTTAAGGATGAAAAATGTTGACGATGGTACGGTCCTTATATATATACATACCATGAAGACCTTTTAATGTTATACATTTATAGGCACAGTGGAGATGGGTACATAGAAGGAAGATATGATATGATATGATATGATACATATTCTGTCTTAATTCTCAAGCAAGATATTTATTGTTATAAACACAAGTTCGAACAACAAAGATTCTTTTGCAATTTCTCAAGTTGGAATTAGTTCCCACCTTAACATTCAAGGAAGAAGAATTTTACAAGAAAGGCTCAAATTACAATTGGACTACCCATTTATAATTTTATTTCTATTTCACTCAAGTATTTCAAACATGGAAAAAGTAACAATAGAACATAAAAGTGGCCCCTTTTATATTCATCTGATTTTTTTTTCTTTTTTGGGAAAGGAATGGGGGGTCCATTATATTTTTCCGATTAAGGTAAGAATTTTGTGATGCGTTCAGTGGATTGAAAGGCATCTAGTCACTGAAAGAATGGGGAACATGTCTCAAAGCAATTCTTGTTTAAAAATTTTGAAGGGTGATTTCTTTTTTGATGTAAGAATTTTAAAAATTTAATATTTGTGTCTAATATAAACACATCATTTTTTTTAAATCATAGTAATTAAATTTTTTTAATCGGTAAATAATTAATTTATAAATGCCTTTAGATATTATGTAACGAATAATTTTTATCTATACGCACTGAAAAAAGAGAGATGAAAATAGCATAGACAAAACTTGATGTTCAACTTTTATAATCAATTATTAAATACTTTGATAAATAATTAATAGTTTAAATAAAACATTTTTGTAAAAAACAAAACATTTTAAAATTTACTATCATCGTTGTCCGAAGAAGCACTTCACGGCAATATGCAGCGCGATCCGGCAAGAACACAGAAATTAAATCTCAGATCATTGGTGATTGTTTAGCTTCACAGTCATTTCCATTACAACCATTCACTAATTCTCTTACCAGGCAAAGCAATTTACATGCAATGTTTTGGCTAAGGCTGCGAAACAATTTAATTCAGTGTTTTTTTTTTTAAATTAGAGTTTCCGTATGCTATAAATTTAACTATAAATTTTTAGAATAAAGTGTAAAAAAACTTATTATAATAAATTATACTAAAAAATTTAATAATAACAATAAATTATTTGTGGAAACCATTCATTAAGATTAAATTCAAGTGAACTTACAGATAAGTTCTTAGAAGAGAAAAAATTAATATGAAAAATGAACAAAATACTTCTTATTAGTTAAAAGAAACTCATCTCTTCAAAATTTTAGAAAAGTTAATCAATTTTTTTTTTAAAAAAAAGTATAAGTTGATTTAATTTATAAAAAAAATAATTTATTTTACTACATATTTAACTCTTCTAAGCACGTATTGAAAAATTTCTCTAGACTGAGGCTAATTCTAAATGAATTTCTCTTGCCATCTCAAAATAAAATCTATAGTTTTAAATTTATTTTTATCAAATTCTAAATGATTTTGCTAATGTGTGTTTAGTTAGTAACACATAATAAAAAATTTATATTTAGTATTTTTTATTAAAAATAAACAATATTATAAAATTTAAGGAATGGATAATATTAAATATTAAAAAATTTAATAAAAAATTGTTATTTATTAATTTTTGCCTGTATACCCGTTAAAAAAAATCAAATTTTTAAAGAAAAAAAAATATTTTGCTTACTTTAGTTGATTTTCATGTGACTTTGCCGAAGCACACTTGTTTCAATTCTATCACCTTCACGTAATGTTTTCAACTTTTGCCAACTGAGTTATTAGAAAAGAACAATTTTATTGAAAAGACATCATTATTGTTTTTTTAATGAGATTTATGTAAAATTCATCCATCACAAAACGTACTAAAACGAATGGATATCGTTACTGATATTTTTATATGCTAGAACATGTCCTCTGTTATTACAACGATGTGACTTAGGTTTAGACATCATTACAAAACAATAACTTTTTTAAAAAAATTTACGGATTAAAATAATAAAAAATTAAAAAACATATTCATAGCATATGTAATAATATGCAAACCAAAACATACTTTATAGCCTTCAAATATAAAACTGCTTTTTATGCCTCTTCTATGAATATATTATCAATACTCCTGTGGTACATATTCCTTCCCTTAAAATAATAACAACTATTTTTGTATGGTTATTCTTATTTTTTAAAATTAAAATTAGAAAGAAGTATAAAATAAGAAAAAAATAATTACAAGAGAGTAAGTAATGCAGCAGTACCAAAAATTTACTACTCTTCCGTACATCCACCGACTAATCCTGTGCTTCTATCACTCCTACTACCAGAGGCATATCATCATCTTTTTTCTGCTAAGTTATTGGGTAACATTCTCAAGCACAGCACCTATTATCACACTCAAGATCTGCTTATACCAAAAAAATTTAATTCCAAGAGCTTTGACATTTAATTATATGCCATAGTCTCAATAATAGCTTCACTACTATTTAAAAATTGTATGAATGCAGAACACAATGCATAAGTGAGGAAACATGTTTGTAGATTCCACCCTTAACTTTACATCTCCTAATTGGAGGAAATCACATTTTCCACGCTTTTCTCGGTAGTTTTTTTCCTCCCATTTTCAATGGTTTCAAACAGAGGGTGTGAGAGAGGCAACATAATGCTGAATCAATGAGTCCACTTGGGAACAGACAAGGGCCAAGCTCAAAATTTCATATCCACATATATAAGGTTAGTAACTAATGAACTCTCATGGGCATTGCTCAAACATAAGGTTCACATCCAGGTAGTATTGAAAGCACTCCTCATGAAAACAAATATAAATTGATTAAGTTTAGAAAGGTCAAGAAACAGAATTCAATCACAATCACCATCACATATATTGAATCAACCACATGCACAACAGGACTGGTAGAAAATACAGGCCATATATCAAATGCAACTAATTAGAGTCTGAAGGCAATTCCTGGCACGGGATCAAGCCTAGTTACAGACCAAAGCAGTTTAGGTGAACTGAACAGTGAATACCAATCGAAGACCTCCATATGGGATATTATACACAAGTTCACTGTGATATTTGAGAATGGCAGAGTGGCCTTGAAGCCAACGGCAAATTCAATTGAGTTGAGTTATAACCTTTCAGACAGATACTTTGCCAGTGAATCCACTGGCTTGGTTGAATCAAAATTTCCAACTGTTCGATGCTTTATCTTCGTGCGAGCTAGGTAATCAACTGCAATCCAAGGAAAACTCAACATCACCACACTTCCGAAACTATCTGGCTCTTGGTTCCCTGGGGACTTATCTTGCAGATCAAGGGATTTTTTCACCCATATAGGATGATATGTAACCTGATACCAGGCTGAAGCTTTCTGCTCATACAGTAAGTTTTTATCTTCCTCACTTAATTCTGCACCATCTGAATTCAATTTCTCAAAAGTTTGCCTAAATTCCTTTTTCAGGGCACTGTATGAATGTTTCAACCTCTCCTTAAGTTCCCCTTGCTTCCTACTGTTGTATTTTGGCATGGACCAGATCTGTCCAGTGACAACTTCTTCTTCTCTTTTTACTTTGTATTGACCAAGTAGTGCACTCAACTGGGCATCGTATGAGCACTTTTGTTCCCACGCATCATCAATAAAATCACCAGATCCAGGAACCTCAAGATCTTTGTCGTATGGTATATCACCTGTCACATAATTCAAATCAGCAGAATCAATATCGTTATCATAAGCATCTCTGATACGCCGGTAAAGTCTACCCAGGATTTTATTGGACTTGTAAGACTGGTGCTGCTCTTTCCCCATGAAATCAGGATACAGTTTTGGTTTCAGCTGAGGAGGCATGGAGACAACCTTCCCGGTCTTTGGAAAATCAACAGCAGTGGCTGCTAGCTCAGCCAAGCATATACATTTCTCATCCAAGGCACCGTAGTCACTGCAATCAGCATGTACCACATGTGCATTGCAGATTGCACCCAAATGCTCATTTACCATGTTTTTGGCAAAAAAATCTATGATGTCCTGCAGTGTGGAAGACAACTTTAAATTGCTGACTCATTTTCACAATACATAGTCAACATGAAAAATAACACCATATGTACAACACAAGTTAAAGAATGTGCAGAGCACGTAAAGGTGCAAGAAAGCAACACACTAGCAACATATACCTCAAACTCTATGACTGTATGTGTAGAATTAGTTCCAGCATACTCAAAATTTTATGTTTGAGATCAGAAGAAATATTTCCCCAGTATGAAATTTTATGACTTCCAGCAAGTCCTTGTAGTGCATATATCATCTGAATTACTAATCAAAGGCATGATGCTATGAATGAAAAACAACAATCTCATTGTAATATTACCCATGCATAGCCCACAGCTAGTTAACTATGGAACTTCATAGAATAACATTCAAAAATCACATACTCGGGTAGTGACTTGACGTGTCTGAAGCTTGCTTTCTTGAGCAGCATAAGCCATAGGTATCCAGCTCCTCTTACTTGGTGGAATAAGATTTTCATCCCACGTGACAAAATATAGATCCCCGTCAAGGTCACTTCCAGAAGCTTCATTTGTATGGGGTCTGTCACCCTTTTGAGGGAAAACAAGACAATCGTATAAATGATGCAAACCAGGGGCATCAACTGCCTCCAAAACTCTTACGTCTCCAGGATGAAGACAAGGATTTTTGGCTATAACCACCAAACCTTTAACTACTTGCAGGCTCTTTGTTTCTGAAAATCTTGAGCCATGCTTTGAGAAACAATTTTCAATAGAAGGAGTAGACACTTGAACAAAGCACTGCCCTTGTTCAAGCTCACCCAACTCATCTAAGACACCCATCAACCATCGCCCAGATGATACAAAAATCCTGGACTTTTCTCTAAGTCCCCAAAGCTGTGCAGCACGTACAGAAGTTAACATACCTCTGAGATGAGGTTCAGTTTGGGGACTGAAGCCACAACTTAACATTATTGCTGCAGCATTTCCATGCTCAGCACATGATTTGGTGAGAACATCAAAAGCGATATCTGCATCCAGAAGCATTTGATTTAACCTCAAAAGCATAGCCTCCTGCATTTTCCAAAATATTTCATCAGGTACACTCAGTGCTGAAAGCAATGTTATGATCTGCCTGTTAAGAAAACCAGGCTGAAACCTAGTCCAAGCACAAATCTCTAAGATAGTATGAGTAGATTGAAACTTGTCCATACTAGGCCTCAAAGAAAGTCTGATCCCATCCCCTTTAGCAGGCCAAGAGGCTACAACCCCTTTAAAACCAGCATATCTGATCTGGTAAGCAGAGGGTACACTGTCCAATTTCAATTTTTCTGCAACTTCACTGGCAAGATCAGGAGTGATGATACCAATGCCATCAGAGAAAACATAATTATTCCTCTCAACATCAGGCAGCATGGAGTTAACTTCATTTGCGACAACTTCAACCGTTGCATAAGTAGATGAGAAGCATTGTCCCATCCTGGCAGCACATTTTGCTATATTTCTTTGATTAAATCTGCCCATCCAATTTCGTATTTTAACGCAACTTATGTTTTTGTCTTCAGCAAAAAACCAAGCAGAACGATCTCGAAGTTGATTGGATGAAAAGGCCAAAAACGAATACTTTCGGCCACAAAAGTGAAATCCTTCTTCCAGGATGGTCTTGATCCTTTTATATATTCTTGTCTTTTGTGGAAAAGAGTTTGACGTGATCTCCTTCACTATTGGAGCAACATAATAATTAAGAGCATTCACATTAATTGTTTGCATGCCCTCATCCATAAAGGCTACTCTCAAGAAACGATCTGAAACATCTCTGAATCTTCTGAGAACCCTGTTGGACAATTCAACTTCTGGTGGTACACAATAGGCTTTTGTTGGAGTAATAACCAATCTTCTAACCTCAACAATGTCATCTAACTGTTTAGAACCCTGATAAAGTTTAGGATTTCTGAGCAACCAATCTTGGACTGTTTTTAGCCTCTTGGTTGCATCAAACACTGGACGTTTGTAAGAACATAAATGCTTCAGGGCAGCCACATTAAGCTCCATAGGTTGATTTCTCAGCAATTCAAAAAACCTATCTGACAACCTGTGCTGATTGAATATGCCTTTGTGTATGATGGCATTGACCAAGAACAGTATATCAAAGGCAATGCCCTTCTGAAAATTTATATAGAAGAAGGCATCTGACATGGACACCCCAAAATCAGGTTCATCCAGTATCCTAAGTGGTCGTCGAAGAGGAATTTCTTGCACTTGCACTCTTTGTCCTTTCAGATAAAGCATAGCCTTCATCAATTTTGCACCATAGCGAGGAGGGATTGAAATTCTATAAAAATTGCATCGACCAATTGCCCCACTAGGTGTAAAATCAGTGGTCCTAATCCAAGGATCATCATCATCCAGCAAATCAAATGGGACTAATTCTTCAATATCATCATCGGCAGTTCTGTACCAAACCCAAGGTGATGAAGCTAGGTGTAATAAAACAACGAGATATGATGTGTCATTATATCTCCTGATCTCATTAATGTCTCTAACCAAGAATCCCACCTGAAAATCACACTTTATCACAGCTTTTTTTTCTATTCCTTTGAATGAAAATGCAGTATCTCTATTGAAACAAATCTTGCACTGGCCATCAAAAGGATCCACTAGAAATTTTACGCCTTTATCAGGTCCTCTCCAAGCAACAAAAAACTCCTCTGGGCCAACCAAAGTCCCAATTTCAACAAGTACATCAGACATTTTAAAAGGAATTGTAGTTCTCCTCCTTTGGTTCAGGAAGAATGGATTTTCAGGCCCGCGGCTGACCTTTAATGGTTGATTTTTCAAAAATAGATCACAACAACCTGAAGCATTCAGGGCCGTAGTTACAGATCCTGGTGATGCAAAATGAACAAAGGCGTGAGGCTCAACCTTCTGATAGACATCTGTTTTTTTAATCTGTGCAGTATCAATGATATTAAATTCTGGATAAGACTCTGGAGGGGTCCAAGAAGTTTTCAACCGACATCTGTACACAAGTCCAATTTTATCTTCCAAGTACGTCACAAGATCACTTGCTGTGACCTCACTGTCAAATCCACCAATGCTAACCTGAGTAACCACTGAATCCTTTTCACTTCCTTCCAAGTCCATGTTCTCAGTTGTCTGTAAATTCTAAACAACACAAATTTCCAAATTTGATTAACCTCTGAAACAGCCACCATAAATCAATACTTGAGAACAAAAAAGGGGTGGGGGAACATTAGCCCATAAAACATTCATGTAATAAAGATTCAGAAATGGGGAATTTAGAAGCAAGAACAGAAGGGTATACCTCACAGTATCATCAACTCTAAAACACAAATACATTAACTTCGGGTACATAATCATTAATCACAAGTGACAAATAATATAACAACATACAAAATCTACAAATAGTTCAATGCCAACACTAAAATAGGAAAAATAAGTAAGACCCACAATTCAAAACACAATCAAGCACCAAATAAGACCCCATTTCCCAGCAAAAAAGAAGAAGAAGAAGAAGAAGCACAACCCATTACAAATAACAAGCGCAAAAACTTAACCACTAACCAAACTAAACGCAAGAGACAATCTTGATAATAATAATATAAAAAAAAGGGAAAGTAGGCAGATGAGGAAGAAAAGAGAAAATGATGTACCTCCTTGGAAGTAAGAGAATGAGAAGAGAATGCGATTGTATAGTGGAAGAAAAAGATTAAAGGTGTTGACTGGTCAAGTCTAGTTTGATTCAGTTTTTGGTGCCTTCGCCACGAAGTTTACATTTACATTATAAACAACAAAGCTAGTGTGAGTCACTCACCTCAGTGTGTCTTTCTCGCTTTTTCCCGCTTTGCTTTTGCTTTTCCATTCACCCATCCGTAATCAGGGTCCATTATAATTTGTTAGGGCTTAGTTTTTAAAATAGTTGAATACTACTAATATTACGATCACTATATTATTTTAATTAATTAAATTATGTTTTAAATTGTTTTTTTATAGTTTATATTGTTGAATAAATAACTTGGCGTTTCTATTTCAGTAAATGGAAGAAGAAAATAAATATAAAAAAAACTACATCAAAATTGTGTGTTTGAGGTTTTTTATAGTATATCTAACCATACACCCATTTTTATGAGTGCCTGAAGTGATAAAAAGTTTACACAAAGAAAAATACCAGCTTTTAAACGAAATTATTACAATTTTGATAATTATTAGATAAACTTTAACACATTTTATATCTAGTCAAGATAAAAATAAGATTTTAGATGCAAATTAGAAAATTTAAGGATAAATTTTTGGATAATTCGAAATTATATGATTTCACCACTCACATTTTGTCTAATTTAAATATTTATATATTGCATTTTCATTAGGTGGAATCATATGATTCTGGAGCATGCAATAATTTCTCGAGGTTTAAGAGGTGGATTTGGACGTGATGCATCGATTACAAAATTATAACATTAGGGTCTATTCACTTGAGTGTAATTTATGATTTGGGCATCATGGGAATGTTGATGAAACCTAAGCACCGTGTAGTAGTAGGTTGGTCCAAAAGAATAATATATTCTAATAAGGCGGCAAGTAAAGGAGCAGAATAGAATTATACTGTTACCACTAGCACAAAACCGGTGAAACCTATGCAAATTGCGTGTAGAACATTAAGGATATTCCAATATCAACATTAATATTCTAATTCCCCGGAACCCAAACACTAGCATTTCTCTCCCTTTATCTAGTTTTAATCCAATCCACTCAACTCCACTAACACCCTTGTGCAAAAGTGAGGAATAGATCATTAGAGTTGCCATGAAGTTTTGGAAGATCCTGAAGAGCCAGATTGAGCAGACCCTCCCTGAGTGGCGTGACCAATTCTTGTCCTACAAAAACTTGAAGAAACAATTGAAGGTTATGTGTCCCAAAGATGCTCTCACTCCACCCCGTTTGGATGCTGATGAAATCAACCACTTCCTTCACCTCTTGGAGCTTGAGATTGATAAGTTCAATGCTTTCTTTGTTGACAAGGAGGAAGAATATATCATTAAATGGAAGGTAACTATGTTTCATTATTTATTTCCTTTTTTTTTTTGTTTTTTGCTCCTGTGAAATTGAGACCTGTGGTTTGTACTTGTGTTGTAGGAGTTGCAAGACAGAGTTGCCAAAGTCATGGATTCAAATGTGGAGTTGATGTCACTAGGGAGGGAAATAGTGGATTTTCATGGGGAGATGGTTTTGTTAGAGAACTATAGTGCACTCAACTACACAGGCATGTTCTCAAGCTCATGCATGAAATCAACTACTGACTCGTGTGTTTTGTTTATTTATGTTAAAGATAAATTTATTGGATTAGGAAGGTGCTTCATGCAACATTTTTTTTTTTTTGCAGTCTTATAATAATTTTAGCCTGTTTTGCTTAGCTTAAATTAAGAGAAATGTTGATTTATTTTCAAAAGTTCTGTAAGTTGAAAGAAATAAACGACTAGTTGTCTAATGTAAGCTGAACTAAATATGCACTTTTTGACTGTTTTTACTTTTCCGTCTTCTCTTATTTTTAATCTCAGAAAGAATTTTAAAATGAAAAGAAAACATATATTTATCAAGTATCATAATTTTAATGAAAGCAGCACAAATTTCAGGAGGATTGAATATTTATCTTGTTTGATGATGAGTGTTTGTGTAGGTCTAGTGAAGATAATAAAGAAATATGACATTTCATTGACTGTTAAAACAGGAATGTCGCAATGATAATTAGAATATAAAAAATTATTTTGCGTAAAATTTTTGGAAATACCTAAAGCTAAAGCTGTTAATTTCGTTTTTTTAGGTATTTTCAAGACACATACTTATAAAAAATATTTAGGATATCAATTTTTTATTATTTAAATAATAAAATTGATAGATAAGGTTTTTAAATTGATACATTCAATCTCTCTCCACCCTGCTCCCAACAAGCAATTACATAAACATTTTTTTGTCATGGTAAGCACAATAATACTGACTAGGTGGTGAGAATTGGAGGTAAGATATTTGATTTGCAGCCCAAAATCCGAGCCTTGGTGTCAGGAAAATATTCAAGGCCTTGAAGGGTTGTTATGGCTCCTTCGTTGGTTACTTCTATGGGGTATCTCATTAGGTGGTGAAATGGTCTATATTCATCAAATTCTTCTTTTGAGTACATGTCCAAGTTGATATGAGCAAGTGCATTCACAAGACCAATGCAGTCCAAACTTTCTGGATTGTCAAAGATGTTTGTGTTAGTATTATCACTCCCAAGGTGCTCATACCATAGTGCACGTCGAAATCTATGTATCTCTCCTCTTGGTGGCCCATATGATGTTAGATGATGTGGTTGGAATGCACCCATTGCAATCTCAGTGTCTCTTGCTCCCTCCATTGACCTCTGATTTATGTTGGCAGATCCAATGATTATGTATTCATCATCAACTGAGGGAAGTAAATGTCACATATTTAATAATTTGTTAAGTAATGACCAAACATGCATGCAAAGAAAAACATGATCAAACATATAGAGATAGAGAGATATTAAAATGTTACATAAAATGTAGCTAATAATAAATAAGGGGTCTTTGATCCCATACCTATCATCATCTTGGAATGAACATAGATCATGAACCTTCTAGCATTTTGTGCTCTTCTGTAGTCACTATCCTGCTCTGGTTCCTCTGGAGGAGGATATTCTCCTGTATCTTTGTGCTCCCTCTTGCCAAGGCAAAAAAATGTCAAATAATCTCGAGGGTGTGCTTCAATTCCCTTTTTCGTTATGGCTTCAGCAATGTCAGAATACATCATCTCCATTGTTCTCCTTTGCCAATCTAATATTGCTTGAACTGAATCACTTTCTGGTTCTCCTTCAGGCCACATTGGGATCACTACATACACAGCAAACCTTTCTCCTGCTTCTATCTTACTAATAATCTTCAATGACAACTCCTTTGGTATAAGATTCAATGCACCAATGTCCTCAACTATAATATCATTATCAGTTGCTTTCCAACCATATGAACTCCCTATAAAATACTGATTTTCAATGTAGATGAAATTTCTTGCTCTTCTAATAGCATTTATGTAAGCATCCTGAATGCTCCTATCAACGATGTTATCTTTCCCACTAACAAGGCCTAATTCAACAACATCATCTGGCGCTTGAGGAAAGCCAGTAACAGCACCACCATCAATGGATCTAAACAACTGAACAGTCCAAGTTTCTTCAGATTTCGTTGCTTCAGATGGATGGACTAGAATTTCATCAATCTCATCAAGTGAGAAAAGAAATTTCTTTCCAACTTGCTTCTCCCATCTTTGCTCAAAATTGTACAAGACATCCCAAGCAATAGGTCCTTCTAGCCTACAGTGAATGTCATGCCATGGCTCTCTTGGACCACCTTTTCTGATGGAAGCATTTGGGAAATTTGGCTGGTGAAAATCATTACTATGAACTGTATTTAAGGTTGAAAATAGAGGGTGTTCTCTAGTATCATATCTCCCATCACACAGATCAATCCCACCTATGAAACTTTTGACGCTTCGTTTCTCTGATCCTATAACAGGCGCATCAACTACTACACTCTTTTGGTGATGAGTAAACATGGTTGAGATTTGAAAACCTTGAATTATGCTTCTTCCAAAATCCGGGTTTCGTGGGCACAAAACACAATGCACACGTGTGTTTCTGAAGTAATTTGCAGTTTCCTCATCATGGGTTCCCATCAACCCAGCTAGCTTGAAATTAGCATCAGATGTTCTATCATCCCAAACAAGCATAAGAACATTAACACCATCTTCAGCTTTCTTCTTTAGCAACTCCCCAAGGGTATCATTTAATTTGTCATCGTCCCTAACTAAGCTTATTTCAGTGTAAATAGACCAACCAGCTATGTAAATAAAGTGCTTAGCATCATTAATAGCAATGTAAATGTCCTCCCAACATCTTGCAGGTATATAATCTATTTCTCTAGATATTGGAATCCATGGGACAGGTCCACGAGGAACATGAGCATCTTGGTATAAAGTAACACTACAACCTTCTCTTTGGTTGAAAAATGTACGAGGAACTCCATAAAATGGCATGCTTATGCCCTTAGACCATAGACATGTTTTATCCTCGGTAACACTGTTGAAATGTATGGTGACACGAATTTTAGAATGACCTGGCACAGCACGGTGATCTTCATCATCTAATATTTCAACCCACCTATTAACTATAGGGCCCTTAATAACTTGTTCAACAGGGACAAAAGCTCTTCCAATTAGAGTTGCCCCAATTGGGTTACCATCTTTCACAGTGAATATAATGTATGAGATGTGATGGGCACAATAGATTTCAAAGGTCTCATTCCACTTTGGGTTTGAGGGCTGATTTCCAATCATTCTGGTTCTTCCAACCCTTGCCTTATCTAAATCAACCGTTGCATACAGTCTTGTTCCAACAATCTTCATCATGTGTTTACGTGTTAGGATTTAGAAGAAACAATTTCACATTTACATAAATAGAAAATGAAACATGTTCCCTATAACAGTAAAGGAAGTAAAGTAGCCAATTATAAAGGAAAATGTTTTATTGATATCTAAAATTGACACCTAAAGTTTCTCTTTGATCTAGAAGTGTATTTTTTTAGATACACGTGTAAACAAAACAAAGCATAAGAGAAAAATAAAAATTTTGTATACCGTATCACATAGTGTGTTAATTTTACAAAGTTAAAATAATAGAACACAAATAGAAAGAAAAAATAAAATAAAAAAGTCAGTTATTGGTTAACATACCTCAGGCCGACACAACAGACAACCTTTGACTTGGGCTAGAAATCTCTTCCCCTTGTGCGTTGTACCCTTTGTTCCAAAATTTTTATGAAGAAAACCAAGTACAAAGTAAAAGAGCTTAAATATATTAATTTCTCTTTATTAGAGTGTGACTTAGGAAGCATTTGAGATAGAGGCATTCATGTCTAACAAGCAGTTACTATGCAATGTACTGATTGGATAACAAAAATTAATTTGCTTTAAGACAGAAACATGTTAGAACAACAAGCTTTTCTTGATGCCTTCTACTGAACCTTCACATAAACAATGCTTGTTTATTTCAACAGCTAATTTTACATGGCCGTTAATTAAGAAGAGGATTTTATTCTATTTAGTTTTAAAAAGAAATGTGAAAAAAGATGGAATTTTGTTCTTTTAGAAAGAGGAAAGGGTTTACTCGCTTTATTAATTAATAGACAATGGAAATTTGAATAGAAAAATTGACTTATGATTAAAAATTTTAAAATGTTAAGGGTCAAAATATATTATCATCTTTTTCCTACTTAAACAGAATGTGTGTGAATGCCTTAAGTTTTCATTGAGTATTTGGCCAAAAACATAAATAACTTCAATTATAAAAGCCAGTGTGATCCACACATATTCTTCTTGAAATGAAGTTAATGCTATAGCTATCTATACTTCAGCTTTCTACTGCAAAATCCGAGAGGAAAAAGAGAAATATTTATGATAAATGTATGTTAAGGGTTTCAAACATATTCTGTTAAAACTTCTTAAATACAAACTATCCAAACTGCATTATTTTGAAGAAATTATTGTCAACCCGAGCAGGGCCCTATACATTAAAAAAAACGTGAAGCACCTAAAGAGCAGACATAACATATCTGTCATGTTGAATTAGCTACAATCATCGTAATATTTTGTACTTCACTCATTATTATAATATTGTTTACAGTATTTTTTCTAATTTGTAAAAGAATGTTATAAATTTTTTTTGTACAATTATAATTTCTCCTTTGAAAATGATATGTGGAGAAGTTGAGGTGAACTCATTACCCAAATAGCACTTAAGCAATTCATGCTTGGTTGGGGTCAACCATGGCTATCGTTAAAAAATATATATTTTTTATTTTTAAATATGAGTGGCTATTTAAATAAGATTGATTATCCCCAAAAAAATTAGTTACCCTTGTATTATTGTGAATGTGAAATGTTGACAAATTAATATTTTTCTTTAATATTGATATATCTCTTCATTTCTTTATACTTTTATTAATCTTATAACATGACTGACCAATAAATATTTCTGGCCCCGCCCCTACTTCTTGGGTAAGATTACCAACATTCAATATTTCTAGATTTATGCATTAACAATCCTATTAGGTTATTCTCACCCCTTATTTTCTATTTTCACGCTTTACACTTTACTTTTATTGGAAAAAATGAAGAGAAAACAGATAAATAGTAGTTTTATTTCTCTATTTCTTTCCATAAAAAGAAGATATAGATAAGATATCTTGAAAGTTTCATTCTTTTAATCATGTGTTAAACGCATAGGTAGGTTTTTCTAAACGTTTATTCAATAAGTTATTTTAAAATAGTTTATCTCATAAATTTAATAATAAAGCTTATCAAAATAGTTTATGAGATTTATAAACCATTCTTTATAAACTATTCATAATCTTTTCCAAATAGGCTATTAGTATGAATGTTAAAATAATATATATTCTTCTATAGTTCCCTTAATGATTAAAACAAGAGAGTTTTGACGATGATACCTTCCGGCAGAAATCGAAATTACATCCAGTATGTAGTCTATCAACTTCAACTATGGTTACTTTAAGCGTCCCATGTAGGAGGTGAGGCATTTTGTTTTACACTTAGTCCCTTGCTATGCTATGATCTATATCATAATCATAGAGGCCAAATTCAAATTTTACAAAAGGTAAAAGAGACTATTGAGGAATGGTTGAAAAAAACAGGAAACTTTTCTGTAGCAAATGGACTTAATGGAAATAAAGGTTACATTTAATTTGATAACGATGTATATATATGGAGAGAGACATGGGGAGAGAATCTACTGAGTATTCTCTTTCAAGAAAGGGAAATGTCTTCATAGAACAAAATCCAGAATCAGTTCCCTCCTTGGCTTGTAAGGATCACTTTCTTATTTGCAACAGACTAGAAGCCCGTTTTGCCAAGGTAGGTGGATTGTCTATGACCCAAGTTACCATTATTTTTAATTAGTGAAATTGTATACTACCTGTTTTTCTTTTAATAATGTAGCTGTATACCATTAATTGAAATTTGGTTTAATAATGTATGCTCTCACTTAATTTAAAAAACTAACAGTTTGTGTATTTACTGCATTAGCTGTTTGTCAAGATACATTTAGTTTCTGTTAAAATTATAAAACTAACAGTGAAGAGAATAGAAACCAGTTTGAAAAGGCATTGGATGCAATTGTGTTATAAAACTACTACACATATAATTGTATTTGTATAATAACACTGATGATTCTCCATGCTATAACGCGATTTTTTCTTATAAGGATGAATTTGTTTCTTTGTTTTAATTGAAATTTGAATTTATATTTTTAAGATTAAATTACACTCCATACTCTTAAAAATATTTAAATTATTCTACTTTGTTAGAGTTTAATTTATACTGTAAATTTTAATATGAATGGAGCTCTCAGGATTGATTTTGATTTGCAGTTCATTTGTTTTCAAGCACTGCTCAAAATAATAAGAGAAAGCCCCTAATTTTGTCATCCAAAGTTATATACGTTACCACATTAGTTTCTTTTAAAAAATTAATTACTATCAAAATAGTTTTTAAATGCTAATATTTTTATTACATTGACTTTTTTCAAGATCTATAATAATATAATACTATTTATAGGTAAGATTAGATTGAGTTTAAGATTTTAAAAAAATCAGTAAAAATAAATTAAATTAGATTGAATTAATTTTACTTAATTTTGGAATTATAACCCAAACAGATCCAATCTAACTAAAAATAAGTTGGGTCGACAGGGTGGTAATTGAGTCTAAAAAAAGAATTGTAAAAATTGCAACCTTTATTAATTATTTTTATAATTTATATATGTGTGAATGTGTTTACTGAATATTCATGAGTTAAAAGATGACAAACTTGGTATTACCCATGGTGAGATAAAATGAATATTAAAAAAATTATTTTGATGTCATTAAATTTTTATTAACAAGTTCAAGAATAAAATATTTAAAAATTAATATAACGACGATGAATTGGTAGTTTTATCAAATAATAACATCCTGTTCCTATTTATTATGCGAGGCCCATATGCATTTTATATGTCCCTCACGTCCTTATCAAATTAATTCAACGAGAAGAAGTGAAATGGACTTTATATTGGTAGGAGGTGTGACAAGATATTTTTAATTTTTATAATATTCTTTAAGTATGTTTAGGAGTTAAGTTTAGAAAGAGATAATAATATTTTATTTTTAATTTTAAAGAGTTATATACTATTAATAAGATAAAAAAATATTATGATGTAATTTATACTAATATATTATTTTATAATTTTTATTTTTAAAAATTATAAAACTAGATAATGATAATTAAAAAATAAAACTTTTCCTTCCTTCTTTTCTCTTCCAAAATCTAATTCATCAAGTCACTCTTAATTTCTATAATTTCTTATTTTTATTTTATTTTTTATGTTAACTTGTTTTATATATAATTGCTGATTTAGTTCATAAATTTTATCTAAGCTCTGTTACGTTTTATAAATTATACACAAATAGTATACATTAAAATTTTATCATTAAGTCATGTAAAAATTTATTTTGATATTTTTTTCTTTAAGTCAGCTGCTTGTGTGACAATTTTTGTAATATACATGGTCATTTGGTAGATGGGACAAAACTTAACTAAGTATTTAATAGCCAACAACTATATCAAATGACAAGTTAAAAGATAAAGATTAAAAATGAAAAATTTTAAAAATTTAAGGGGAAAATAAATAAATAAATATACTAAAAATATATTTAAGTTTATTTTCAAAAATGCTTTAAAATTTTAAAATAAATAAAATTAGAATTAGAATTTCCAATATTTTAAATAAAATAAAAAAATAAAAGGGCTGGACATTAAGGAAAGTCTAAAATTTTGGCCCACTAATAAATTGATGGAGGAAAAGCTCAAATGAAAAAGGGACAAGTGGTTTTGTTTGTATAAACAAATAGTCAACAGTCATCAACAACCTTCGACTTGACCTATTCCTTCCCTCTCTTACGCCAAAAATACGAAGACGACGAAGTCAATTTGCATGTATTGCAATTTACAACACTCACTCTTTTGTTCTGTCTATAAATGGCTTCCTTTTGCCAAGTCACACGTATAAAAGGGATCAAAAGAAAAGGAAAACTAAATAGTTGCAATCGTGATAGGGAAATTTCAACGTCTACACTCCTACGTACGTAGTATTCATAGTTTTGATTTATAAATACCTTTAACATTGTTAATCTTTATTTAATATTTTTATCTTTTTTTAAATAAATTTCTATCATATCATATTACTTGTCATGTTTACTTACAAACAATCATTTTTGTTGGTTTAAACTTTATCTAATAAAAATTAAGTTGTTAATAAAAAAATTTAAAGGTTTATACTAACAAATAATTAATATTCTATAACAACATTTTCATATTGATGATATATATACTATTTTCAATTAATGAAAATATATGTTGATATAATATATTATATAGTTAGTACAAATTCAAAATATCTATACTATTAATCTAAATTTTACTAAAATATATATCAATGTCCCTGAGTATATATAATTAAGGGGGTGTTCAGTGTTCATGAAACATTTTCCAATTGTTTAAGTCATTCGACAAGACTCCAGTCTTAAAGGCTTAGAAAAATAGCTACTTATTTTAGGGTTCATTTGTTACCATTTATAAAAATATATTTCTAATGAAAGGTGTTTTAAAAAAGTGTAATTATGCAATGCTTTGTTAGAAAAAAAATAAATTCCTAAAAAATATTTGTTACTGCTTTTTATAAGATAAAAATAGTCTCTTAAATAACCAAATCATTAGTTTTTTTTAAAAAAAAAATTTAAGCAAATGAAGTGTTAATCATGTAAGAAGGTATACATGCACTAAGGATTTAACTTGTTTACAAAAGCTATTGATTTGAAATGTTTACATCGACATGTACCCAGAATTTTTCTTTTTTCCAACAAACATTGGCCACGTATTATAAATTAGTCGTAAGTTTCAGTTTAATTCCTTTATCAATCAACAAATATTCAATTTTATATAATTTGTTTCCTTAATATTTGTAATTAAAATATTATATATTTATATGGGGTATAATTAATAGACCTAATACAATATACTACTTCATGACCATTTTTATGTAGAGGGACAATTACCAATTGAGAGCTAATTTATACCTTATGTCGTAACATTTTTCATTCCATGCATACTTTGCATAAAAAGTTATACTCACAAATTATCTATCACAAAACCAGAAGAATATCTTGTGGTTATAGTAAACTTTATAATTAGAGATTAGACTGTTATGCAACTCAAGTATAACGTGATGTGTGATTAATTCATTAATAATTACTCTATCAATATAAATATTAATTTAAATATTTAGACAATTTGGTTCGAGAAGAATAATATCCTCTTTAATAATAATATATTAAATGTTAGTGAAATGTTTGATTATTTTTAAAAGTAACTTGCAACAAAATTTTAGAAAGATCAATTATATATGTGAATTAAATTAATAATATTTTAATATGTATTATTAATTTTCTTTAAAATTATAACAAGTTAAAATATTATTATATTTTAAATTTATTTTTAATAAAATATTGATATTTAATAAAAAAAATTATAATAACATTTTCAAAACTATATCATTGTCATTATCATTAGTATCATAAAAAATATATATACTAAACTATATATATACCGCATTTACTTTAAAATGAATAGAAAAAGCACTTAGATATCTAAAAATAAAGAAAGATCAATTATATATGTAAATTAGATTAATGATGTTTTAATATGTATTATTAATTTTTTTAAAGTTATAACAAGTTAAAATATTATTATATTTTAAATTTATTCTTAATAAAATATTGATATTTAATAAAAAAAAATTATAATAACATTCTCAAAACTATATCATTGTCATTATTGGTATCATAAAAAATATATATACTAAATTACATATACACTGCATTTACTTTAAAATAAATGGAAAGAGCACTTAGATATCTAAATATTCATTTTTATTCTTCAGATAGAATCTCTTCGTGCCGTTATTTTAAAGGATCATTGCTATTATAATTAACTAAAAGATACCATAAAATAACGAGTTAATCGGTGGATTTAACTATTTTAGACTAAGATTCCATTTAAAAAAGTGAAAACATTGAGATTATATTAAATTACTAATTTATTCTTTGTTTAGAATATAATATTTATTTGTATATCTTAGTTTTTAAAAAATTTTACACTCTAACTTTTTTTAATATATTAATGTTATAAGTTATTTTTATCTTTATCTTGTGCATTTTTATTAAAAGGTGATAAATTTTTTTTTATCTTTTTTATTATTTGATGTCAAAACTATTTTTAATACTCTTATAATAATAATAGTAACTATTTGGTGTTTTATTAAAAAGAACTCATTAACCTTATTAAACTCTTTGAAAAAAATGATAAAGGAAGTATAAAATTTATTAAAAAAGAAATAATAAAAAATTTAAAACAAATTTTTAATAGTATTTTAATAAAAAAACTTAAAATAGATAAAATTGTGATGAACTCTAATTTTTTTAAGGAGTTATAATATTTAAAAATAAAAGAGAAGATAATGTAATATATGTATCTTCTAAGAAAGAAGAACATAATTTACTAAAAATTTTATATTAACAATACATCAAAATATATAAATATTGTCTTAATTTTCTCATAAATGGACATAAGTGTTGACTTTCTTCTTTAATGTGAATCCTGAAAACCCTTGTTCAGATGACTAGAAAGAGTAATTCCCTTGTTAATTTAGAATTCACATGACGAGGGGGCTTTTTATTTAATCGTTTTCACGTTATTGGAGCCTTGAAGTGAGTATATATGGGAAGAGTGAGTAGGATATATAACCAGTTGTTGAACGAAGGTGAGCTGAAAAGGTGAAAACAGAGAGTTTGTTTTTTAACTTTATAATATACGTATTCACATTCCGTGTTGCGAAAGAACCTACTTTGGACTTTCCTTCAAGTATTTGAACGTGTGGATGGAAACAAATTGTAGAGTGTGGAACACAGCTTATTGTTGTTATATTTGTGGGCAGAAGGAGCCCTACCCGCTGCTCATTTATTTCAGTTGTTAAGGAGCCATGGATTTATCAAAGTTGTGCAGGTGAAACTTTTATTGCATCTGTACGTTTCAATTCCACTTTCCGTCCAATCCTCACCGACAACCCATATAAATTTCGTTAAGAGTTTGAGCACTCTCAAAACACACACTTGCACGTTTCATGTTTGTACCTCATATATCATATCTATCCCTATTACACTATTGCTATTAGTATTATTAGTATTAGTATTAATTCTCCTTCACCACCCCCTCGTACTTTGCCTCTCTCCACCCCCTTTTTTTCCTTTTTAGTTTTTTCCTTTTCTTTCTCTCTCTAACCCCCACTTGTTCCCGCACTAACTAAGATATGGTACAAGCAAAGAAGTTCAGAGGAGTCAGGCAGCGCCAGTGGGGCTCTTGGGTGTCAGAAATTCGCCACCCTTTACTGTAATCACTCTCAACTAATGCATTTTACACAATGCTGCTTTTTTCGTTGTTTGTTACACTTACACAAGTTACACCCTTTTATTATACATATATATTAACACTCTCTTTATATATATCTTTTATATCGTATATATATTTGTATATAAGATATGGTTTTGTGCATGTGTAGTAAGAGAAGAGTGTGGCTAGGCACATTTGAGACAGCGGAGGCAGCAGCAAGGGCATATGATCAAGCAGCCATTTTGATGAATGGTCAGAATGCTAAGACCAATTTCCCTACATCGAAGAACCAAGCTGAAGATTCCACCCATTGCGGTGGTGATGACACTTTCTTGTCTCCCAAGGCTCTTTCTGAGCTTCTCAGCACAAAGCTAAGAAAGTACTGCAAAGACCCTTCTCCATCCCTCACTTGTTTGAGGCTAGATGCTGACAATTCTCACATTGGAGTGTGGCAAAAAGGTGCAGGACCACATTCTGGATCCAACTGGGTCATGAGGGTAGAGCTTGGGAAGAAACACACGGAGGGTGAATCCACAGGGTTGCCACACACTGGTGGTGACATTATTAATGCTGAAAATGCGGTTGAAGAAGAGGAAAGAGTTGCCATGCAGATGATTGAAGAGCTACTTAACTGGAACTACCCTTGTGCTTCAAGTTCATGTGACCAGGAAGAGAAAAGGAACCTTCCATGTCATAGTTCTTAAAATAGTAATTAATCCCTTTTTTCTCATGCCATCATTTTCATTTACTTTTGTCTTCTGTAAAAATGTTTGTCAAATGTTCAGTCTGATAGCTACTTAATACACTTTATGTAATGCTTTGATTGGTGGTAAGCTTGATAACTTGGATCAAATTAGTGGGAAATTAGGAAACAAGAAAAGGAAATTAGACTGTCAATTATGATTATTCCTTTGAAGTAACAAGTAACGCTTGGAAAAGAATTCCAGCCACAGGTAACATATAATATAATAGGTCTTTTATTGATCAAGTGGACTCAGTTGGATATCTCTGATTCACAATAAGCAATGATTGTAAGTAAACTGCTATGAATACTACCTTCTTTTCATGTTGTCATCTGAATTCTAAATGATAGTAAAATCCCAAACACATCTTCTCATTCTGATGATCGTTATCTTTTTTCCTCCTTCAGCTCATCTAACTTATTCAATAATTTCTATATAATACTTTACATAAATTTATTTGTCTCTTAATTTCATCAATTATTTTGTCACACATTTTTTGGTTATATATATTTTATTTTATAAAGAAATTGCATAAATATACTTTAGTTGCCTAACTCTTTTCCCAATCAATGTTACTGTGACATATACCTTTTCCGTATAGTAGTTATACGTTGAGTTAACAAGTTTGTCACTGATCTAGTAATGGGATTTCTAAACCTTTTCTTTTAAGCGTTTGTACTTTTGATACCATTAACTCTGAAGGCTAATTTAAAGTAATTAAAAAATTATTTTATTACAAAAGTTATTATTGTTTTAATATTTTTAATGTAATAATTATTGTTTGTATAAAAACTTCTATTTTTACTTATTTAAAATTAATCCTAAAAATGATTATAATTAACAAAACTCGTTTCTTATAATGGAGTTATCATAAAAAATAATTTAATGATACTAATGTAATAAACTTATTTTGATAATTTTTTAGCAGAAAATTTATTGAAAGTAGGGGTCAAGATTCTCTACAAGAAATACACTATGCAGTTAATGCATTTTTGTGTTATTTTATTTAAGCAAAAAAATTTCACTTAAACAAATTTTTTTAAGTTAAAATGCTAAAAATACACTAATTGCATGTATAATTTAGGCAGAGTCCATCCTAAATAAAACTAGATGAACTTTTTAATGATTAAAACACAGATAATTATGGACATTATTTTTTTTCATTATAAAATTCGTATTTTTCATTTGCAAACTTGTCCAAATGCCACTAGATTTAAAAGAAAATTAAGGTTTAATAACCTAAACTACTTGATTTGCAATCACAGGCAGAATTTTGACATGTTTATGAATGAATATTCGTACAATAAAAAAAATCAATTATGAAAATAACATAAATCTTTTCAACTATTAAGATCACATGCATGCCAGACTTTATTTTTTTCTCTTTTTTCTGAAGTATCTGCAACACCAATTGTACTGTTACAGTTCCATTATTTTTAATACTAAAAACTGATACTATGTGTAATATTATATACTATTATTATTTTATATATGTGTGCGTATAAACTTAAAATGCACTTTAAAACACAAAAAAGGGTGCTTAAAAATATTTTTATTTAAATATTTAAAAAATATTTCTCATTGTATAAATGACAATGCATGTTACTTCCAGCCTAGATGCAAGGTAATGGCTGTGGTGTTTTCATAGTATAATAATATATTAAATCATCTTTCAAATTTATGAATATCGACTAATTTAATCTTTAAAACTATGAAAATTTTAATTTAAAATTTAAATTATCAAACATTGATTTTTTTAATAATAATTTTAGAGATTAAACTATTATGTAATAATGCTCTAAAACAAATGTCGTTTGCTAATTTTAGATATTTAAACACTTCTTTCAATTTCACTTTAGATATCTATTTTTGAAAAAAATCAATTATTTGTTCATTTAAAATTTAAGATGATATTAATTATTATATTTTTAATTATACTTTTATTTCTTCTTAATTCTTAAATACTTTAAAAATTTATAAAAATAAAAATAATACAGATCATATAAAAAAGTGAATAATAATTTTAAAATAAATAAAAATATTATTTATATTTCTCAATTTATGTTATTTTCTCAAATAGACAAATAAAAAAAGAAGTACTTTTATAACTTGAAAGAATAAATTATTCTGTGCTCTTAATTGTGACACTTAATCTGATATTTTTCTCTTTATTGAATTACCGAAATGAATGGAAGCTACTGGTTCCTGAGCACCAAAGTCTGTGGCCTACATTTAGTAGAAGTATGCAAGGATAGAAGCCACGAAGTCTACATACCATAAAGAAGAAATTGACATAAAGGAAGAGATGACACAAGTAGCTGGCTCATCATTAAATGCTCCATGCATCAAGGAGCAAACTATTAGGCACTGTTGCCATCAGTAAGACAAGACTTTTCATTATTTGGAGTTAAATTTTAAGTGCACAAAGTTAAATAAGATAATATTTCTTATTTAATAAGTTATAAGGTTAAATTCTCATTTATCTTTTTAAAATGAGATAAAGAATAAGATGAATGTAATTTTTTATAAATTGATTTTTTTCCTTAAATTATTCGTTATAAAAAAATCAGGTAGAAGTGGACTTGATAGAGTCTTTATTAATGTGCCTGGTTTATGAGTGTGGAAAATGATACAGGTCACCTCAACAATGTGTTAATGTACTTTTGTGGGGAACTCTTCACTGAAAAATTAATTTTGCACAAGGGAAGTTGGTGTCCGTACATCACCATGCTTGAAGACCCTTTCAATCTGCAAACTGAGCAGAGATGTTTGTCAACTGCAAGGACTGGGTTTTCTTCTGGAAAACAGAAGCTACCAATCTTGTAGGCTTTTACTAATCAATCTGTTTTGTTGAAATTTTGAAATAAGAAGAGACTAATTAATGACCGTTTTCTAAACACCTATGTAACTTTTTTTCCTTTAGGATACATTAATTTGCAACATTAATCTATGAATGGAAGGAGGTCCCGCAGCCACCAACTGTCCTATGATGTATACATGCAATGTTCTTATATTTGTATCTATATTTGTGCAGATACATTCAAATGTGACCAGACACTGTGTAAAATTTGAGTCAAAATATAGAAGGTGCATGTTACACTAAAATTTTCCAAATAAAGTTGCTTCCAGAGGCGAGTGATGGGTTCTTTCAGAGTGTTTCTTGAAACAGCAAATGGGAAAAAAAACCTCTGATTCTGCTACGGTTTTTAAATGTGTTTTGATTCAAAGTGGCTACCTCTGTATAATGCATTTGAGTAATACTACTCACCTATTACTTGGCACCTTTTCTCGACCTATTTTTGTAATTAGATAAAATTTATCTGATGTTTAATGAGGTAAGTCCCACCTTCTCTTCTAGGCAAGGGAATGAAACCCTTTATAGATTCCTATTGGTTAATAAAATAAGATAAAAATAGAATATGAAAACTAAATAAAAATAGGACATAATATATAAGAGTATGATAAATTTCTATTTAGTTTGAGACTAGATGTCTATAAAGAAAATAAATTAGATATGTTATGTTAAAAATAAAATAAATTTATCATGTCTTATTAATTAAATAAATATTAAAAATAAAATACAATAAAAAATCTTATTTTATTTTTTTCGGTTATCCACCAAACGGTATAAATGACTTCTTAATAGAGCCTCAAAGACAGGATAGAAAATAGGGGAAGAAAAGTTAGAATAGAGAGGTAAGGATTCAATTCTATCACCTTCACGTAATGTTTTCAACTTTTGCCAACTGAGTTATTAGAAAAGAACAATTTTATTGAAAAGACATCATTATTGTTTTTTTAATGAGATTTATGTAAAATTCATCCATCACAAAACGTACTAAAACGAATGGATATCGTTACTGATATTTTTATATGCTAGAACATGTCCTCTGTTATTACAACGATGTGACTTAGGTTTAGACATCATTACAAAACAATAACTTTTTTAAAAAAATTTACGGATTAAAATAATAAAAAATTAAAAAACATATTCATAGCATATGTAATAATATGCAAACCAAAACATACTTTATAGCCTTCAAATATAAAACTGCTTTTTATGCCTCTTCTATGAATATATTATCAATACTCCTGTGGTACATATTAAGTAATGCAGCAGTACCAAAAATTTACTACTCTTCCGTACATCCACCGACTAATCCTGTGCTTCTATCACTCCTACTACCAGAGGCATATCATCATCTTTTTTCTGCTAAGTTATTGGGTAACATTCTCAAGCACAGCACCTATTATCACACTCAAGATCTGCTTATACCAAAAAAATTTAATTCCAAGAGCTTTGACATTTAATTATATGCCATAGTCTCAATAATAGCTTCACTACTATTTAAAAATTGTATGAATGCAGAACACAATGCATAAGTGAGGAAACATGTTTGTAGATTCCACCCTTAACTTTACATCTCCTAATTGGAGGAAATCACATTTTCCACGCTTTTCTCGGTAGTTTTTTTCCTCCCATTTTCAATGGTTTCAAACAGAGGGTGTGAGAGAGGCAACATAATGCTGAATCAATGAGTCCACTTGGGAACAGACAAGGGCCAAGCTCAAAATTTCATATCCACATATATAAGGTTAGTAACTAATGAACTCTCATGGGCATTGCTCAAACATAAGGTTCACATCCAGGTAGTATTGAAAGCACTCCTCATGAAAACAAATATAAATTGATTAAGTTTAGAAAGGTCAAGAAACAGAATTCAATCACAATCACCATCACATATATTGAATCAACCACATGCACAACAGGACTGGTAGAAAATACAGGCCATATATCAAATGCAACTAATTAGAGTCTGAAGGCAATTCCTGGCACGGGATCAAGCCTAGTTACAGACCAAAGCAGTTTAGGTGAACTGAACAGTGAATACCAATCGAAGACCTCCATATGGGATATTATACACAAGTTCACTGTGATATTTGAGAATGGCAGAGTGGCCTTGAAGCCAACGGCAAATTCAATTGAGTTGAGTTATAACCTTTCAGACAGATACTTTGCCAGTGAATCCACTGGCTTGGTTGAATCAAAATTTCCAACTGTTCGATGCTTTATCTTCGTGCGAGCTAGGTAATCAACTGCAATCCAAGGAAAACTCAACATCACCACACTTCCGAAACTATCTGGCTCTTGGTTCCCTGGGGACTTATCTTGCAGATCAAGGGATTTTTTCACCCATATAGGATGATATGTAACCTGATACCAGGCTGAAGCTTTCTGCTCATACAGTAAGTTTTTATCTTCCTCACTTAA